CGGAAGTCGATCCGAGTTGTCGTTGTTGTTTCGCTGGTTACGCCAATGCTGATCATCATTGTGGCGATTTCCGCTGCGGTGGCCATGTGAATTCGGGTTCCGGCGGTCAGCATGACGGTTTTTGCGTTCATCTCGCTTCGCACCACATCTGCGCCCGTCACCTTTCAGCTTGTATAGCAGTCGCTTCATGCGATCAGTTTCCGCAACGTAATCGCTTGCGTCGTCGGGCACTGAAGACAACAGCGTGGGCGCTAACTCGGGGCATGCATTGTTTCCGAACACCTCCATGACCATCTTGGTCTGATCACCTTCCATGAGGTCTCGATGAAGTTCAAGTATTCCAGGTAGTCATGCCACGTATCGCCTTCACGGTTGTTATACTGCATCTTCGTGCTGAGTTCGAGTTGGCTTAGTTAACAGCCAAACTCTGCACGCATCGCGCGCTTCACATCTGAGTACGGCATGCTGTCACCATATGACGGCGCTGCCACTCTGAGTTCTTCTTGTGATAGTACCTAGACGCTTTCCACTCGAGGAAGTTGACAATCACCGATGCCTTGATGTCGTCGGTCCAGGTGGATCCGTTCACGAGCTCCTCCGTCCTTATTGCATGCTCGAACTCGTGGATGAAATTCTCGAAGCCAGCTCCTAACCCAGGGTAAACCTCGTTTCCCTTGAAGTTCGAGCAGCGTACGTCCTTGATTTTAGGCTTCTTCGGTGATGGAGGTGCGGTTTCCATGCTAGTATCCGACATGGAGGGGGCACGGGGCGCTCGCGCCGCGAGCTGCTTCTTCAGTTCTGCCAGCTCGGACTGCAGTCGAAGGATGAGCTGGAGCTGGTCGTGCTGCTCCATTGTCTCTTGGTCCGAAGGGTCGAAGTGCAGGTCGTCTGGCAGTCCTAGGCGAGTATTCCTTCCGTCTTGGTGGTCTATGTCAGCCTCGTTAGCGCCTCGTGCCTCTGAGCATTTTTCAAGGTCTTCGTGGTCGCACCGCGAGTCTTCGAAGTCTTCACTGGTCGCTGCAGAAGGCGAGCCAGTTGGGCTCATAACCTGAAGGGAGCACTCGTTGATCCTGCACGGGTTGCTCCTTGTAGTGGTGCCTCGCACCTGGTGTATTGCAGAATGAGTTAGGTTGGATGATGCTAGGATGTCTGTGCTAGGCTAATATGCATCGGTAGTTTCGTGTTGTGTAGCTGGAGGGGTCGTTGTGGTCGTCGCAGGCCGTTATCGTCGCCACTGCACTCATCGCAGGTGGCGCCAGCTCTTGCGATCTCCAACAAATCAATCAGATCGCAATCTTGGCGTTTCAATTCGTTGTGGTCGTGATTGTGGACTACATTTGTGTCGTCATGGAGATGGCCATCGGAATCGAGTTCAACCGCATCAAAGGTCTCAGCGCGTTTCGTGGCGAGCTGTTCATGGCCATGGCGGTTCTAACCATCAACATCTCGGCTACCGTCTACCTGTCCTGATACTGTAATACATATACATGAGGCAGGAGCCACAATCGAAAACTCCAACAAGGCTGTGCTCAGCCCGGATGTGGTCACCAGTATGCAAAGGAAAGTAAAATGAATTTTGATGTTAGCTCCTCCAACTCTAAACTAGTGCTTGTTCATGTTCCTGGCTTTTGCCTACGATTTCGTACAGCTTCTCGAATCCGGCTTCTAGAACTCTAAGCACCAGAGCGAGCTTTGCTTCGGATCGTACAACATGCACTGCGGCAGACACGAGACCGGCCAGAGCTGGCCACAACATGAATGTCAAGATAGAGTTGTTCAATGATTTTGAACCCTAGCGAGAGATGACTTCGCGTAGACTGGAAGGCGGCAAAAACAACACGATATCAAGCGTTACGATCTGCGTTGAGTAGCAGGCGTCCGTTGAGCTTGAAAATGCGTGTTTATCTTCGTAGCTGCTTGCCAAATATGGTGTTCTTCGCCGAGTGCCTTCAACGTTTTGAGGGAACTCCATGGAAATACTGTAGTCACACTGTAACTTCAACGAAGTACTAGTAGTCAACTAAACTACGAATCCATTCGAAAGAGGCGGATTTTCCGATCGGATATGTTGACATGTGAATACATGTAGAGAGTGGTGCTGCACCCATCCATTGGAGTCATCTTTTGAATTGTCCGCACTAATAACCTAACCACGCTTCTGACCTCCATCCGAACTTCGTATACGCGGTATACTTTCGACTTTCAACCATTCCTAAAACTGCGGCGAGCCGCCACACGCATGAATCCCCCCGCCGCGCGGTCGCCCTGTTGGCCGTACAAGCATGCGCATGATGTCGACGACTACCGGTAGCGCCTAGTGATGCTGCAGCGACACCCCGTGGCGACGATGACGTGGAGCGCTCCCTGGATGGCTGGCAAGACTGCGGTCGGCGCAACACAAAAGGCGTCAGAGCCCCCCCTTCCTCCCTGCGCGCGTTTGAAGAGATGCACGAGCATCAGGCCACCTCTCAGTCCTGACAGGCAAGTAAATGTTCGGGGGAGGTCTATGCATCACTTGGTGTATTCATACTCGTGTCTGTACGCGCAGCGGCCAGCTTTAACCGGCGGAGACAGAAGGCACTTCCTGCTCCGCTTTCAAACAGCTTTACCAGGAGAACAAGCGAAAGAGCGCAAGCAGCATGCGTGATACTTCAGCGTTTGGGATCAGTTCGAGGGCGGGGCTCTCGTCAGTCGGGTACAGCGGTATCAGTCGGGAAAAATAAGCTTCCAGTCGGGCAGTCGGGTACGGTGACGGGTGATGGTGTTCTCAGTCGGGTACCGGTGGTGATGTTTGTTGTTTGCTTGGCTAGGTCAACGCATGCGCTCAAGTTGTTTACCTGTACAAGACTACAGCTCGTGGCGTGGCCACAAAAATCTTGCGAGCTGTTGGTAGGAGTTAACGTAAGAGAACGATGGAAAAACAATGTAATGGACTGTCCGAGCTGTGTAGTGTCCTGTACTGTTCGAAAATTCGCTCCCCGTAAGCAATGCACTTAGTCATTTCACTTAGAGGCCTCAGAGAGACCATTTGAAACCGAAGCAAAGCATAGGTCTGCAATGTTCGGCGCGTGGGCCGGAAGGTATGCCTAAGTAGGAGTTTCTATCTAATCCAAACACCTCGCCTGGCCGAGCCGAGGACTTAGCGTAAGGCTCGAGGGGGTGGAGCAGGTCGCGCAGCGGCGCCCCTCGAAGTGCCGTTGCTAAGTCCACAGGCGAGAGCCAACGTGAGAGTGTCCTACCCTCTTTAACATCAAGTAACAAGTGCTTAGTCGCTTTGGTGGTCGGCATTGGGCCTTCTCGAACACTCTTCATCTAACCGGTCTATACATGGAGTATACAACTTGCTTTAGTTTTGGTCGGTTCTTGACGGTCGTGGTCGGGCGCAAACGGGTACAATAGTCTCGTCACAGCCTAGTTTTCCATATGGTGGACGGGTGCAGCAACAAGTGCCATACATGTATTAATAGTGGTTAGACTTGGTATGCGCGCATTGGAAAAGCCATGTCCGATGGCGCCAGCAGAGCCGGTTAACAGTATTTTGATAACTCGAAAACACTGAGAGGAACCGTAGAACGGTGTCGAATTCCCCAGAGTCTAGGGCCCAGACTCAGGACCAGAGCACATCTGGAGATACCGGTACCCGCAGCCTCAACATAGGCTTTCATAATATTACGCAAATAATGCAGTACCGGAAGCACGGTCTCATCAATCTCATAAGAAGAATTGAGCAACATAGGTTTTGGCTCGCAATCCCCATAATGCGTGTACATTTGTGTTTGCTGCCGTGACGAATTTTTAAATTCCATTCTTTGAAAAGAGTTGCCTCCGCAGCAAACACTGGACTTGTGGTTTTGCGTTGGCAGTTTAAGCTTAAACGTTGCTGTACTGGTAGCGCAGCTCCAAGCCACAAGTGCCCGGTTGGTCATAAGGTGATATCGAAGCAAGACAAGGCTACCCTAAGCCACTCAATAGTTTAGTTAATAGTCTCAACTTGAGATGTACCCTTCGGTAGCACCGATGCCTCGCTCAGAAACTTAAGAATCCCGCGTTAGACAGGTCGTCAAAAGCGCAAACTCAACGCGACCAGCGTTTTACTCGCTTCATCCGCAGCACAAATGCACATGTATTATATTACTAGTACTCTGCTCAATTGTATCATCAGTTGAGTGACTCAACAGGTGACGACTCAATCCCACGGAAGGACTTCCAGACCATAAATGCGGGGTGGAGTAGGGCTATACATAAATTTGTTTCACAACATGACCCCCTCCCCCCCCCTTCGGGGTGCGATGCGCTACCGAAGAGAGGCTCGTGAGCTCGGCGAGGTGGTTAGAGCACCTTTAATCCGACAGCACAACAGCACCGTTAATGTAGGAAAAGGAAGCTTTCTCCCAACTTGGCATTCCTTGCGCTTCTCTATCATTGCATCTATCCAATCAGGACATGTTCTTCAATGAATTTAGCCAATCACGATCGATTCGTGTGTATCCCAACATTTTCCCCATTATTTTGGGAATTTACAGTCTTGCTCCAATACAAAAGTGAAGTGTAAATGTTGCATTACTCATATTTGACCGCAAATTCCCAATACAAATCATGATTGTATCGTTGGTGGCTGTGCCTCGTCTGCTTTCTCTCCTCTCTCATTTGAAAAGATGCAGCGGGCGCCGAGAGGGCTTGACATACCGCAAGGGACAGCAGGGCAGGAGGCAGCGGCGATGAAGTGCTTCAGCGAATTCTTAGCTCCTGCTAACATGAATGAGGAGTCAATTGCTAGTATTGCGAAGTCGCTGTCTATTCCTGATGCTCTACCAAGTCAAAACTTTTACTCTTTGCTAACTGCCTTCTCCATTTTCTGGCAAACTAAGCCAAGTGCTCGAGGAGGCCGTCTTGCTAAGGCTACTGCTGTGGGCTATATGTCCCAAGTTGTGAACCTGCTCCGAGAGCGGTACCCTCTGTAGTTGTCAGACAGCAAGCGAATTGCGAAAATACGCGACAAAATGGGTTCAACTATTGAGGAGCGAAATTTGCTAGCTGGCGTGCAGACTGGTGAAGCTCCAGGCTGCACGCTCAGCGACTTGCCTGTTCTGATGCAGGAAACTGCGATTAAGGGGGTTGGCTCACGTTGTAAGAGTTTGCATGACGCTGCTGTACTAACGTAAATGTGGCACACGTTTGGTCGAGCGGTCGATACCTGTTTTGCTAGGAAGAGCCAGCTATCTATGGCGGCATCGGGGGAGCTTTTTCTGCATCTAGCTCAAATCAAGACTTCGGTGGTTCAAGGCATCTCAATTTACAAGGCCGCGACACATGTATACTGCACGGCCTCGGAATGCTGTTCGTCGGAGCGTCGGAGCCTTTCAGCTATGTGTTCCCGCTAGTGCCGCACGAGGCGGCATCGGATTTGCCAGGGGAGAAGGCCTACAGCCATGACGAAGCTATACTCTACTGGGAGAACCTTGAAGTGAAAGCTGAACCAAGGAACGAGCCACCAACAAAGCGCGTGAGAGGAAGGCCCACAGTGTTCAAATATATTAACGACATCATCACCATGGTCTACGAGCGCCAAGCCCAAGCCTCTGCCCCGCTGCCCGCGACGCTCACCGCAGGGCTGAGCAGCCACTCCTTGTGCCGCGGCTCCGCAGCGTATGCGAACACCTCACCGCAGCTTGCGATCCAGCGGATCTCGACCCGGGGAGCTTGGCTGCTGGACTCGCTCACGAAGGCGTTCGAGTACGTGAGTACCACGACACGCGAGGACCAGAGTGTCGGCAAAGTCCTCGTTGGATACCGATCCCGCACCTGCCATGCGTCACGCCAACGTTTGCCACCTTGAGCGAGCTTCTTCCTGCGCTCGAGTACGCCCAGCTGCTAACCCTGCGCGGTCAGCTCTGCAAGAACGCCAGCGGCTTCACGGACACCACGCCCAACGTCGACGCCTTAGTCCTGGATGCGGCGCTCGCGTCCCTGCTCATCCATCTTGACGACATCGCGACGGCATCCCAGCAGGAGCAGGCTGCCACAGGCTTCACATCGCATTACCTGTACCGCTTCCACAACGCAACCAACGTAGCGCTGGGAGCTCGGCTCTCGCTGGACTCGTACATTGGTTGGGGTCGGCAGCTTCGCACGGCTTGGCAAACGGAGAACTTCGGGCAGCTGGGTGAACGCAGCAATGGAAACGCCACCATACTTGCCACAGCCGTCACCCAGATGCTATCGTCCATCGCAGCAATGCAGCGCACACTTCAGAAGCTCGTCGCGGTCCACGAGAGCAAGTCCGCCAGCGCTGACGGTCCTGCTCCTTGTCGCTGTGATAGCCAGGCCCCGCAGGCGACCACTGACACCGTCGTTGAAGCGCACTCTCTTGCTGGCTGCTTCTACAACTGGTAAACACTGGAGCTGTGGCACACGGCAACCAAAAAGAAACAACAGTTTGTTCGCGCTGACCTCAAGGCAGGCGTCAACATCATGATCATAGCAGCAGGGCGAGAGGTAGACGTACCAACGGCGCCACTGGACCGGGACGGCGTCACATACCCTATCAAAGTGAGCAGAAGGCCGGTAAGTACCATCTCCTGACTCTACCGACATCCAACCGATGGCATGGCATTGGTTTTGCTATTGCACCTCACCTGCGTAATTTCCTGTATAAGTACTGGGCCCATTCGGACCGTGTTGGAGTCCTCCAACTACGCATGCCCAAGACCCAGCGAGTGAACATCATCAATGTGTACTCACCGCACAGTGGCTACACCTCTATCGAGGTCGACCGTTTCTACGAGGATCTTCATGCAATGCTAACCCACAGCGCGATACGACATTTATACTGGGCGACTTCAACGCAAAAATTGGACAGCAACGCGAACACGAACCCTTCTTAGACAATGGGGACGTGGCCGACGCAACCGCAACGGCCATGTACTCGCCTCCTTTTGTGACGCTAATGACTTGTTTATTTCTAACACTGCTTTCTGAAAGCGCGCTTGCAACATCACGACTGGACGCTCCGACTCAAGGAACACAGCATCTTCAACCAAATCGACTACATCATTTGCAACCAGTGGAATAAATCCCTGTGTGTCAACGCACAGTCGTGGGGCGGTATCCTCACACCGACCGACCACAAGCTGGTCACGCTGGACTTTGATCCCCGCGCACTCGGTGGGCTCCGGTGTCGAGTTGCCAGAGTCCACTTCAACAACGCCGAGACTCGCCTCGCCACACACCTCCTAGTGCACGACCAACACTCCCGACTACAATACCGTCAGCTACTATCCGCTAAGTTCACCGCCATGCCACACCAGGGGGGTTCGCCAAATCAGCGCTGGGCGACGACGCTGAACAGCACTGGAATCAGCAGCAGACTCGATTGGATACCTTCCACTCACTAAAAGCGCCAAAATGCCGGATCCAGAACTAGCACGTCTCTCCTGCGAACAACGACGACTCCGTCTAGCCATCTACAACGACCGTGCGCTGGACGTCGATTACCTCCGCCGCCGACGCAACCACGTACTTCACAAAATCAGGGAGCGCAGCAGACACCTTGCTCGCACTTTCATTGACGAGAAACTAACCGCCATAGACCGCTCTAGCCATTCGGCTAGGATGTTCCAGGCCACGCGAGTGCTGCTTCGACAGCGCTCACCACTAACGTCTCTATGTGACTCCACAGGTAAATACATTCTCCACCGCAAAACAGCAGGCGCCAAGATCAGACAACACTTCAAGGAACAGTTTTACGACCCGAGCCGACAGCCCGTCCCTAGCGACAGCGTGGCTCGCCCTCTGGAGAGGCCCATTACAGCCGACGAGCTCGCACGCGCCTTCCATCGCCTTCGCAATGGCCGCGCAACCGGACCTGACGCCATACCAGCTGATACTCAAGTACGGATCTACGACACTAGCCCAACCTCTCGCTGCCATACTCAACGACGGGTTCTCTACTGGAGCAAACATTCATCTGGGCAACGGAATTCTCCTTGGATTTCCAAGGCCAAACAAGCCGGCTGGTCAATGTGCCAGCCTTCGACCAATTGTGCTGCTCAACAGCATTCACAAGGCCATCTCGCTCGTCGTTCTCGAGCGCATCTCCCCGAAGGTCGAACGCTTTCTGTCCCCTCACCAGAGCGGGTTCCGACCCAGTCGCAGTACTGCCGATGCAGTATGGGCCCACAGGTAGATAGCAGCACGGGCGCAGAGATTCAGGGAACGGTTCCACATACTGGGGATCGATCTCTCCCGTGCTTTTGACACAATCAACCGCGACAAGCTCCTTCTGGTTCTCGAGTCGATTGTCAGCAGCGATGAGCTTCGCCTGATCCGACTACTCCTACAAGACACCAAGCTCGCCCTCCGATTCGGCAACGACTTGCTCTCTCCGTTTGAGAGCAACACAGGTACCCCCCCCAAGGTGACTCACTCTCCCCTGTTCTTTTTGTTGTTTACCTCGAAGCAGCCTTACGCGATCTTGCCGGCCAACTTGACGTCCCCCACGACCTCCTCGCGGACATGATTGTATACGCCGACGTCGCTGACTTCATTTGCAGACACGAAGATATCGCTACCCTGATCGAGACTCAAGCACCAGCCATACTGACCAAGTGGTCACTCAAGATGAACGCTTCCAAAACAGAACACACAATTGTTCACCGCAGCCCGACAACCCACACCACCCGGATCGCTCGTACCAAGGATGAAGCCTGGCGCAACACTCGCAAGCTCGGCTCTCTCCTCGGCGACACCGAAGATCTATCGCGCCGTAAAAACCTAGCCACCGCAGCGCTCCACTGGATGTGGAAGATCTGGCTTCGGCCGTCAAAGACCTCGCAAGCGACTCGAGTCCGCCTCTACAACAGCTACGTATTGCCCATCCTGCTTTACAACTGCGGGACATTGGCGTTAACCCACACTGACCTCCTTGGCCTCGAACGTTTTCACCGCCAACAACTCCGCAAAGTCATCGGCGTGGTCTACCCTCGAAGGATTTCAAACACCAAGCTATACGACCTTACCGGGACGGAACCGCTACGCTATCACCTCCTGCGCAGCCGATGGCGATTGTTCGGCCATATCCTTCGCCGGCCCGCAGCTATCCCTGCATACCGCTACATGGACGCTTACTTCAGACCGAGCGAGTCAAGCAAATGGAGAGGCAGACAACGGCTCACGCTTCCGATGGTCTACGACGCCGACCTCCAGACTCTTTCTTCCGGGCACCGTCTTCGTCGTTCTCCCGATCTTTACCTCCTTCGCCTTTGCGCGCAGGATCGAAAAGCTGGAAGCAGCTGACGGAGGCCCTACTTGCGTACGTGCCGATTGACGGACTCTGGTCGGGAGCAGAGAGAGAATTAGAGAGATGAGAGATAACCCGACGCATGCGGAAGTTGACCCACCAAGGTGGTAAGACGGCTCCCGTAACGCGTTCACAACACAAATATACACAATGTGGAGGGTCATATTTGGTTTTAAAAATCGCCAGTTGCCCATGTTTGTGGAGGCCTACCCCCCCCCCCCCCCCCGCGCCAATCTCCTTAAACAGTTCGTTTCCTTTCCCAACATAATGGTTTTTGCCAGATCTGAATGGGCTCTTGACAACCAGCGAGATCCAGCCACGCAACCGAGAAGAGCACGTAAAGAACGAAGCAACTAAACTTCACGTGTACTCAACTCAAATGCAACAACAACCAAGTAAGACGCTACTAAATGAAGAACACGTAGTGCTTATTAGACGAAGCAAACAAAAACCTAGCGCTCGGTTTCTCAAACGTTCGTGAGACGTCTGGCAAGGCAGGGCATACCGTCGCCCGCCCTCCACGCGCCTTGATGTCCGCAGCAACACAAAACTCGGCTCTACAGGTCGACTTCGTTGTTGCGGTGGTGGTGGTGGCTCTCGTGCTGCACCACGGTGTGGGTGCGCTGCATGTGGCCGCCCTGCGGCTGCAGTCCGCGCAGTCGGTTGCCGCCATGGTTGTAGTTGGCCGGCGTCTCCTGCGCGTACTGATGCGGGTTCTGCACCCTGGGCGTGGAGTCGTCGCCCAGCACAGCCAGGGAGTTGCCGCGCGCCTGGTTGTTGTTGTAGTACTGCGGCTCACCGCCCAGAGCGAAGAAAGCCTCGGAGCCCTCGCGCGCGTTCGTGGTCTGCACAGTGACCGTCTTGTCATCCGCGCCGCCGTCGCGCTTGAGCTTCCACGTGCGGTAAAAAATGTAGATCTGCCGGATCATGAGGCACACGAGTACCAGCACCTGCAGGCCCACGATGGCGAAGGCCACGCCCTCGCGCAGGTCGTCTGGGATGCTCTCGGTGAAGCTCGTGGCGCTGGACAGCAGGAAGAAGCTCAGGAAGAGCGCCGAGATCTTGATGATGATGACAAAGCTCGACGTCTTCTGCACGAACGCAGTGGGGTACGGCTGCTTGATCTCCAGGTACAGCAGAAACGCAATGTGGAACGCAATGAGCACGACAATCTGCCACAGACCCTCGATCCAGATCATGCCCGTCGTCATACCCGTCAGCAGAGCCAGCAGCAGCTTGGGCGCGAAGAAGAAGCGGCCTTCGAAGCTGTGCTCGTCGTACAGCGGGCCGTACCGCGCGTGGAACTTCTTGTCGAAGTGGTCCTTCGTGCCCAGGTCGCGCAGCTCGTCCTCGTTGTTCTTGATCACCAGCACACCGTACAGGATCGTACCGAAGGCCAGGCACAGCAGCGTGATAATGGCCAGGAAGAAGCTCAAGCCCACCGTGTTGTGGTCGATGCAGTAGCAGATCTCGTACATGCCCGTAGCGCCGACAACGTACTCGGACAGAATGAGGATCATCATGAGCACGCCGATGGCCTTGTCCAGCCATTTCTGGCTGAACGCCGCGAAGTCGTCCACCACGAAGTAGCACACGCCCATGGCGAGAGCGTAGGCACCGAACAGAACGCCGACCATGCAGGCAATACCAGCCACAGCCAGGTAGAAGAGCATGTCGGCCTGGACGCCAATGAGCGCCGCGTACTTCTCCATACCCTGGACGCCAGTAGTGCTCGACGTCGATCCAGAGCCGGAGCTGCCACTCGCGCTGCTGCCAGTAACAAGACGACGAGAGGTCGATTTGGTCGTGTAGTCGTCGTCATCCGACGCAGTCGAGTTGATCTTGCCGAAGGGGAGGAAATTGAAGGCGGCTGGGGCCATCTTCTTGCCCATGTTCTCCATGAACCGCGGACGCGCGTCCACGTTCATCTGGTTGAGCATGATCGAGAACTGGCAGATATCCACCGCGGCCATGGTGATACCCACACTAGCAGCAGCCGACACACCCGAAGCCACGCCGGCAGACGTACCGCCGACAACGCCACTCGCCACCGACATAACACCGCCGGCCACAACCGACACGGTGGCAGCGCTGCTACCGATCGTAGTCGAAGCAATACCGGCCTTGTCCACCGTCGACTTCTTCGTACCGTCAGACCAGTGGTCCGAGTCCTCGAGACCCTTGTTCACCGGCACCGAGTACTCCGAGTTGGACGTCGTGGAAGTGCCGGCCGTGCTGGCCGACGACGCGGTGCTCGTCACACCGGCGCACTGGCAGGCGCTGAACGAGCTGTCGCTCGTGTACTCGCACTCCGTCGTGGCAGCGAACGTCAGGTTCGAGAACGGCTGCTGCACTGCATCGGCGACCGCCGACGCCGCCTGCGTGCCGGCGTAACCCATGAGCGTGATGAAGTCCAGACCCGCGTACACCTCCGAGTTGATGCCGTCCTCCGACGTGTAGTCCCACGTGCCGTTGTTGCAGGCCGGGAAGCGGCACACCGACATGCACGTGGCCAAATCCGAGATCTCGGTGCCCGAGGAAGTGCCCGAGTAGATCAAACACTCGGTGGACGCCGCCGCCGACTCCACGTCCAGCTCGGTGCCGTCGCACGTGAGCCCCATCTTGGTCCACGCGCCGTAGAACGTCGAGTCACACCTGAACTCGATGGTCGTCGAGCCGGTCGTGCTGCTGCCGCCGACAACGCCGGCAGATCCCGTCATGGACGACGAGCCCGTCGTTGTCGTGGTCGGAGCCGTCGTAGTGGTGGTGGTCGTCGTGTTGGTCGTTGAAGGAGTGGCCGTCGTGGTGCCTGGCGTCTTGGTAGTCATCGACGACGGAGTCTTGGTCGTTGACGTAGGCGTGGCCGTCGTCGCAGTCGGCGCCGTCGTAGCCGTCGTGGTCGTGGTGAGCCCCGTAGCCGCCGACGATGCCGTCGAGACAGCTTCTGTCACGCCGGAAGTGTCGACCGTCGTACCGGCAAGTGTCGTAGCAGCGCCGGCCTCTCCAGCCTCGCCCATGAGGCGACGACCGCCGTCAGTCGAGCCGGTCGTCGTCGTGGACGGAGCCGTGGTCTCCGTGGTCGTGGAGGTGGACGATCCCTCGGTAGTGGTCGCACTGGGGGTTTTGGTCGTAGCTGTCGGCGTCTTGGTCGTGGCTGTCGGCGTCTTGGTAGTGGACGTCGGCGTCTTGGTGGTGGACGTCGGCGTGGTCGAGGTCGACGACCCCGAGCCGGTGGACGAGGTGTCCTTCGAAGCGTCCTTCTTGGACCCACTGGAGGACGTCTCATCGTTCGACTCGCTCGAGCTGTCGGAACCCACGCCGACAGTGCCGGGCGTGTCGGAAGAGCCGTCGCCGACACTGCCGGACAGGTCGCTGGAACCGTCCTCCTGCTCAGTGTTGTCGTCATCCTCGTCGTCCTCGTCGCTGCCGGAGGACGTCGTGCTGGTCGAGGTGGACACTCCGCTCGGCAGGTTCGTTGCCGTCGGCATCGAGTACCGGAACACGCAGGACACGGAGCCGGCCGTGGTCGTAATGCCATTGCCGCTGCCCGACGAAGTGGACACCTGCGAAGTTGTCCCGGTGGACGTCGTCGTTGACGTCGCAGTGGACGTGGACGTTTGCGCCGCTGCGACACTGAGCGCCGCAGCTGCGGCAACTACCGCCGAGTACACGCGCATTTTTGGTGTTGTTCCTGTTGCCTGTTGCCTGTTTAGGTGGTGTCTAACCGCTGACTGGTTAGCACTATCCTAAAGCGACGGGGGGTTAGATACTCCGCGCGAATGTCGGGTGGGGGAAATCTACGCCGTGTTGCTTCCGGCTCGATCGGATCCAAGACTCGCCCTGCTGCCTTGCCGCTCGATCGCCGCGCTGATCCGTTCGTTCCTGCGGCGAGTTCTCGTGTGCCTTGGCTGTCTCTGCTGAGGGCGGTGGCGATTGACAGACTGAATTGGGAGAGCCAGCGTCGCGCTGGCAGAGGATACATGTATATGAAGTGCGTAAGATAGGCGAACGGCTAGGGGAACCGAAAAGCACTGGGCGGAACTCAATGACCAATCAGCGAGCAGATACTAATTTTATCTTGGTTTTACTATAAGGCTTATAAGTCACACAAGGTATAACGGCCACTCGAACGAAGTGATACACCGCAAAATGCACTAACCTTCACCCCGCAGCGGCGTCGACTTTGGTGTTAACGCTTGCGATATGCTGCGACGGCAATAACGGCAGGCGAGCAACAAGGTCCCTTCGAGTCGGGTGGGTGGGTGGGTGGGTACATTGCATCGTTTCCCAGCCTAAAGTTATCAACCGAGGGAAACCTTGAATCGGCCGGAGACCTCTGGAGTGCATGGCCAAGTCGACGTGACGACCCACCGCTGCGTAAAGAGGAGGTGCAGCACAGATGCACGCGAAAGTCTCAGTTCTCTCTCTTAGATATGACGGGCGACTGACTGGGAGCTCAGCTCAGATGCGGCCGCATGGGAGAAGTTCACCACTGCCGCCGCCACCTTCGGCCTCGACTTTGGGATGGCTCCTTTGGTTTGCCGCGACCTTCTCGATCTCCGTTATGACCAGGCATGAACTCGGAAACCACCTGGTGGCATCTGGTCTCCCCTTGCCACGACATCACAACACGTGTTGCCATCCAACCAGATCCTCGTCTTGCTCGTCTTGCGTGGTAAACTGACGTGGCAGTTTCCCCGCTTTTTGGTGCGAGTTGCAGCACCACATTTTCGTTCTTTGTGCGGAGGAAATCCAGACTTCCCCGGCAAATGGATTTGTTTTCTCGACAAAACAATGCCGGAAAGCTTCACTTTCCGTTGACATGTACCTCGCCCCGCTCAGCTTTGCCAAGTCAGTTCACAGTCAATGCAAAGTGGCGACCTGCGATCTGGCTGGCTGGCTGGCTACATTTTGTGTTCGAGGCGAGTCGATCGTCAATGAAGATCAAAATGCTAGTTGGTTGGGTGGATCCCCTTGATCGAACAGCGCACGCTCACACGACATCGCAAAAGTTGCTATGCAACTTGCAAAGGTAAAAAAATCTCCGATTCGTCCGAGGTGACCACCCTTCTCGAACGAAAGCGTCCACTTGCAGGCATAGAGCAATGCCTGTACAATACTGTTCGTAGCTGTTCAACCATCTGCGCCAAAGATTACCGTTGAGACTTTCAAGGCTCGTCGATGAAGCTGAGCTCGTCGAACGTGACGTACTTGCCGGACTCAAACGCGCCTCTGATGGCCGCCACGACCCCGCGGCGAGACGATTTCTCGGTCGGCACGAGCGTTCCCTGCTCCTTCATGTCGTTGAACCACTTGGCGAGCTGCGGGGCCATGAGCGGCGACTCGCGCATCGTCTTCTGCATGTCGGTGTCCATGGCCCCGGGCGAGTACGAGAGCACCGCCACCTCCTCCTTGTTGCAGTTGCCGTTGCAGTGGCAGCCGCTCTGCTCCAGCGCCAGCACGCGGAAGTGCATCTCGCGAGCAGCTTTGGCCGTGCAGTACTGGCTCAAGGTCGGATAAGGAGCGATCGCTGATCGCGAGGACACGTTCATGATGACCAGCCGCGGCGTCAGGACATCCGCCTGACTCACAGTCAGCTCCGACCTTATGGCGTTGATGCTGGAGGTGGTCACCTCACGGCCGAAGACGTCGAGGAAGCGCTTGTTGAGCCACATGACGGACGTCACGTTGAGCTCAAAGTGCCGCGCCATGACGCTCGGACTCGGGCATTCCTGCGCGAAGCCCAAGCCCCCGAGGGCCCCCGCGTTGTGCACGAGGAAGACGCGGTCGTGACGCTCCGCCCCCGACGTCAACTGAATCAACAACGCGTCGACTTTGGTCGTGTAGTCGGCGCTGTCGCTCAGGTCCACGGGTCGAGTGAACACGCGAAGGCGTCCACTTGACGGCACAGAGCGTCGAGCCTCGTGAACCTGCTGCGATGTCTCGTTCAGACCGACTTCGTCTCGAGCCCAGAGGAACTGCGGAACAACACAACAACCTGGTTTTCAGCCTAACAACGATAGCAACAATGGTGTGTACTGCCGTACCAGGTCCAAGTCGCTCGTGGCAAGCTCTCGAGCGAAATTGAGGGCTAAACAACGCCCAAAGCCTCTCGAGGCACCGGTAACCACCACCGCACAACGCATGGGATCCGATAACCAGACTGACTCAAAAGATCTCTCGCTCTCAACAAGATACTACACTTCATTCAATGTAGCCATGTTCCACTTCAACTTGAAGACGACAGGTACCTCCTGCCATTCACCGGCGGCTTCCACTTGCCGAGCAGCAGCAGACGCTTCTTCACGTCCATGGATATTTCCACCGCATCGGACAGCGCCACGGTCTCGGACGACTCAGCAGCAACAGTCTCCTCACCGGTTCTCGTCCTGTTGGCGTTCGTCTTCTCCCTCAAGCGCTTCACGACGGGACTCGTCGGGCGTCGAACGTCCGCGTCAGAGTCGTCGCTGTCCTCAAAGACGTCGGAGCGTCGAGGTTCCGCCGAGAGTTTGGCCGGCACTGACAACTGACGGTCGTGACGCCGAGCCATGGGCTTAGCCGCGTCTTGCCACGCGAGCGCGTACGTCTGCCAGTAGAAGAAGACGGCGCTCTTGAGCCGCTGCGCGTGGTAGTTACCAGCGCTCTCGAGCTGCTGCCGTCTGCGTTGCCGGTCTTTAGTCCTCACGAACCAGAAGGAAAGAGCACGCTTGGCGATGATACTGTCCCGCTTGAGTAGGGCTGCTCTGCATCGACGTTCGTGGTCAACCACCCGCCTCCACGCTCGGAATACGACCTCTTGGACGCGTTGACCGGCCACATACTTGAGCTTGACGACACACGAGAGCAACACAAAGCGACGTTCACGTTGCTTCTTGACGGCGGCTTGCCACACACCGAGACTTCGGCGTAGCAGTGTCAGTGCCTCGTGCTCTGCGGCGTGTTCGAATTGCTCGTGTCGCTGCAGTTGAGAGGCCAAGGTGGCGTGGCTCCAGCACCGCCACACTTTGCGCAGAAGACTCTGCTCCGCGTGCATTGCAGCGAGTCGCTTGCCTTGTTTCGCGTTGACGAACTGCTGCCAACGCAGGAACGAGCGCTGAGAGGTTCGAGTCTCCTGTTTGCCCACGAAAGACGCACAAAGCTGGCGCCAGTACAGGTGCTTGGCTGCAACTTGTCGCCATGCAGCCAGCATCTTCTTCGCCTTGGAGCTCAGCAAGAACTCATCGAAGCGCGTGGCCATCGCGTGTTTTACTGCCGACTGCCACAGCTGAAGGTGCTTCCTCAGCACAAAACGCTGATACAATCGACGCAACCGACGCGCGCGGCTGAAGTCGCGCCAGCGACTCACCGCTCGATGTCCTCGGAAGACGCACAACTGCTCGTGCGCAGCTTCAGCTTGTTCGCGTAGTTGAACAGCGCGTTGAGTATATTTAAGCCACCCCCTTCGCAGTCTATTGCGGATGTGGAAGACCATCGCTTTCTGCAGTGCCAGGTCCTTCACAACCTGGTTCTTCGTGAACCTCCTCCACCTCGTCCAAACCTCTCGACGTCTCTGTTCAACATTCTTCAACTGCAGACTATCCACTGCAACTCGCTGCCACCTTTGCGTATTCTTCCAAGTCTTCCAAGTGACAAAGTGACGCTGCGTCTTTCGCAGTCGGAGCTCATCGAGACATCGGGAAGTCTGCTTCTGACGTTGACACCACTTCCGCCAACGTGTCAAAACCTCCGGCAGCAACGTATCGTAGTGTCGGTTGCCGAAGTATTCCAGCACGAGTCGCGCTCGCTTAGTTCGCTGCTGATTATCTCGGAGACTTCGAGCCGCGCGACGCAGATGGAAGGCGTCCATGTGAGCCTTGACGCGCTGTGTTTCGCGATGAGCCTCGACCATCACGTTTCGGAAGTCGTGGCACCAGACCAGCCAGTATTTTGTCAATAGCCGAGCGCGATGGTACGCGTCCAGACTCGCCTGCAGGTGTCGAGCCTCTTGGACGTGGAATTTCCACGCCCGCCAGTGCGTTTTAAGCTGCTTCCGCTCTCGTCGAGCCATCTCCGTGTTGACCAAGACCCAGAGCTCACGCTCGCGTAGGCGGTCCCTCTGAAGCTGCTTGACTCGGCCCACGAGCTCCTTCCAAGCTAGAAAAACGGTCTGCGCTGACACCGCTTGGCGCTGCTTCGTGAGCTTGATGACGATCCATCGGCTCCGGCGCTGCTGGTGGGCGAATCGCTGCCAGCAGATGAAGAGGAGCTGCAGGAGGCGCATGCGGTAGAAGAGCTGCGCGTGGAAAATCTGCCGCCACCGATACCAAGCTTGAGGGAGGTCCCAGGTCACCTCGAAGCGCTGCAGCACGCGGGCCTTCTTGGCTAATTCTTGGCCAAGCGAGACGAGTTGGCGATCGTCAGCACTAGTTTGTACCCCTAGGCTAGCTCTAACAATGTCCAGCTTTGAGCCATTGCAGTCAACGTCACCTTCAGTCACGATACTCTCGACTTGTGCAGTTGCAGTGTCCTCATTCTCGACTACAGACGTGCCGACACGTAGCAGAGCGGGAGGGTCCGCCACTACCAGCAACAGGCTGGCTAGACGCTTCCTTTGCGCTGTGAACTTCTGCCAGAGCATGAACCGGAACCGCAGGTGGCTGCCCACAGCAACACTCGCCAGCATCTTCCGGCACTGCGCGTGAGTTCGACTGCGCAGCTTCCAGGCCGTAAAGATCCTCCCCACCAGCTCAATCCACTGACGCCTCGCCGACTTGGCTCGGAACGCTCGAATTTGCTGCGTCGAGGTCACCGCCTTCCTCCACGAGAGGAAGCTCGACTCCACTTGACGTTGCTCGCCAGCGCCGATCATGCGCTCGACTTTACAGAGCACGACGTACTGCTTCCAGTGCTTAAGCGCGTGCGCGGAGGCCTTGGCAGCGCTGAAGTCGCGAGCTTTACGGTTCTGTCGAGTCTTCACGACGAACGATTTCCACGCCTGGAACACCACGCGCGAGCACATTTGCGTTCGCAATGCCAGAGACTGGGAAACCTTCTCACCCAGTAACTTACGCCGAGCCGTGAACGCGTACCAGGCACGGAAGCTTCCTTTTTGAACCGACTGCTGCATCACATCCAGGTAATGAGCCAACTTCTGGCGTCGATTGATCCGATCCACAACAACCGCTCTCCACTCTGAGAAGCTTTGAGCTCGAAGTCGATAACATCGGAATGCAACAGCTCGAGCATTAGCGTGCGTCTTTCTCTTTTGTAGCAGCGCGTACGCCTGCAACGCTCTAAGCGCTTTGAACTGAGTCTGAAGCTGCATGTGAGTCAGCGCGTCCCTCATCTTCGCCTTCGAGGCGCGACTTTGAGCCACAAACTTCATCCAGCAGACCCAAACTCGCTTCATCAGCTGGGTACCCGCAAACGCAGTGGACATGAGCGTCATGGCCTTCTCGATCTTCTGCGTCCCAACGAACTCCTTCCACTTCGCCATGCACTGACGCTGCGTACTGCGCAACACTCGGGCTTGAATCTGCTCCTGAAAGGCTTGAAGCACCTTTCGAGACTCGCGCGACCGAATCCACACTGTGAAGTAGCGCTGCAGCACTCGCCGCTTACCGGAACGCGAGATGAGGATCAATTTACGCCACACGTACCACGCCTTCAGCAACGCAGTGCGGCGGAGTTTGCCTCGAATTGCAGCTTCACTTACGCGAAGTGTTTTGCGGTAAACTGCGTGGTCGTGCAGCGCGCAAAGGCATCGGTACACTGTCTGCATCCTCCACCGGCTTAGAAGCCTTCCACAGACGGCTCGGAAGTGCTGGTTCTGCACTCTAATGTGACCCCATTGAGTCAACGCCTTCCGTAGACTAAAGTTGCGATGGCGAAGCTCTGCGCGGGAAATCGTAGCACGACGCTCCTTTTCGACGTTGTGAACGAGAACCAACGCGTTCCAGACCTTGCGAAGGAATGCGCTCTCCCAACGTAGTGTAGCAGCGCGAATTTTACGCGAAAGAGCAGCTAGATCCTTCCATCGCCAGAAGATTGTGGAGACTTGACTGCCCGACACAGCAGATCTGAAGACCTGCGCTTTTTGGCGGATCGTACGCACATACTGCTGCTCATGGACTAAAGTTCGTAGCGCGTTAACCCCCTTCTGCATCCGGCGGAAGCGCAAAAATGACGAAACTTGGTGCCGAGCTGCAACATTCCTCTCAGCGTGCAGGTGCCAGGCCGTGAACACTTGAGAAAGCTGTCGCGAGTTGCATTTGCTTGATAAAATCTGCACAACAGCCCGCAGCTTCTTGTGTTGGTGACTCCACGAGTGCCAAGCTCGGAGGGACGAGCAGAGCAGCAGGACTTGCAGTCGCTCCGTGTTGATCTGCAGCTGTCGACGGTGGTAGCAGATTCCAGCGACGTTGGTCTTCCACTCGGTGAAGCTCCTTCGCTTGAGTTTGTCCTCGAACACCACGCGAGCGGCGGTTGTCTGCATGCGTTTGGTCTTCTCAGTCACAGCGAACTGCCTCCACTCAGCCAGCAACGCAGCTAGGAGACGGAGACGCGACGAGTGGTAGAGCTCGAGGATCTGCGCGCGCTTGAGGCGGAGCGAGGCTGCGACTGCTCTCCAAGTCTCGAACGCATGTTCGAAGACGTGCTTCGCGTGGAGTTGACGCGCGCGCAGATTAACCGCCTTCTTGCTCAACGAGAGAGCGATGAACACCCTCCAAGACTTCCACGAACGCTTCAACTTGGCTTTGGTGTTCATCGCCCGGATCCGTCTCTGTTGTCTCTGCTCCTGGCAGAACCGAGTCCAGCCGTAGAAGTGGCGCCCGCACTGCGTTTTGTGCCACAACTCGATGGCTTTAAGTGAATCGAGGCGGGTTTGGCGCCGAGATTGAGTCACGTCGCTCCAGTGGTCGAACACTCGCGCAAGTTGGACGGTCTTCCAGCGACGTAGCATGCCAGCAAGTCGAATATTGGTCAGAGGGCTGTCGACATCTTCCAGTCGAGAAACTCGCACTCGTAGCTGGCGGATTGCAGCTTTTTGAGCCTGCTTTTTACCGTGGAAACTGCTCCATTCACGCCACGCAGCGGCGAGCAACCGCCTCACATACCCCGACCGCCGGAGCTCTTCACACGCAGCGATGACCGACATGCGCTGCGCTACTTTCCTCGCCTGCCACTCTTTCTGAAAAGCTTCATGGACGCATCCGATCTGCCTGACCAAGTTTTTCTCCTTGTGTTTCATCGCTGCGTATTGTTGGAACCCAGCGACCAACACTAGCCGCATGAGGTCGAGACCTCGGCGATGAGCGAACTGCTTCACTTGAATAGACAGCAGCGCGAACTGCTTCCAGACACGCAGACGATGGCGAAGCTCGGACGCAGTTCGGTTTCCACTCACCTTTTCACTTAGAGTTTTGACGGAGCGGAGCGTCCGAGCTTTCGCTCGCCAATTGATCATGCAGATTCTCAGAACTCTGAGCTTTGTTCGTTCCGAGACGAACAACTCCGCTTGTCTGCGCTGCCGACGAGAGATGGCAACGAGTCTCCATCGTTTAATAACGTCGTACAGAAGAATCTCGCGCTGTCCAGTGAGCTTTCTCCGGATGAAAGAGCGGAGCCGAGCGTATCGTTTCCATCGCGCAAACGTAGTAGCTCTTGTGTCTCTCACCCACAACAGCGCAAAGCGCTCTTGGATGCTCTGCAGCCGCTGCGCTTTGTACTCGACGCTCTCCCTCCACGCAGCTAACACTCGAGCCAATACGCGACTGCGCTTCTTGGCTAGAAACTCACGCGTGGACTGGAGCACTAGAACGTGGCGAGTCCAAGCGTCGAAAACTCGACGCGAAGTATTCTGGTACCACAACTCAGCGCAACGTCGTTGCAGACGATCACGCCGCGCAGTCGCGCTCCACTCCCTCAGAACTCTGAAGTATAAACGCCTCTTGTATAAGTTCGCGGCACGGATTTGGTCTCGTTGTTTCTTCTTCTGACGCGATTCAAAGCGCCTCCAAGACGCAAAACTACGGGAAATCGCTCGATTCCTCCACTGAGCTTCAGCACACTTCGCCTGTCGGTGGTGGAGAGAGAACTGAGCCCAGACCTTAAACGAGTGTCTTTCCAGTTGATGGCACCGCAGTCCACGCGCACGTAGCAAGATTTCTTGCTGTCGCTTGCGAGATAGGACGAACATATTCCAGGCTCTGAAATATCGTGGCAGCAAGCAGCAGTATCGAAACTCAGCCGCCTTCTTCTCCAGAGCTTGAGCGACAACTCGTCCCTCCACGTACAGCCTCCAGTTTTTGAAATGAAGCTGCAACTGCGACGCTGTCGACGCCTTGGCGGCGCGTGTTAGTGAGCGCTTCATCGTCTTTCGGGTCTGGACAAAGCTTCTCCACAGTTGAAGCTTCCCTCGCACTCGGAAGTTCCTCAAGGATACAGCCCGAGCAGCACCATCCCGTCGGCTGCTGCGTCTCTGAGCAATAAAGGACTTCCAGCGTGAAAAACTCGCGGCTTTCATGAGTCTGACGCCCCTCGCTACCGCACAAGCGTGGGCCGCTGTCAGTCTCTTACTCGACTGAGCGTTGAGCTTCAGCGTCTGAATAGATCTCTTCATCTTGAGCCTTTCAAGTCGATCTTTGGTTACATCAAGCTTCAATGCCGCCTGGTCTTGAGCCCGCCACCACTTTGACCACGCCACGAAGGCCACTTGGATCAAATGGTTTCGACGGTAAGAACCAGCTTGAGACCCCTGCGTCTTCTTCTGCTTTCGACTGAGTTTGTTCCTCAATAAACCACGAAAAGCACAGGACAGAAGCGTCTGACGTCGAAATGCCAGCGATTTCACTAGAAGACAACTGCGTTTGCGCTGTTCCAGGCGGAGGGAGTTCCAGTACCGGACTGCTCGCTTGGCTTTGGAGCGCAGTAGCTTACTCTGAGCCTCCAGAATCTGGTATTCACGAGCTGCAGCAGCTTGATGGGTTCTCTTCCAGGCATTGAAATGGGCTTCAAGAGCTCTTTGCTTGGATGTCACCTGGGTAGACTCAAGCAAGCGACGATGGCGTTTGCGGATGGCCCACGTCGTCTTCCAGCTGTGGAAAGTGGCGTAGAGCTGCCGGCTTTCCCGCCTTGAAGCGACTGCGGACAGTCTTTCGTGCTGCCCTCGCTTCGCTTTGAGTGCGTGTCTCCAACATTTCCAGCGAGCACGAAGCAAACGCTTGCGTATTCTCTGCTGGACAGCTTCGGCGTGTACAAGGAGTTGACGTGTAGAGGCAACGACTTGCTTCCACTGCCGGAAACACGCGTTGAGGTGAAATTTATCCAGCATTTCCACAGCTTTCGAAGTCCTGTGGCGACGGTGATGAACGCTATAAGCAAATTGCTTCCACGCGCGGAACACACTCGACTTTTGGTACCTTTGCAGTTGATCATCAGCTAGCCGAGCCCCATTTCGCCACCAAAACGCTTCTCTCCATGTTGGCCAAGTCATATCGATCAAGCGATGACGTCGGACGGAATTTCTCAATTGTTCCCCACGAAGTCGACATTCTCTCCGTTTAGCGATGTGAATTTGCCAGCCATGAAAGCAATTTCTCATGAGTTTGAGAAGTTTTCTCTCTCCAAGGTTTGCGGCTTTGAACTGCTTCTGCCGCTGCGACTGCATATTCGCTACCAAGAACTTCCAATGCAGAGCCAACAGGTTGAGTTTATGCAGTTGCTGACATTCCAGGAAGGCACAATGTCGCGCTGACCTCCTTTTTGCATACTGTCTCCATCGTGAAAACACTTTACCCAGAAGATGAAAGGAATAAACAGAGCCCAGACACCGAGTTGCGCTGCGGGTGCCTGTACTCTTTCGCCACCGATTCCAAACCCCTCGTCGTCTCAGTTGAATCACACCAGCAACTAATCTGTCTTCAAGGCCGGAGGCTTCCACATGATGTTTTCTCCAGCCATCAAAGCAAACGGCGAGTTGGCTCGCTGCTCGAGCCTCTCTCACGTCCGACAGTGATTTACCGAGGGATATTTGTCGCTCCGTCCAACCAGCCCAAGCTCCGAACGCTAGCGCAAGATGGCGACGCCGAGAGAAGCGATGGAATCGCTCTCCTCGCTCTCGAAAGTCTTGTAGCTGATCAATCGCCATCCTCCAGAGGCGGATAACTTGATGCTGTCGTCGTCTTTTTGACGATATCTGCCACAAATCCATTCTCGTTCTTGTTGTCTTGTTACGCAAAACATTCGCACGCAACTCGTTCCACGAGTCGCTCATTAAACGCAGTCTACGTTGATCGCTTGACACACACAGCAGCGCTCGAGACGCTTGCTTCCGCTCCTTTTCCCGCTTCCAACGCGAAAAAATCCGTCGCTTTCGTGCCATTTCGAACCGATGTCGCTCCTCCCGTTGTTTCTCCACTGCGTCCTGCCAGGACCTTAAAGCTTTACGCACCACTTGACTCCTGTAATGTTGACTAACTTGATGCAGCTGCTGTCTGCTCTGGAAAACCCCTCGCCAATGATCCAAACACGTTCTCAACGTAGAACGCCCACAACGCTGAGCCACCCACTGCGCGCGATCGGTAGAACACTTCCTCGTCTCCGTGAACAGCCTCCAGCGTTGAATGCACTGGAACGCGGTCTCCAGCACTGCAGCGCGCTGCTTCACGATCACCCGTACACGAAATGTTTTAACAGCACGAGCGTCGCGCCGCCATTGTTGGAGGAAATTCCTCATCTGCCACATCCAAACGCGCTTAGCCGAGTACTTGAACACCTTCAAGTCGACTGAAATGCGTCGCAAAATACACAACGGAAGGGCTCTTGGGCTCTCGATCGCCTGGAAATCCACCTTCTCCGGTAAACAGAGAGCGATCCAGTGGAAAAGCGAGTGGATGCAGAGCGGAATCGTGACTTGCTGCTGTCGCGTCTTCCGGTCCTGCAGTTTGTTCTGGTCCACGAGCTGCTTGACCGCTTGAGTTGCTCGCCACTGCTCGATGGACGTCGTGATCATCTGAAGCTTGCGCTCGCCTGCTGCGATCCGGTCTCGGCCCTTCGCTGACTCCCTTCCGCTTGAATTATGTGCATCGTCTCCTTTATCAAATTGTTCGTCATCCTCCAAGAATTCCATCGCAAGTTCTGGCATCGGAGCTACTCGTTCACCTGGAGACGGCTTAGCGGTAGAAGCTGGAGTTGGGAACTTCCTCCTTCGACTCTTGTCGTCGTCACCAGCACGGATCCGCTGGATCGGAGAGTCGAGCGACAACATGTCCCCAAACCGATCTTGGTTTCCATGGCCCTTCTTAGGCGTCTCCCTCGGCCTCAACAGAGGTGAAGCCTGACGGATAGTGCTGTGTTTACTACCAGTCCGATGCCGTCTTCGCTCTTCCTCGAAGGAATTGGACTCAGCCTCTCGAGTCTTAGTAATAGACGCGGCCGATGCTGCACCCGTGTCATGCTGGTGTGAGCACAACCGCTTCACTCTCGGTTGAGCCCCCAGATCAAAGTTCAAGATCTTCGTGCGCCAGTCTCGCTTCGGATTGATCGAGAGCGACAGCAAGTAGCGATGGTACACCGCGTCGTCAGGTGGGCCGATCCCATAGCGCTCGAACACGCTGTACGACGCCTGAATGAGCTCGATGAGCGAGATCGCCTCCGTCTCCACCTCCACCTCCATCTCCTCCCCCCCTCCACCCAGCGCCTGTCGACGAGCCGAAGATTTCGCTGCTCGCTTCCTCTCCGCCACCACGAAGATTTGAGTCAGCAGGTTGCAGACCATTTCGCGGCGTCGGGACTGAGCGTCCGTCTCATGACGTCGGGAGCTCGTCACCGCTTGGTGAGCGACGTCCGTGGGCATAATGCAGCTCAGAGACCAGCCTCAATCCTTCTCCCCCCTCGCTGCAGTTTCGAGTCTGAGACCAAAGCGACGGAGGTCGTTTCAAGGCTCTCGCTCGGTCGCCCTTTCACCTCGACTGACTAGCTAGCCGAGGTAAATGGTGGCCGAGATGTTGATGGTGAGGACGGCCATGGCCATGAAGAGCACCCCGAGGAAGGCGCTGAGGCCTTTGATGCGGTCGAACTCGATCCCGACCGCCATCTCCACCACGACGCCAATGTAGTCGACCAGCACTTCCACTGCGAACTGGAACACCAGCATGCCCAGCTTGCCCAGTCGCCACGCCCCGTGGTCCGATAACGTGCTGGTGGCGTCGAACTTGAGCGCTGGGTAGTACGGATGACCGGCGAACCAGAACATGATGGACTGCGAGCAGCCGATGGAAATGTACTCGGCGTACATGTCCGCCGTCCGCTCTGCTGTGTGGTAGGGTAGAACCTGTCGTCGCCAGAGATCGAACTCGAGCTTCAACGACGAAGAACAGGGTGGAGATGAAGAGGATTGCGTGGTCTTGTGTTTGGCCACCTGCGCCTGCATCGTGTTGGCAGATAACTGGTGAAGTTTCTCCTCGACTGCTTTGGCTTGTCGGCGAATGGAATAGACAATGGACAGCGCCTTCGCAGCCCTCATGCAACCTTCCACCATCGCCATACCAACGGTTCCGATCATGAGGAACGTGTTGGTCTGCGTCCCCACCATGAGAATCCGCGTCTGCGTATCGATGAGAACGGTCGGAACCCCCACCAGCACGCACATGGTGCGGATACTTTGGACGCCTCTCTTGATAATGTACCACTTGGCGGATTCCTGGAGGCCGATCTTGAGCAGCGCGGTGGAAACTGCGAAGAGAACGATCACGACCTGCCCCCGGTCCAAGATCCTGTACGAGGACACGGCGTGGACGTACCCTCCAGCCAGAGCGACGAGAACGGCACTAGGGAGCTTCCTGCAGTATTCGCGCCAGAAACTCGCAGTCCGGCGAGTTAGCACTCGTGGAAGTGGCTGTCGGGGCGACGTTGCTTCCGCAGCTTTCAGACGTTTGGCTCGATGACCACGCCAAATACTCGGAGACCGGACTAACGGCGTCTTTGTGTTTCACGGCGTCCCTCACCGTGAGGCTTCGACTGCGTCCTTCGCAGGTCTCCTGGTAGTATATTCGACGTACAGCTAACGCGATGCCCGCAGAGTAGGTGAGATCGCACAGATCGCCCATGTAAAAGTGCAGTTTGAACTGGAAGAGCTCTGTCATCAAGGACGTATGGTTCACTAGCAAGGCCACGCAGATCATTCCCCCCATTGACGCGGCAAAGTAGCGGATCGACCCTTTCATCAGCTTTTTCATGCAGAACCAGACCCCAGGCTGGTAGTCTGGACATCCGAAGAAGCGTTGGGTCATTAGTGAAGGCATGTGGGCGACCAGCATGATGCCGCAATAGGATAAAACCGTCCAGATCAGTGTCGCCGTGAACAATTCAGGCAGCGATTGCTGAGGGGAAGCCTTGAGGGAAAAGATGTTGCCAACGTAGTAGCATCCGTTTGTGACCACAGCACAGAGGATGCAGGCGAACGCGTTGCGCACCACGACGATCTGCATCTTGGCCGCCCGAGACCATTGCAAGCGAAGGCGCCGACGCGCTGTGTGAGTACAGTGTAGCTGTGGGGTGACAACCTTGTGTTTGAGTTGGTTCCTAGCGACGAAGGCCGTGAGCGGACCGACCCGATCGCCGGATGGCATCCCACGTCTGCCAGAATGACTTGTGACGAAGAGATGACTAAACTACTGCATTAATAACGCAGGCAGAGAAGGTTACGAGCACTTCCAAGTTACCCCGTCAGTTATGTCGATAAGCTGGTTGTTTAATCTCCACAGTGCAGAATGAACATTGGCACTTACTTTATTCGCGCCTACCTAAGTGCATCTCTGGCCTAACGTGGTTTGCCGGACTTCTTCGTCGACGGCGGTCGTTCACGATTGTTTTCTTTTTGCATCTTCTAACTCTTCGTTGGTTCTCACCTCCTTTAGACATCCATCGACTGCTGGTGCTTCATGTCACGCAGCTCGTCCTGGATCTCCTGGATGGTCTTGCCCTTTGTCTCGGGCACGTACTTGAGGGTGAAGGCGAGCGCCAAGCACAGCGCGATACAGAACGGCACGAACGTGTACTCCCCCAGCTCGCGCTGCATGGTCGGGAACATGAGGCCGACCAGGAAACTGCACGACCAGTTGACCATCGTGGCAATGCTCATGGCGGTCGGACGCGGCTTGGCCGGGAACATCTCGGCCACGATCAGCCACGGGATCGGGCCGAGGCCGATCTCGAAGAACCACACGAAGCACATGACACCACCCACACTGGCCATGCTGGCGAACGGCAGCGCGTTCATCAGGCCCAGCGTGAGTACAATACTGGAGAAAATCATGCCCACGGCCGAGTAGATCAGCAGCGGCCTGCGGCCGGCCGTGTCCATGAGCACGAGCGCCACGCCCGTCGAGATGACGTTCACCGTGTACACCAGCGTCGCGCCCACGAGCGGGTCCTTCAGGCCCACGTTCTTGAAGAACGAGCTGGCGTAGAACATGACGGCGTTGATGCCACTGAACTGCTGCGCGAGCTGCAGCACGACGGCGGCCACGAGCGGGAAGCGGATGCTGCGGTCGCTGAGCACGGCCCAGATGCCCGTGTTGGCGCCGGATTCGTTGTCGCTGGCCGAGCAGATGCTGTCGATTTCCTCATACACGTCGTTAGACCCACGCAGGCGGCGCAGAATGTCCGCCGCCTCCTTCGGCCTGTTCTTGGTCAGCAGCCACCGCGGACTCTCCGTCAGCAGCGAGGCCAGCGCCAGCTGCAGGATACCGGGCACCGCCGTGAAGCCGAAGAGCAAGCGCCAGCCCGGTTGCGCCAGTCCGTTGCTCTCTCCAGAGTACTTGAAGGCCAGTAGGTCCGCGGCCAGGATGCCGATGACCATGAACAACTGGTAGCCCGTGCCCAGCGCGCCGCGCAGGTTGGGCGGCGCCAGCTCGCCGAGGTACAGCGGCACCACGACGCTGACCGTGCCCGAGGCGAAGCCCACCAGGAAGCGGCCCAGGATCAGCGCGTAGATGTTGACGGACAGCGCCATGATGGCGCCCGCGATGATGAAGAGGAACGAGTCGACGAGCAGCGCCTTCTTGCGGCCCAGCACGGTGCTCACCTGGCCCGCCGTGAGCGAGCCGATGGGCCCTCCCACCGCGAAGATGGACACGCAGATGGCCCACTGCATGTCCGAGTGGCCCGGGAAGATCACGTCCGGGTTGATGCCGCCGGTCACGCCCGTGTTGTAGCCGAACTGGAAGGCGCTCATGAGCGCCACGCCGCAGCTCAGCAGCAGCGGGAACGTGTAGCCGGGCTCGGGGAACTCGTCGTCGGCGCCCAGCAGCGGCTGGTCCTCGCCGCGGGCCACGAGGTTGGTGAAGCTGCCCCACGAGCTGCGCGACTTGAGGTTGGAGAAACTGCGCTCGCGCTGGAACGACTGCCGCCGCATGCCGGGCAGCACCGAGAACGGCAGCTCCTGGTACAGCCGCTTCTGCTCTTCAACTGCATTTTTGACAAACCACGCGCACACACGTCGCAGATGTTAGCTTGTCGAAATGAAAATGTCGGAAATGAGACTGTCGAAAAAAGGTGGAGTGAGTTTTCGACACGCACCATAGAACTGGAGGTTCTGCGCCGTGTTGCTGCGCTTCTTGAGGCCCTCGGCGATCTTGAGGTCGGCCCAGCTGCCGTTGGTGCCCAGCGCCACGTCGCTCTGCGAATGCTGCATGGTTGTTTCCTTTCTCTCTCTCCTCTCTGGGACTGGGGCCGATACGCGGGCGCGACCTGCTTGAGCCCTGGCTGTTTGTTAGCGAGCGAGAAGGCGAATGAGCCGACTTGGCTTCGTCCGTTTGTGCGCAAGATCGGCGACTGTCGCGTAACGACGGCACGGGGGGTCGTGGCGCGGGTTTGCTCGTTTTGTATAGGGAGAGCAGCGACTAAACGAATAATGTGCAGCGAGCTCCCGGTCGAATTCTCCGTGCGCGCATATTGGCGTTTGTATGCTCGAGGAAACGACCGAGTCGTATCATTCCGCCCTCCTCAAGTTCGATCATACCGTCTTTTGTGCAATAGGGTGCGTATCTTGAAGGGCCGGTGATCCCACTGTAACAATAATCAATAGAAAATGTGGGATGGATTTGAACAAAACAAGGTATACTATCAAATCGCGAGACAATTCGCGGTGGTAACACGTTGACGCGCCCGGCTTGGCATCATCAGCCAATGCGACGATAAGAATCCACAGTGCTCATTGCCCACGATCCAGCACGGTGTCTATCGGCAGAGGGAGAGCTCCCAGTCGCAGCGGCGGTGGGATTCGACAATGTAGACTTGGGGTGACGGTCACCTGCCCATATCCAAAAAAAAGAACTCGTGGCTGCTCGACTGACGTGGCAGGTCAAAACTTGTTTTAGCATGGTATCCGTTGATGGACATCGCTGCATATCCTCTGCCGCTGTTAGATTCCTACAACATCGATTGCTCAGCAACGCAGGGCACACGAGTGGAGGGGAGAGTAACTTGCTGTTTGTTGTTTGCTGTCCGGCCTTATCCGGAGCGGAACCCCAGCACGAAGCCGGCCGCGAAGCCGCTGCCAGCGGGCAGGCTAAACTCCAGCACCTTCATGAGCGACTTGTACATGGAGTCCAGGTCCTTGGTATCAAACACGCCGTCCTAGCAGTAGCAGCAACAGTCAGCCTTCTGTCATCAAACAAGCAAGGGAGGTTCTCTTTGTCCGTACCTTGTTGATGTCGAGGTAGTTCCTGACATCGCGCTCCAGCTTCTTGTAGTCCACGTCCACATACCCCGAGTAGCTCGCGCACTGTAGCAGGATGAAGATCGTTCCGATCGCCACCGCGCCAAGCTTGGACACCTTCTTGAGTGCGAATCCCGAGCACGCGCCCATGCAGAAGCCCCAGGAGATTTGGCCGCCCTTGCCCGAGGCCAGGAACTCGTCCACCTGCTTCTGCAGGTTGCTGTAGTCCTCCGGCAGCAGCGCTGCGATCTGCGCGATCGCACTGGCAGACAGCTCCTGCACCTTCTTCTTGGCCTGCTCCAGCGGGTCCTCCTCGCTGCCCTTGCTAGCAGCACAGACAGTCGGGTTTTGCTCGTCCAGCAACCCCAGAGCGCCGCACGCCCCGGCAGCCAGTGCCGCCGACTTCCAGTAACTCAGAGCGCTGCTGTTCGCCGTCCGATGCCACGTCCGCTGGGTCTCCACCAGCTCCAGCACTCTTCAACGTCGAATGTTGCATATGACATCGCCATAATTGGAGGTACGGTTATAACTATGATTGGCATTTGATCATGTTTGTCATATCAGACAGATATTCTGGCGAAATGGCCCTCTTACCTGGCTTGGGAGCTGAGGGCTACAGCGGCGCTAGGCTTCGCAGCTTTGGCGTGCGCCTTTAGCAGCGGGGCAGCAGGCGTCTGGCTGAAGTGGCGCACCTGATGCAGCACTCGTTGGCACGCCGGGGCGCCGCCGGCGACGAGGACTCGGCGCAGCATCTCGGCTGGCTTGTGTGGGCGGAACCGGAAGTGTCCGTAGCTATGGGTACGGTGTATAATATGTGTACCACACCGAAGTTGAAGGGCTTATGTTGCGAAAATATGTGTACCACATTCACATTGAAGTGACAATGTTGCCGTAACCGGAACGTTGCTGCTTGTGCGGGGGTTCCATTGGTTTGTCACGATCAGCAGGTACGCGACGTGATCTACATGTATTCGGTACGAAGGCGTCATTCATCGAGAAAATGTACATCGAAGAGACGGCTAAGCTAAAGAGGAACAGCGGGGACCCAGCGATCCTATCACAGGTTTGCTGCAGGATTGGTTGATACAACGTTTCGATAACAGGCGCGTCAGACGAGTATGCATGCTATGAAGTCTCTGTCAGAGACCGATAAGAATTCGGTGGAGCCTCTGTCTTCTCACCGAGCTCTGGATCTACCATCACGACAACCACCCGTTGGCAGTTGCGCACTCGGAAGTTGTCCTGCAGGAGAAGTTTCGTCGTGCTTTTGTATATTGGTATTGTAGCTACTGAAAAGTACTTCAGTATGAACAAACCATACCAGGTCATTCATTTGTTTCGTTTACGAGATGCGGACACAAAGCACTTGTCGACGCGGTTAACGCTGCTACAAACGGGGCCAGCGGTCGAAATCTCCACGCTCGCGCCAGCACCGGCACGAGAATGCAGTACAGTAGGGTACATGTACAACATTTATAGCACGCGCACGTGTCGTCGTGTGCTGCAGAGCGCTGCAGGAGCTCTCTACACAACGTCGGCGCTGCATTTGTCACGAGTGCTAAACAAGCGGATTGGAACCATGGATGGAGCAGCCGCGAGGAGGCGACGCATGTGTGCTCGGCGCAGGAGGGACTGAACCGTGGTTTGGTTGGTGGCCGACACACTCAACTCGAATGCCTCCCGTTTATCGATCGAAACGGTGCGTAACTCAAGTTGGGCAAGTCGCCATCACGGAGTTGTCTTGAACGCGTGCAGGCTCTGTCCTGCCGTCGCGGTCTCGCGAAGCAGAGACGCCCGCGAAAGTAATAAATAGGACGAAGAGGAACGCCCCGCACGAATGGCAGGTGAAGCTTCGTGCGAGGTGGACAGTGCGCAAACCGACAAAACGACGCTCTGCAGAGAGCCTCATTCCAACACCGCTGGATATCGATGGAGCACGGGCACCCGAGGAAGTTGAGTCCCAACTTCCTCGGTTGCCCAATTTGTACAGTACTGTAGGTAGGGGAGCTTTACAATCTGTGATCCGTCAGGCGCCGCAAGTCTATCCATGCGAGGTCGCGACGCCCGACAGGGACGTTACGCCACAATGATTTTGCTGTTGACAAAGAATGGAGCCACCCTGCGCCGCTCCAAGTGAAGATTTCGATGTGGACTCAGCTGAGTTTAAAAGATGAGGCGCCAAAGAGGAAACAAGAAGCAGCAAAATTTGCTGCTACATTTAATGTACATGTACCGGTAGCACTGTACTAGCAATAGCAGTGAAAATGGCGGTGATGGTCATGGCGACAAAAGAAATCAACAGTAAAGCTGACGGGCTCGTTCCTCGCGACCACTCATTATCAAATCTCGCAGCACATGTTGATGGTCAAAAGTGGACTTTATCTATTTTATGAGTAAGTTTTTCGTCTTACAGACTGTAAGTTAGTTACCGTAATTTAGATCTCATACTACATATAGCTGATTATTGAAGTTGTCGTGTTGCAAAGTGGACACGAGATGTACATGTACCGACGATTTTATGTTCGTATTCTGAAGTGCATCATGCAAAGTGGTATTTACCGGTACCCTTAAACACTGCTGTCTAGATCTATCTACTCCACGGCAGCTAGCGCACCCGGTTTCGACCTTGTCGATAATTAGATCGCGCTGGTTCAGCCAGTTGTAGACCTGTCGCTTTTTGGCTTTTAATTGGGCTGCCGTGAGCGAAGGGTAGAAGTAGTTGACTGTGTCGCGCATTTTCTCCTTAGTAACGACTGCGTCGTAGAACTCGATCACGCTGAGCTTGTGTTGAAAGGAGACAGCAACACGCTTAAACCGCTTCGGCAGCTTTCCTGTTCCTGTTGTGCGTGTCCGCCCTCCCTGCTGACCTGAAGAGCGGGACATCACTTTCCGCGGACTTGGCGTGCGCTCCATGGTTGTTCTCTTGCAGTGACTGGCCTCAATTTATACCCTACGTATTATGAGAGCTCAACTAAATGGCGCGATATCATTGGCTAATGCCTACTATGAAGTAAGAGATCTGTCTGTAGTATGAGATCTAAATTACGGTACAGTGGTGCGATCGCGACCGAAAAATGGCGGCAGAAGTTGCAGTCGCCAACGTGGAGACGATTGAGTTGACCAACGCCCCCCTGGGGGAATTTCTTAGGCGTCAGGGATGCCATCGACTTCGCAAAGTGGCGTGCGTACCCACATGAGTGCACGCACACCTGCAACAGCACCGCGCGGGACTGCTCCACCACGCTTCCGCTACCACAGCACGCTACTGTAGCAGGCTGGCGAGGCATCTCTCTGAACTTGCAAGCACCTTGCAGTTTCGCCAGAGAACAGCAGCAAAACAGCAATACGACGCTTTCCAGAGGCACGCAGCGCGTTGCTGTCGTTGAAGATACGTTAACTTAAGTCCACCGTCCGCATGCTTTCAGCTACTGTATATGCACCTTACCTTCTATGGAGGCATGCGAGTCACTCACTCACTTTGCGGCGACTGTCAAAGTGGCGATGCGTCTCACTGCTTGAAACGGATCGGTTCAGGACTGAAGAGCTTGAAGGTTGATAGCTAACGCGTCAAGCGTTGCACGCAAGGTGCCACGAATGATCAGCCCATGACAGCAAGACCCCAAATGGAGCTTGACATCAACCGAGCCGCGGTTGATGCCCCCAAGCTCATGTCCGCATTGCACACGACGGGCAGCAGACAGTACTCTCGGCGGGGACCTGTCCATGGTGCCGCGGCGAGATACGGGCGATCGATGGGCTGGACGAGCGAAGACAAAGACGCCCCGCGCAGTGCACTGCACAGTGCAGTGCACTGCGCCGGTCGTAGTGTTCGTCGTTGTCATTTAGACAAACGACACAGAGCGCCCAAGTCGCCAAGCCATGGCCAAGTTTAACGTGCATGATGTGGCGCTGCCCGACATCAAGTTGACGCCGGAGCGTGAGGCTGCACTGATCGCTGAGGTGGAGGCCGTGGTGCACAACACGCTCGAGCTGCGCTCGGCCTACGCTGCCGGCGGCCGCCAGCTCGACACGTCGGCGTGGAAGCTCGTCAAGACCAAGGACGATGTGCGCGCCTACCGTTCGCGTCGCGCGCTGCATGGCGTGGATCCGACCGAAGCGCGCACCGAGTCATCGGATGCGCTTTCGTCGTCCTCCTCCTCCGGCTCCAGATCGACCATGAACAAACTCTCGAGCATTGCGTCGTCAACCTCTTCGAACGACAGCGAGCCATTCCGCTCCAAGAAGACGGCGCGTCCGCCTGCCGTTGTGCTCACGGGAACGGTGGACGGCACAGCCGAAGATGCCGTGCTGGGTATGCTGGCCGATTCGGAGCAGCACTGCATGATGCGTCAGTCGTACCTTGGCACGGAGCTCGACGACTCGCGCCTGCTCTTCGTGCTGGCCCGACCGACCCCCGAAAACCCATTCACGTTCATCGGTGTCAAGTGGGGACGTCAGACGTACGGCCGCTTCAGCCAGGCCCGTGACTTCCTCTTCTTGGAGGCTACAGGTATCACCAAGGACGCGCGTGGAGAGATCGTCAGCTATGGTCTGCGCCAGTCGACGGACTTGTCGGACGTGCTGACACTGCCGCGCTCGCACGAAGTGCTTCGCGGCCACCTATCGGTGTGCCAGACTTTCGCCAACAGCGGCATCCCGGTCGTTGGCACGCGCCACCACTCGGTCGAGATGTTCTCTCGTGCCTTCTTGCAGCTGGACGGCGACGTGCCTGTGAACGTGGCGGCTACGGCGTTCGCAGACAAGCTCATGGCGCTCGTGGGCTCGATGGAGTGCGCAACCGCCTACAAGCTCACATGGATGATGCGGCAGTCCGCTCGCCAGGCTCGCCCCGGTACCAGCGTGCACGGCTCCACGAGCCATTGCTCCAACTGCACACGCAGTCTTAGCAAATTCAGCACCTTCCTGCTCCAGCGCGGAGGCACATGCCAGATCTGCCGCCGCTCGTTCTGCGGCAAGTGCTCGGTGAACAAGAAGATCTGCGTGGGGCTGGGGAGCGAGGTGATACAGAAGAACATGCTCTTCTGCCTCGAGTGTCTACTGGAGGCCAAGCAAGTCTCGGCGCGCGAAGTGGCTGTGGACCAGCAGAAGTGGTAGGTACTCCGTCCCCGTCGCCGGGGTAGTTAGACTGAGAGGGTGCGTGGTCCTCGATGAAAGGACTGCGCGGCACGCAGGAAGCTACTGCGACGAAGTACACTTACTTAGAGCGCGTCAGTATATACTCGTCCCTTCCCCCTAGGGCTCTCTGTAGATACGATTTTTCATTAGCAATAGAAGACATCTTCATGCTTATCGTGTCTGGTGGTGAGCGTGGCGACTTCAGTTTGCTTGGATAATGTCAATTTCGGCTTGGTGATCTGTCTGCATTCACAGCCGTTCGCCTGGAAAGCCAAGCGGTTCGCCATGAATAAAACATGATGCCAGGTGTTGCCTGTGAAGGTGTCCGAGGATGAAAGGGGGTGTAACTTAGCACGCTAGTCGCGAGGCAGCAGTTTGGAGCATCTCGCACTCGAAAATGATGGAATGACAGCACTTGTTGCCCCAAAGTGTTTATTATTATAATACAACGATTTAGAGAGGACCACCAAACGTGACTGACCGATAACTTTGCGGTCCCTCAAGAAGTAAGAAATACTCGGAGCACCCAACTCGAGAACCCCCCCTCCCCCGGATTGCGGGGGTGCGGGCCGCACCCAGCAAGCGAGTAACCCCTTGGAGGATCGAGCCGGGATCGTCTTTCGCCGTTCTCACTACAGTACATGTGCAGGCCTCCCTAATTGGGGGAAATCCTGCATTTCCCCCAATTATGTAGATTAATAGGGGGACGACTTGAGGATTTAAAATGGGTATGGTGGGGACGATAGTGAAAGTAAGATAAATATCTTAGGGATTGGCATAGCCGGTGCTAATTTGGATTCAACCTACGATATTCAGTGTTACGGTTCATCCGCATACGAATTAGCTAGAAACGAATGTCAGCGAAAGAATTATATATCACTAATCGTGATAAAAGTTTTGACTAGCTCTGTAACTTGCTTGATCGGTAGGGCTTACGTATTTATATTGGCGCCGCTTTACTTAAATTAAGTATGTAATTTATTAGCATTGCCTATGATAAAACTGCTCCAAAACTTGCATTCTTCTGTAGCATCGCCCACAGACCAACGTCCTCTTCCAGTTCGCGGTCAGCTCGCCGTCCGTTTGAGCTTGAATGCTACTTGCCAATACCACCAATTTCGGAAATTTGACGATATTTGTGATGAGTGGGGATGGTTTGGGGGGCGATCCATTACCGGAGAAACACGCTTCCACCTGGGTATGTTCCTGTTTGTTTGGGGTCTGAATGAGCTCGATGCTTATCAAGATCTGAAAATAGCTTGCCAACATGAATTCACCTCAGAACCAGGGGGATGGGAACGGGTCTTAACAGGGGTATAGTGGGGGAAATGGGGACCTTTTCCCCCAATTAGGGAGGCCTGTACATGTGTATCTACGTAGGATAGTACACTTCAAAAGTGTACTACAGTACTTCGTTGCTCCCCCCTCACGTGCATGCACATGTGCAGTAGAGGTAGGATAGAGGCGTCGTCGCCATCGCGTTCGCAAACTTGAGCTGCTGGAAGATGGCTCTTTACTAACGCTGGACACCGTCAAAACGGCCACGTGCCTTCAACGACTGCATCTGTTGTTGATCAACACTTCCACTTGTACTGTAGATCGCCGCAAGCAGCGCGCAGTGTTCGTCGATGGAGTCGGTTGTGGCTACCCATGACGCAAATGGGTGTCCAACACATAACGTTGATCGACAGTCAAGGAAAAAGCTACCAGCCTAGATTCCTTCACTGCTAAAAAATACCAAAAAAAAACTGTAAGAGTCCTGTTGAGTCACGGACACACAGACACATCAGATGCCCCAGTATTCAATTGAGGGGAACGGCACGCTGTTAGTGCTCCTCAGCTGGTCGGTACGTAACATCATTTCTTCCAAGTTATTCCAGCGCGCACTTGCGCCACACTACAACTTGGGTTCAGTGTCGCCACGGCCTGTATCAACTCGCGCGTTGTCAACCTAGGATAAACCGCCCCAATATCAGAGCTTTTTCTGGCGTCACTGAGTCTATGCTGCTTGCACCGAGCCTCGGACGTTCGGAGCCCTCAAATTCTCAAGCGTGACATGTGTTTGCAGCCAGCGTTTCAAATTGGGCACGGATAGTGCGCGCGAAGCCGCCCTTGACAAGGAATTGTGTGCCAGAGCAGCGCTGAGAGCACATCCCAGTGGCAGCCCGAGATAACGGCGATCGATGTGCTGGCGTGTTGATGCTGGTCAGCAGCTCCCTGCGGCACCGCTTCAAACCAGTCAATGGGCTAACCCCACTGCCTGCACTCACGCGACTCCTTCATTTGGATAAAGTGCTCGGAGCGCGCAAGCGAGGTAGAGAGCGCAGTCAGTCAGTCATCATGCCCAGGTTTAACGTGAAGGACGTGGCGCTGCCCGAGTTCACGCTCACCCCGGAGCGCCAGGCTGCGCTGCTGGCCGAGGTGGATGCAGTCGTGAGCAACACGCTGGAGCTCCGCAGTGCCTTTGCCGCGGGCGGCCGCCAGCTCGACACCACTGCGTGGAAGCTCGTCAAGACCATGGACGACGTCCGCGCCTACCGTTCGCGTCGCGCGTTGCACGGCGTGGCCGAGATCACCGACTCGCGGGCCGACACGGCCGACGCGATCTCGTCCTCGTCCTCGTCTCACTCCAACTCGCAGCGATCCACCATGGACAAGATCGCCAGCTTAGTATCGTCGTCCACCTCATCCGGTAGCGAGTACCAGCAGCGCAAGCCCAGGAAGACAGCGCGGCCGCCCGCCGTGGTCATCTCCGGTGTCATTGACGGCACGGCAGAAGACGCCGCGCTCGGCATGCTGGCCGACACGGAGATGAACGCCAAGATGCGCGAGTCGTACCTCGGCACGGAGCTCGAAGACGCCCGTCTGCTCGCTGTGCTCGTGCGCCCGACGCCCGAGAACCCGCTCAACTTCATCGGTCTCAAGTGGGGGATGCAGACCTACGGCCGCTTCAGCCAGGCGCGCGACTTCCTCTTCCTCGAGGGCTCCGGCCTCACGACAGACGCGAACGGCGAGGTGGTCGCCTATGGTATCCGGCAGTCTGTCGACTTGTCCGACATCCTCAAGCTCCCGCGTCCGCCCAACACCATCCGCGGCAACATGTCCGGCTGCCAAACATTCGGCAACACCGTCCACCTCAACAGCTCGGGCCACCGGACAGTCGAGATGTTCTCGCGCGCGTTTCTCGAGATGGACGGCGACCTTCCTGTGACCGTGGCGGCCGCCGCATATGCGGAGGCGCTCATGGCCCTGGCCTCGAGCATGGAGTGCGCCAACGGCCACAAGCTCACGTGGATGATGAAGCAGGCCACGCGACAGGTGCGGCCGGGCACCGGCAGCGTCCTCGGCCGCGTGGTCTCCAGTAACCACTGCGCCAACTGCACGCGCAGCCTCAGCAGGTTCAGCACGATGGTGCTGCAGCGCGGAGGCACGTGCCAGATCTGCCGTCGCATGCTCTGTGGCAAGTGCTCCGTGAACAAAAAGATCTGCGTGGGGCTGGGGAGCGAGGTGATGCAGAAGTCCATGCTCTTCTGCCTCGAGTGCCTGTTGGAGGCCAAGTCGCTCCCCGCACGGAATGTGGCGCTGGACAAGCTGAACTGGTAGGCATATCTGTTTTGGGGCTCTGTAGATAGATATTGAATGAATCCGAACTTGAGTATTAGTTCCTCGCTTCGATCAAGGCCAGCTCAGAGCGGACTTATAAGCTCCGGCGTTGTCACTGTGATTCAGGACTTTTCATTCTGTCGTCGCGCGACGGGTTCTCCGTCGATGGCTTTCTATGGAGCTTACACAGTACCAGTCAGCATCAAGCCGTCGAGTTGTCGGGCAGAAGGGCAAGATAATGAGCTTCTTCTCGCAACACAGAGTCACACGTGCATCATGCACTGCATGCGGTGACTGCTGTCAAGAAACAAGGCGAACAGGTAGAGGTGAACCGAGCGAGTAATCCTCGCTGACAGCCAAACCCTGGCGACCAAGCCCAACGCCGGGACGAACGGGTGCAGCGGCGTGCGTTGCTAGTCAAATGTGACCCTAGGCACTCAGCTCGACACTTGAATGGGAGCCCGCGTCGTCGAGCTGAGCTCGAGTGCCGGACCGCTGTGAGCTTCGGGGAGGCTTGGGGAAATTTTGCGTTTGGCCCGCTATTCAGGTTCTCGCCGGCTTCAATGCAGGCCTTTCCAACTCGACCATCCCATCAACATTGAGATCGCGAACGCTCTCGTTGAACATGCAAGTTTCGGGACTCGGGAGTTTTGGTGCAAGTCAAAACAACGGTTGATGTGACGGAGTAACGCTACACCCCTCGGAGGCAACACCCACAGCGGTGCCGCCGCCTAAGATGCCGTGAGTTTTTGCGTCCGGCCATCAGTGCCAACCTGTGCTGAACGAATACCACAGAGGGCGGACTGGAGGAAATCCTACGGCTTCAAATCACTCGCGGCGACTTCTTCAGCGGCATCATTTCGCTCTCTCCGAGCCTCGAGCACAGGAGGACCTCTCCCCTCTGGAGATCAGTATCAAGCATAATACGTGAGGACCGAGGGGGGTCAGCAAGTGTGCGAAGGTTTTTAGAGCTTTGGGCGGAGGTGACCGGAGCTGTCAGCGTGTAGAGCTCATGACAGTACCACCAAAGCGGTGGATAGCCCCGCCATGCATGACGCCACAATCCGCACTGTCGATGGGGCCGGGAAGTCGCTCTTCTCCCTGTCACCTTGAGCTTGGTGCTCTCGGCTTGTGGCGCCGGAGGAGCTGCTCGTGGTTCTGAGGCGGCGCTCGACTGGACGATGTAGACGTCTCTGTAACTCTCACCATGCGCACTCTTCCTCGTGTGCTGCACCGATTTGACTTCACGTTGGTCTTTCGGGGCGCCAAAGCATACAAACTCATCGAGTGCTGGCGCATTTACGACACCCCCCAGCTGCTGCGTCAGTCGCGACGCCGCGCCGAGAGGCAGGCGAGGCGATGCGGCGTCTTTGGCAGACGCCACCGCTCGCCAGGGCCACAACCCACCGCGGGCACGAGCCTTTCGGAGCTTCGCATCCAGTGCCCGCACTTTCAAACTTTCAGGTCATCGGGCTATCGGATAGTAGACTGAGTGGCTGGTTATCAAACCACCCCTCCGACCAATTGTAGCGTTCTCGCCATTCAGCAGCTTGCAGCTTACAAGACACTCGACTGACAGGCATGGGCAAGTTCAGACTACCCGAGACCTTGCCGGAGATCCAGCTCTCGCCCGAGCGCCAGGCGGCATTGATCGCCGAGGTGGACGCGGTGGTGCACCACACGTTGGAGCTTCGTGGGGCTTTCGCGGCCGGCGGTCGCCAACTCGACAAGGAGGCGTGGAAGCTGGTCAAGACCAAGGACGACGTCCGCGCGTATCGTTCGCGCCGAGCTCTGCACGGCGGCGGGTCGCACCACGAGCGGTCGGATGTGCTGTCGTCTTCGTCGTCCTCGGACTCCGCCTCGCACAGGTCCACCATGGACAAAATCACGAGCATCGCGTCGTCCACTTCGTCGGGTGACAGCGACCACTACAGGCTCAAGAAGACGACGCGTCCGCCGGCAGTGGTGCTGTCGGGCGTCATCGACGGCACGGCGGAAGACGCCGCGTTGGGCATGTTGGCCGACACGGAGGCGCACGCGCTCATGCGCAACTCGTACCTGGGCACGGAGCTCGAGGACTCGCGACTGCTTGCGGTCCTGGTACGTCCGACTGCCGAGAACCCGCTCAACTTCATTGGTTTGAAGTGGGGCTTGCAATCGTACGGCCGGTTCAGCCAGGCGCGCGACTTCCTCTTCTTGGAGGCATCGGGGTTGATGAATGATGCGAAGGGCAAACTGGTCGCCTACGGTGTTCGCCAGTCTGTGGATATATCGGACGTGTTCAAGTTGCCGCGTGCTGGAGATGTAATCCGCGGACACATGTCGGGCTGCCAGACGTTCGCCAACACGGGGCTCCCTCCTTCCGACGCGCGCCACCGATCCGTCGAAATGTTTTCGCGTGCGTTCCTCGAGCTGGACGGCGACGTGCCCGTGAACGTCGCGGCCACCGCCTACGCCGAGAACCTCATGGCGCTCGTCAACTCCATCGAGTGCGCCAACTCGTACAAGCTCACGTGGCTCATGAAGAAGTCGGCTCGAGCTGCGCATGGGCGTCTGGGCTCGCCCACCCACTGTGCCAACTGCACCCGCAGCTTGAACAAGCTCAGCAACCTGCTGATGCAGCGCGGAGGCACCTGCCAAGTGTGTCGCCGTGTGCTGTGCGGCAAGTGCTCCGTCAGCAAGAAGATTTCCGTGGGGATCGGCGCCGAGGTCATGCAGAAGTCCATGCTCTTCTGCCTAGAGTGTCTGCTCGAAGCCAAACAGGTACCTGCACGCAACGTGGCGGTGGACATGCTCAATTGGTAGGCAGTCATACACGTAGGTAGATATTGCACAACAGCGAGAGCAAGGCGAGGAGGACAAAACCAACTCCACTCAACCTGGCTTGGCCCCCTGTATATACTAAAGTTGAAGTACTTAAGTACCAAAATTCTGGAGTGCGTGCCGTGAAGTATCGAACTCGGTGAAATACTTGTGTAGGTGCAGTGTTTACATGCAGCAGATGAATGTAACGTGCTTAGTCCTGGGCGACACCTTGCGTCGACAGCAACTTCGACAGCAAAAACGCTTGGATAGGACAGCAGTGAAAGAAGAAGAAGAAGAAATTCACCTTGGCAGTCCTGTCGTAATTCTAACTTTCAGAATCTAAATGTTTCTGAATTTAGAAAATAGAACATCTCCGATCTATGTCGTTTAAAATCGGTAGAAACGTTATTCTAATAACATTTAAAATAAAAACGATAAATGTACTTCGCGAGGGAAATAAATTCCGTGCGACGCAAGTTTATTGGTTGAAAGCCTGCCCATTCCAAATAAGTTTTAGCACAAGACCAGTGTACACTAAACCAAATATGTATGCATCGCTCTTGCAAAAGTATTGGTACAGCTTCCCTTAATGGTATTTGCCAGTACGTTAACCAAGAGTACGTGATGAGGCTGACACCCAGAGTACAATTGAGGACGACAGTGCAATTGAGGACGACAGTACAATTGAGGACGACACCTAGAGTACAAGTGAGGACGACCGATTCAAGTGTAGCTACGCCGTCTCAACAGTATAACCTTCATTTCAGCTTTTTCTGTCGAAACCGGCAAGTCGTCAAGTCGCACCCATGGATCTCCCAACAACCAGTCCGCTCTATAACGCTGCTATCGCCGCTGCCAAGTTCGCAGATCAGCGCTTAGAAGCCCGGACACGGACTGACTACAACGGTAGTCTTTAGCGATTCGCAAAGCTCTGCCAAAGGCAAGGTTATCCAGACCCGCTGAAGCATCGGTTTGTGGAGCTACCAGGCGTTGTAGCAGCCTACATCAACGAGCTCGCGACTGCAAACACAAGCCAATGGCCCGTCGAGAAGCTTCGCGCAGCGCTCTGTTGGCACTACACCAAGCCGGAAATGCTTGCAGGTGGTCATCCCCACGATCGCTGGGTAATTGATACAGCTCAGGACGGAGCACTTGTTCCCCGCGGAAACCCAGCTCGATCAGCCGCCATCACCCAAATCCTAGCTGGGCTCAGCAAGTCCAAGAAGCGTGAAAGGACACCCAAGCGTGCGTCTCCGATGTCGCTGACAATGTGACACGAGGCGGTCCCCAGAAAATTGCCGACGATGTGCCGTCACCTCTGTGACCTGGAGTTTGTATCGGATGCTGATTGGTGGATGACTTGGATACGGCGCGGCTGTACCCGTGTGACATGGATGGCGACTGTGGGATAGAAGTGATTTCTCGGGATTAATCCAGCGTCTGACCGCAGATGGGCCCAACTGGCTGGAAGTGTGAATCCTGGGAGTGCACGCTCAGAATTTCAGAGAACACTCAGTCCAGCCGCGGACTTTCCCTTACGATGAGTGCCTAAAGTCTGGCGGAAAGTGTCTCTGGAGAATGTATCCCAGAGTACGCCTCATCTTGCTGTGGCTCAGAGTGCCCCAGAGGATCAAATTACCCTGAGAATCAACCCACTACCACCGTGACCATGCGCAGGAGGCCACTAAACCCACTAAAAGTGTGGCTTTGAGGAGATACACACGAGTCTGCACTGCAGCAGACTTGTTACCCAGAGTGCCGCACGGAAAACCTAGAGTGCCGCACGATGACCCAGAGTTTACCTCCCTGAGTGCAGGTGACCCAGAGTTCCAAAGATGATTCCCTGGGTTTGGACCATAAATCCAGACTCTCTATACTGAACTTAAGTGTTTCCCGAGCCAACACCAAGAATCCCTACAGTTCCCCAAGATTCCTCAGAATTCCCAGGATTTCAGAAGATGACCCTGAGTGTCACCTGGTTTTCAGGGATTCGAGTCAGTTCGAAGGCAGTCTGCAATCAAAATGATGCGTGACCTTGAAGAACCGTCATGGATGCACAGACTGGATACTTTCGAGGAGTCGAGAGGAAGTCCTGTACCATACTAAACCAAGTCTAAGGACCCACAATTGTCACTTTCGACGCCGTGCGACAATGGATTCGCAAGCCGATCGCAAGATTGGACCGCTGATCCCAAGGTATACTCAAGACAAGACATTTTGACCCCAAGCATAGTGAACAGAAGATATTTGCCCGAAGAAGAGAGAGAGAGAAGTAGCTGATAAAAGCCAAACAGAGTTCCTTTTACCCTGTACTGCGCAAGTGACTTCGGTCAAGCCTGCCGACGGAAATCCGGAGGACCCGAGACTACGACCGCGGGACGCTAAGGGCACATCAACGGCGAAGGACAGCCGTCTGTGTGAGCTCCATCAAACTCAAGTCCAGTTAGGTGGTGCCAGCGACGGCCCTGAGCTTCCTGGGGTGATCCATCTATTCCATATCCTAGTTGGGTCACTTGCTGTGCACGTGGTAGCCCATTTCATATTATTCAGAGGGTATTCTGGGGGTGCTAGGTAGTCGCCTCCAGGATTTTGTATTGACTGCTTGTGTGAAGGGAAGGTAACTGATAGTGATTGTATTTTCCTCCTTTATTGGAGGTGGTGCGCGTTTGTGTGAGTCTCAGGGGAGCTAGGCCCCTGAATTTCAGACTCGAGTGAGCCTAGTGTGTGTGACCCACCGTCCAAGGGTCCAAAAGAATAAGTGACGGCTAGTTGTAGTGTTTGTATACTCTGTATTTGTTGGTTTTATCGAGCTAAGAGGGCATTTGGGTAAGGTGTCTTCTGAGTTCCAAGTCCCAGAGTTGACTGAAATCCTGGACCCTGAATTCGTGATATTCTGGGTTTCGGGGGATCTGATTCTCTGGGTTTGCCTTTTGGTGTGGAGGTGCGTTCTGAAGTAGACGTGCGCTTCCGCACTTCTTCGAGGCTACATTTTCAACCGGTGGAGTGCCGTTCCGTCGAAGACAAACGATCCGACAGGGATTACACAAGGTACCCACGCCAACCAAGGAGTGTGATTCTCAGGGTTTAAAGCTTTGCGGCTGCGAATCTCTGGGTCTATCTTCTTGCTGTTGACTCTCAAGTCGATTCTCTGGGTCTACCCCTGGGGAACAGTCTTGGGCTGCGCTATACGAACCCCCCCCCCTGGGCGACAAAGGTTTCATCGGCCTCGCCTCAGCTGGTACGCGTGCCCGGAATCGATTGTCGAGGATTTCACGGGAATCAAGTGTTGAAGAAGTGTTGAGTGCCCGTCAACTTCAAGCTACCAAGATGCCTGGAGGACGAGGGGCGAAGAAGAGTGGACGCGGTGACGGAGGACGTACTGAGGCGTCACGTCAGTCGCGTCGTGTTCAAGGTATGGAGCCTGAGGAGCACAAGGACCTGGAAACAGTCGTCCGCGACGCTCGGAAGGCGAAGAAGGCTGCTCGCGAGAGCGAGGCAGTGCAAGGTGGGGACGTCGAGGCGTCTGCAGTCCAAGGTCAGCCTGCTGCTGGATCGCAAACTCAGGAGGAATAAGTTTCCCCTGGGTTCCAAGGTTCGACGGAGGTGAATTCTGGGTCGCGGATTCCTGAAGTCCCAGAGGAGCACACCCGCGAGGGTGGTGTTCAGGCGTCTGAGGGAGGCGCCAATGCGGTTGAGCCCCCGGAGGTGGTTGACTTGGTCTCATCTTCGGACGAGTCTGTTGTGGAAGTGAAGTCGGAGCCCGTGCGAGCGAAGGAGGAGGCGAAGACTCAGAGTTCCAAGGTGAATTCTGGGTTCGCACCACCTGAACCCAGAGTTTCAGCGCCAAGTTCGCAAGCGGCACGCCTGAAAGCGACATCCGGGAAGCTGCTGCGCCTGCTCCGGAATCGGGAGCAGCGGCGTTGGACGCCGGGAGCATGGTGCTGTACGTTCGACGTGAAGTTGGACGCTGGGAAGAGGTGAATCCTGGGAAGGTGACGCCACCAAGTGTCGTTTATGAGTGGCTGACTCCGAAACCGGATGCCAACTCGTACTTCGCGGCCGCGTACGCAACGGGAGACTACCTCAAGTGGCGTTTGTCTCTGGAGGATCAAGATGAAGCCTGGATCCCTGAGTTTCACCTCGCCCGGTGGGGCGTCGGAACTGCTCAGGATCTCATGGCGACTACGATTCCCCAGAGTATCATGACCACCCGCGAGTGCGTCGCCATTCTGCAGACTCTGTTCTTCGAAGCCGGATTTGAGTTTGTCAATTTGATCCCTGGCTGGTCTTTGACGCGTGCTTCCAGGATTCCAGAAAGTCTGGTGCGCTCTATCATGGAGGAAACCCAGAATTTCATCGCCGTGGAACTGGTCGAGTGGAGATTGGTGATAGCTGGTGTGCCTTTCAGGGTAAACTCTGAAGATCACGCCGCACCAAGCGCCCAAGAGCAAGCACCAAGACTGGACTACCACAAGGAAGATGGAGACGATGATCTATTGATGACGGACTACGATGCGGATCTACTGGGCCGACAGTTTGTCCTGAGATTCAGAGTCACTGGACTCAGGATTTCACGGAGCCCACGAGGGTCGAGTGATGGTGAGCCACGATCCAAGCGTACTTAGCATGGACCGCCTCGACCACAAGTCCCGTCAACGCCATCCGCGCTGTCTACACCGTCGCTGTCCTCTCTTCCAGCGTACAAGTCTTCGACTGGTGCCTCGCTTCAGAATTCCACTCCCCTGAACTCCATGTCCAATGGACGTGATTCTCTGGAGGCGGAAGCCAAGGAAGCTACCCCAGGCGCGGTGCCGAGTGTCATCGGTACCTCGCGCGCTTCGGATGAGAGTACTGCCTCGGGCGTTCAAACGTCTTATGGTAGCTCTTAGTCTTCGTCGATGATGTCGCTTGGACAACGAGTTGGAGCTCTAGCGCTTGTGGCTCAGAGTACCGGTGGCTTTGCAGCTGCCGGTGATCTTGGATTTCAGGTTACCCGGACAGTCATCCCGTCGCGTATTGTGTCAGTCGACCAAGGTGACGTTGAGATGGCATCGTCGGTGCACTCTGACGCAGAGATCGCACCCAGGAAGGCCGGTCTCCCCAGGATTTCAGCCACGACTTCCGAGCCGAAACTCAGGGTTTCTGCCTCGATTGCTGGATTTGGTGGTCCAAGGGATGTCAGCGCCGATGAGCGGAGTCAACACCAGAGCTCTAAGAGCGAGGTGCGCTCTCGACGCTCGACGAAATCCAGAAAATCATCTGCGTCGAGCCGCTCGAGTGGATCCAGGAATCTTGGGTCAGTTTCGTCCGTGTCCGCGAGGTCTGGGCCCGCCCAATCGAGCTGAACGTCTTGCGACAACAGCAGGAGTGGCAGGCCCGCATGGAACAGGAGCAACGCGAGTTTCTCGCCAGAGAACGCCTGGATGCCTTGGAGCGCGAGCGCCTCAGGGAACAACGTGACCTGGACGCGCGTCGCCAGATCCAGGAACTTACGGATCGCTTGGTCCACGCTGAGATCGCCCGAGGAGAAGCGGAACGGCGTGCGCAGGACGTGGAGGCTCGCCAGACCCAGTGTTCCACTGAAACTCAGGGGATGACCCAGAGTATCACGGAAGCTGTACGTCTTGAGCGTGAGCGCCTGGATGCCGCCTACGCCGAGCGCTGGCAACAGCACGAAGCCGAAGCCGACTCGGAGCGCGCGCGCTCGGTTTCCGAGACCTACGCCGGTTGGAAGGAACAACTGTCAACTATGGAGCAGGTCCAAGAACTTGAGGCGGAGAAAGAGCGAGAGCGGGAGTCTTCCGAGAATATCCAGCGCTTCCACGCCGGCCAAGTGCGCGACCTTCGTGCAACATTGGCCCAAATTCAAGCGCGTCGCGCAACCGGCGCCCCTGATTTGGCAACAAATGTGAGGTCGTCAGTGGCTCAGAACCCTGAAGTCGCAACCCGACCCCAAGAATCCAGTGGCGTAATCAACGGAAACGCAAGTGTCACAGGCCAGAGACAGGAGACAGCTGATCCGAAGAACACTTCCTAAGTCGCCGCCTCCCAGCTAAGAGCGACCCTCGCGCAGACTTCCGCCGACACTTCCGGCAGAATCGCGCGCGTCAAGCGGGGACATGGCGCTACGGAGACCAAGGTGACGCAGGATGTCAAGCTCGAGCCTGTGTCTCTGGGGAAGACGTCGGATCCCAGGAGAACAGCGACCTCTAAGGCCTCGCAGGACTCTAAAACAGACTCCAAGCGCTCTGCACCCAAGAAACACCAGCAGAAGAAGAAGAAGCGTCAGGATGTCAATCCACCCTCTGACTCAGATCCAAGCTCCGATTCCAGCGATGATGACTCGTCCTCTGAGAGTTCGGATGACAGTTCGGACGGGAACCCTGGGGTTAACCTGACGACGGCCTCTACGGCTCAAGCTGGCACTACGCTCCTGACGTTCAGACCGTACATCAACTCGAATACTCTGGGTGAGTTCGATACTATGGCGTCACTCAGGGAACGCGTGCATTGGTGGAAGCGTTTTGCGAACATGGCGGCTCAGGGAGGTTGGTCTACGAAGATGCGAATTCAGGAACTCAAGTTCAAACTCTCGGGAGCTGCGCGTGACTGCTTCAACCAGTTGCCCAAACACACTCAGCGTGACTGGAAGGAGTTGGTGTCTACATTCAGGAAGAAGTACTGCAAAGCGCGCTCGTCGTACTCTGAACGTTACTTCACGATGGAGATGAAGAACTCAGAGAGCGCCCTGGATTTCTTTTATCGTCTGAATTCCGCCGCTGGGAAGGCTGACATTGACTTTCGCAAGCCTTCGAAGCGCCTGGGGAAACATATCCGGAGGTTCATCATGAAACTCAGGGACACGCGCCTCAAGACGTCGCTGCAGGGCCAGAGATTCAGGAGTATCGCTGATCTAGAGTACGCCCTGGAACAGGACGAAGATGTCTGGAGCCGCAGCGACCATGACGCTCCGCCACCCAGAGTTCGTGACTTTCGTGCCGACAACATTCCTCAGGGACGTTTCAAGCCGAAGCGACAAGGACGTGCGTATGTGACTAGGGGTGATGTCTCTGACTCTGAGTCCGACGAAGACCCTGAAATTCACGCGCGTTTCCAGGAAATCACGGACGAACCCAGAGTTTCAGCCCGAAGCACGAGCGCGAATTCAGGGTCAACTCGTGAGATCTCTGGAGAAGAAGCTTCTACGCCTAGCGCTGGGAGTCTGGCGAGTATGAAGGGTGCCGAGTGGACTCAGACGCTGACGAACGAGGTCTATCGTGTGATGGATAACATGGGATGGCGTCCACCGAACGCCCAATCAGGACCGAACACGAACTCTGGATTCCGTTCCCCTCGCCGCGAAAACCCGAATTGGGACAAGTTCTGCGAGAAGTGCGGCAAGTGGGGCACCCAGAGGAAAACTGCTGGAAAGACGTGAAGTGTGATCGCTGCCTGGAAGTGGGTCATCCGACTCACTTGTGTCGCGCGCAACCGTGCGAGAACTGTGGCAAACTGCATCTCGGGAAACCGTGTGAAGACTGGAAGACACTGGAAGCTGTGAAGAAACTCGCCCGCCAAGGTGCACTGAAGGATATGCCGAGCCAAATCCTGGATAAACGCCTGGATGGCGAAGCAAACTCTGGGAGACCGTCAAACCAATAAGCCGCTGGGTGGGGACCCAGTACGCGCCGGGCTGAAGAAGGCCCCAGAGTTATGTGTTCTAGTGTATGTAGGCCCGGAGCTGAGAACAAGAACCCAAGATAACCAACAATGCATGACTACTTTGACTCAGGATTTCATGACTTCCCCTGAAAATCAGCATCTTGAACAAGCGAACTCTGGGTCGGTGAACTCTGAAGAAATTGTGGAGTACAAGCTGAACCCTGGAGAGCGCTACGGATGGTGGGAAACAATGATCCTGACCCAAAGAAACGTGATGTGGCGATGGTGCATGGTGCTGTGAACGACTGCCGGACGAGAGTTCTCCTGGATACCGGTGCGACTGTGAATATTGTGAGCTTCGACTTAGCAGGATTTTGTATTGACTGCTTGTGTGAAGGGAAGGTAACTGATAGTGATTGTATTTTCCTCCTTTATTGGAGGTGGTGCGCGTTTGTGTGAGTCTCAGGGGAGCTAGGCCCCTGAATTTCAGACTCGAGTGAGCCTAGTGTGTGTGACCCACCGTCCAAGGGTCCAAAAGAATAAGTGACGGCTAGTTGTAGTGTTTGTATACTCTGTATTTGTTGGTTTTATCGAGCTAAGAGGGCATTTGGGTAAGGTGTCTTCTGAGTTCCAAGTCCCAGAGTTGACTGAAATCCTGGACCCTGAATTCGTGATATTCTGGGTTTCGGGGGATCTGATTCTCTGGGTTTGCCTTTTGGTGTGGAGGTGCGTTCTGAAGTAGACGTGCGCTTCCGCACTTCTTCGAGGCTACATTTTCAACCGGTGGAGTGCCGTTCCGTCGAAGACAAACGATCCGACAGGGATTACACAAGGTACCCACGCCAACCAAGGAGTGTGATTCTCAGGGTTTAAAGCTTTGCGGCTGCGAATCTCTGGGTCTATCTTCTTGCTGTTGACTCTCAAGTCGATTCTCTGGGTCTACCCCTGGGGAACAGTCTTGGGCTGCGCTATACGAACCCCCCCCCCTGGGCGACAAAGGTTTCATCGGCCTCGCCTCAAATGCTCACGAAGATGATGGCCTTCCTGGAGTCCAACTCAATGTTGAACGAGACTATGAGGATTTGGTTCTCAGCGGTCTGCTCGCTCAGCTTCTATGGAATGTGTCGTATCAACGAAGTTCTGCTCATGAAGAAAGGCGACATCCAGCTCGGACTGCAACGTTAATCCCGTGCAAACGGCACAGAGATCCGCTTCGGCTGCATTACCATTCGTGGCCGAAAGACAGACCACGACCCACTCGCCAGTCGGACGTATTCGCTGCACCATCTGCCGAAAGAGGAACGCGCTGCCGAGGCGTTGACGTACCTGGAGAGGTGGTTCGCATACGCGCGGACAAAACTACACCATTCATGGTGCGATAGTGACTGTGCTTTCCCATCGCTGACGAAGATCCCACGTGGCTGCAGTAAAAAACGAAAGCCCGGTGCGACCGCTTCTACCAAGACTACCTCCTTTGCAAACGTCTGTGTAAAATGGGGATCGCCGATGTCCGACACCAATTTCACGCAGGTGCTGAACATCGTTGCTGAGGCGGCTGGGATCAGCCGGAATTTGCTCGGCGACGAAATCTGGTTCACATCGCACTGTTTCCGGCGCGGGGGTGCCCAGTACAGGTTCATGTTTGCACCAGAGAAGCGCCGATGGTCGTTGAAGCTTGTAAAGTGGTGGGCGGGCTGGGCGCCCAGTGAGAAAGCTGAGACAGTTACGAGGTATCTTTTGGACGATGTCCTCGATCGCGAAGAAAACCAACTTGGTGACTCGTTGGTGCCCGACGCGGTGTCATGCTCTTCCGCATCGCTTGAAAGTATCAGGGATATTGAGTACGGAAGCTCGCAGGCAGAGACAGACGATTGCGAGGAAATACAGGTAGTGCAATGAGCGATGGTTCTGCGGACGTTTCACTTCGCGCAGTTGATGAGCTGAAGACGTTGGTTCAAGGGTTGCGTGACATGGTCCAGAACATCGCCAGTAGCCAAAGCTTGGCGCAAGACACGGTACATGGTCATGAGGAGCAGGCGACACCCGGTACAGCTTCCGATGAGCCGATAGACACGTTGAGCTTAGTCTCCGAGCTGCCTGACGCAAACTCGTGCCGTGACTACGTCAACCAGTATTGGAAGGCCAACCCAGCGTGCCATCAGAACCGAGCATGCTTCCACATGAGCGGAAGGTACACCGCTCGCGGTTATCGCGGATGAAGATTATCGCTGAGTATATCCGAGACGAATTCAACGGCGATGAGAACCTGTTTGAAGAAGCATTCAAGAGGTGCGTGCACGGGGAGCTGACGGTGAACAAGATTCTAGCAGCTATTCGTAACCGATGGCGGTAGTAGTATAGGTCGTCCTCATTTGTACTGTCGTCCTCATTTGTACTATCGTCCTCATTTGTACTATCGTCCTCATTTATACTGTCGTCCTCAATTGTACTGTCGTCCTCAATTGTACTATTTGAACCAGTACACTTTCAACCATACGAAAATGTCATATCCAATTGTGTATTTGTTATGCACTTATGAATCTGATCCTCTTCAGCTTCCTAGTCATCGCCTGAGTGGTAATCATCGTCGGAGTCATCCAACTCGCTGTTGAAGTCGCTTGGGTGGTACTCCTCTGAGCTGCTGGCAGTTCTTTCCACTGCGTCGGAAGCCGATTCCTCCGATTCGTATGACCCATCGTATTCGAATGCTTGGTCTGGTTGGTGGTCGTCGCCTTCACTGTCGCTGTCGAATAGGTTAACAGGAAACGGGAACTTGCACTCAGGACAGAGGAGATCTCTGTGCCTAGTCAGGCCCAAATACGTCCTGTTGTAGGATATCAGACATTCGTAGTCCAGTTTGTGGTCGCACTGCGACCCCTCCAGTACGATACCAGTGATGGCATTGTTGCAGACGAAGCACGTTGGAGGGGCGGGAACATGCTTCACCACCACTACCTCATCCTCATCAACATCAATTTGCACCGCAGCGCGGCAGTTGGCGCATCTTGGGTCATGCTGAAGACTTTTCAGCACGCAGTGTCGGTGGATAGGCTGGCGGCAACTTTCGCACACCCAGATGGCCTTCTCACCTTCACCCCCGTATCTTGGCCGCGAAGGGGGCATATACATATCAGGCAATCAGTCACACCATCACGCGGCTGCACAGTGTTCGCCACAATGTCGTTACCACTGCACTCTTGCCCAACCGCAGCTGTCGAGGTCGACAATTCCAATTCGACATCCAAAACTGGTGAGGCATTGGTTGCCAGCTCCTCGAACTCGAAATTGGCCCAGTCGAGTAGGCTCTCCATGGTCTCGTCTTGGCCATCCACAGATGGAGAAGCGTTTACGCTGTCAGGGGGTGCAATAGCGTAATCACGACCTTCAACATCATCGTCGCTCTCTAGCAGCTGGTCGAAATGCGCAGATTCGTCCGCTTGCACATCAGTTGAGACGTGATCCACACGGCGCGAATCTTGATTACGCCGCCGGCGGTGCCATGCGGCGTCCCGCTCTCGCCGTGCATGCGCCACGCGGTCGAGATGCTCGACGAGCTCCGTGAGCGTTCGGCACCGTTTGGATGCCTGGTGCCGAGCAAAGTGGTGGCGGTTGCCCTATATCCACTGCCAGTACTTCTGGCAGAGCTCGCGAGGCAAGCTTGGGAGACCTCGGCAACGCTTAAGCAGGTGGCGCTGCAGATTATCGGACCAAAGTCGTACAGGCAGGGTTCGCAGTTGTAGCCATTCTAATATCGGAAAGATAAGATCAATTAAAAATTACGTCAATCAAATTGTGATGGAATAAATTTCATGGGACCAAACCTACGTTGTCGCACGTGCGCTGTGAGCTTGTCGCACGAGTAGAGCAGAGGGCTTCGCGGTAGTTTTGATAATGAGTGCCATAGTTGACAGTTGAGCCGCAGGTGTCGGATGCCGCTGGTGCGATTGTATCCATTACAGGGCGAAAAATGACTTTACCCTTACCCTAAATCTGAATCTACAGGATACTGGGCACTGTTCGTTGGGGAACAGGTTCTGATTCGGCGTCATCAAATATACCTAGCCCTACTCAAAATCGCACAGCTCCAACGAAGTCCTACTAAAATAACGCTAAATAACATTTTATTTCAGCCAATCATATGCGAGATCAGCCAAAAATAATATTGACCACTAAGCATCGAGGAATCCTGAATGGGAATTCCGGCTCTCAGTCGTAGAAATTGGTCGGAAATGGAGGGCGGTGACGGTCCACCGAAGTGCAAGTGCCCTACGTTCCCTAAGCTCGTGTAGAAGTCGAACATGGCCAAGCACCGCAAAGTGTGCGGGAAGAAGAAGCCTCCGAAGTCGCGCACGGCTATAAACCGCGATTCCTACGCGAAGAACAAGGACAAAATCCCCCAGAAGCTACAGGAAAAGCGCGTGTACGACCAATTCCGCCACCTGGAAGGTGCATAATTGTTAGAATGATATCAATTATTGGTAAATCTAACATGCGGAATATGTTGTGGCTCGTAAGCAGATTACTGAGCGCGAGGCTCAGGGCGTGGATGTTGAGGAAATGGAGAAAACAGCTTGAACGCCATTACCCAAAGCAAAGGACGCCGAGGATCTGCTCTATGGTGTCAGTTTGGATCCGGACCTATTTGCCCATTTCCTCGCGGAGCTGAAGGCACGTTGCAAGGCACAGCACGGCCGCGGTCCATCGATGGTTTCTCCTAGAGAGCTCTACCGGGTGGCGATTTTCGTTCTTCACCCCGACAAGCTTCGCGGCCAAATCAGCAAATTTGGAGAGGAGACTGATAAGTTGATGAACTACTGGAGAACGACGGCTAAGGCTTTCACCGTGTTTGGGAATGGACTTACGGCGGACACCGAGATGAGGCTTCAAATCGAACTTGACGCAGTGACGGATGTTGAGTATATGAACGAGCGGCGCCGCGTATCCAACGCACGTAAAGCAAAACCTCGTGCTGAGTACGACTATGAGACGTTGGTGACCAACTTCCGTGCCAATCGCAAGAAGGTGGAGCGGTACTTGAGAGCGAAAGATCACCATCTTGCTGAATTGCATGCTGGAAAGGAGAAGGCCAAAGCCGCACACACAGCCCAAGTGACCAAGTTGAAAGCAGGTATCGCGAAACTCGAGCGGGTTGGGCCATGTGCTACCTTCCAGGAGTACAAAGCGTCCTTCATCAAGGCCAAGCACGCAGCTAGTACGAGTGACAAGTAGTGGGGCGTGCTATAGAAGCCAGACATAAGACAGATGAACTCTACGAGTTTTTCATCTCTGTAGGCTGCTTAAATGTACCACACGTTCATACCAAAACGTACGAGTTCATACCAAAAGGTTCGAGTTCATACCAAAGAGTACGAAGTGTTCATACTAAAGAGTACGAGTTCATACAACTATCTACGAGTTCGTACTGGTTAGTACGTGATTAGAGTTATAGGTACGTAGAGTATTCCGGCAACTCTTTTGCGGGCACGCTGCGTTTGTGCGAAGCTTGCGGTCTTTCCTGACAAATGTAGCCAGCTTCGAAATCGTAAACGTATGCTCAGTGGCCGATTCTTCCGCTCCGCTATAGTGCTGGGCGTAGTAGCTGCGAAATACAGGAAGTACGGCCCTCTCCCAGCGCATTTTATCGGACTCGCCCGTCAGTTTAGCGAACACGGCGACATCATCACCGAGCAATTAGGCAGCGCTGAACCAGCTGCGCGCTACACCAGCATTGATTCTCTCGGCTTGCGTCCATTCTGAAAGAGGCTTGAACAAGTGCACCGAGGTGTCCGGAAACCACCACATCAGGCATAGGTGACTCCAGTCTCTAGCCGCTGGAACCGCAGGACTGAGCGCTTGCCTATTCGAGGCGGCACCTGGAGGTATATCTTTGCGTGCAGTCGCTTGTGACAGACTGGGCAAGGTCCCAGACGTAACCAAACCTTTCAGCTGGCTAATCTGAGATTTAGCCTCGAGCATTAGTGTCTCTAGTTGCCGAATGCCCTTGAAAACGGGCCCTTCTTCGATGTTTCTGCTAGCCTCATAAGGAGCGCTTGGACAACCGTGCAGATAACTCTTGTCCGGTCCAAACAGTCTGCGAGTTCACTGTCCTCGGTTTGAACAGTCAGATCCAGAAGGTAGCGCACCAGCGTCTCCGTCGATTCCGAAACACTCCAGCCGGCCCACCACTTGATCATCCGTAACGACCAGCGCCGTGCTGGTTTTGCGTACATAAAGCGGTATTGAGCCCCTCCTCGGCGAAATGTGTGTGACGTGAACCAACTGTTGTACCAATGCTTCGCAACGTAACCCGGTGTCGATTGTCCCTTTCGGTTCAGCGTACCCACGATGCAGTTGAGTAGCGTGATAAAACTCTGTTCTCCTATTTTCTTACCCCACCCAATGACCACTTTTTCGCAGCCGGTGGTATCGTCGTCGCTTCTAAGAGCTTTCTTACGGAGACCAGTACGAGCAGGGAATACGTAGTCTTCATCGCTCCATACGTGGGCTTTCGTCTTCGTAGCAAAGTCCACCCAATTGCAGAGGTGCTTTTAGGCATTGATCGGGGTTTATTCGTCCGCGAGATGGTGAAGATTATAGGATTGCCAGCGCAACCCCAAAATAATCCCATGCAAAAATATTTCAGCCAATCAAAACCGAATATGCGAAAATATAATATCAGCCAGTAAGCACACGATAATTGGTCGCTGCACCAAAAACCGAAATGGCCAGGGCTCCGCACGGCAGCGCGGCGAAGAAGCTGTGCGAGAAGTGTGGCAATGGAATATCGCGCACGAATTCTCCAAGCACGCAGTGAAATGCAAGGGAATTAAAGTGCGCGACAACCGGCGCGAGATTCGGGAGCGCTCATGGGTCAAGCACCGCGCCAAGCGCGTAGGAGACCAGCGCAGCCGGCGCGCGTCCGAGGCATTTCAACGACTTGAAGGTACCGTAAGGTTCTTTAGTTTGATATGGAGGACCCAAGCTTACCATTGTATACGAAGCGCTTCGGCAGCAGCTCCGCGAGGTGGAGAGGGTGCCTCTCCCTCTTAAACCTGAGCCAGTGGGGCTAATTAAGCACCCCCTCGAGGAATTAAGCCGCAATGCGGATTTTGTTCGAGTACATTTTCTCCCAAGTACGCAACAGAAATTGTCCATAGTGATGTATTGGTACTGACACGAGTTTATTTAGATGGAGACCGTCGGCTTGCTGTCAAAGGCATGGTTTAACCCACCGGCGACCGCTCTTATCCCGATTTTGCAGGGATAAGATACATCTAGAAATTTGTATACTTGTGGGGTAGGGTAAGCAAGGCCCCAGCGGCCGGCACCGACCCTTTGGGTTCCATTAGGTTTCAATCTCATTGGTCAGAGTTATCCAATCAAATGCCGGCTATGTGAGTAATACTGAGCTGGTTCAAGACTCAACTGGAAAAAACCTTGGCCTATTTTTTCCTAAAATTCGAGATATCTCCATCTGTAGAGAATCCAAACCAGAATGTTGTGATACGTGAGCAGAGTACTTAATATACTCACATTTGGTATCATCGTATTTTTTTCTGATCGGGATGACCCTGTGTGGCAGCGGCGGGGACAGTTCCTCGCGAGCTTGCGGACGCTGAGGCAGCAAGCCTGCCTGTCGTGATAGTCTGTCAGCGTGGGAGAGATAATACCCAGAATCCTGGTCAATAAGCAATCCGTTCAGTATCTAGAGTGTTATTGTATCCTGCGGGTGAAGCCGTGGCCGTACAAGACCGTTCGAATATGAGGAAGACGTACTGCATGTGAGGAAGTCACTGAGTCCGTGATGCGGCTTGTTATATGGTGTACATCGATTCACCTCTGTCATTCCTGCACAGCGCGTTGATTCATGCTTCCGCTGCTCGATGGCAGGCTACTGTAACTCTTGATGTTGCCAGCACGATATCGTGCTCGCTTGGGTAGCTCCACGCCAAATGCAAGTTTGACGCCTTCCAAATTCGTAGCTCCAACGTAAGGAGATGGATGCGTTGGAGGCGGGTAGACGAGCTAGAGAGCGCCACTTTCATGCTGAAGTGGACTTCAAAACATGCCGAACCGAAGGTAACACACTATCAAAAGCTTGGACTAGTTTACTACTCGGTCTCTCTGTTCCCTGCGAGACCTACGTGACGACAAGAACATCAATGGTGCTCCGGTGATATGGCTACTCTGCCGAATGAGCGTGAATCTGTGGATTTCAGTGTGATATCACGAAGCAATGGTGATTGTTGCCACGTGGCTATGCGTATTGAATTTTGTATGGCCAACCACGACAACGTGGCTTCGCGGGCTCGTCAACACTGACATGTTTGTATAGTTCTTAGTATAGAGGTGTCATGGTTGATTCAGAGATCTCGACATTGACATGCTTATCTAGATTTTAGTATATCATATCGTTATTGACTTTGATAAGTCAATATTGAGATTTTTTTTTACTAGGTTTCAGTATATCAAGCAAACGGTTTGATATATTGCTCCGTTAATCGAATATAAGCTAAAACTAGCATAGACTCCGGTCGTTCGCCGATCTACGAGGCTCACTGGAAGCTACGACAGGCTGTCCATGTGGGGCGCGGGCATACTGTCAGTGTCGAAGTTGTCGATCGCCACGAACGTCGTATCGGGATTGGCGGGGACTGCAAGTGTACTGTCCAAGTCGATGTAGTAGAGGATCGGCATGCAGCCCGAGTCGGGCTGATCGGTGGCCGCGTGCATGAGATCCGCTCCGGGCCGGACTGGTCCGTGAGGATGCAGTCCATTCCGGGCTTGATCAAAGCCGTGGACGGGCAGTCCGTATTGGGGGTGCTTTGGGTCTGCGGGCATGGGGTCCGTGTCGAGCAGATCGGGGACCGCGGGTCTGCCATCCGTGCCGTGATGGTCTGGGTCGCTGCTACAACCTGCATCGTTTGGACGATAGCGAGAACCCCATGGACGCATTGACGCATTTGACAGCATGGCTTTCCTACGTGCAAGGGAAGACTGATCATAGCTGGAGCGACGGTGACTACGTCTTTCCGGCGCTGTCAAAAGTGGCTAAAAGTGTGCTGAAGTCCGACACTGCATCCACCGGTTGTGAAAATGCGCGTGTAAAATGGGGCAAGAAGATGTCTGAGCAGGCATTCATCACCCTTCTCAACTGCGTTGTGCGAGATATGAATCGAAACGGGAAATCGACGCGTGGCTACGTCAAGCAGGAGTGGCGTGATATCTGGTTCACATCTCACACGTTTCGTCGAGCTGGGGCGCAATACAGGTTCCCGTTTGCTGTTCCCGAGCGTGGGTGGTCACTGCGCATGGTGAAGTGGTGGGCAGGATGGACCTCAAATGAGTCGGCCGAGACGTTTGTGCGCTATCTACTGGACCAAGCGGCTAATGACGAAGACAAACAATTAGCGGACTGCTTAGCGCCGGATCGCGAAGCGCACTCCTACCACGTACTCAGGTCGGAAGCGTAACCTAACAATTTCTGTCCGGCAGCCCCCATTGGCCGGTGCCGTCGAAAAGCGGCTGAAAATTGTTGAGAACTCCGTCAAAACGCTCCACGACAAGATTGACTTGTCTGGCATCCGTCTTGCAACCGTCTCAGCAGTCAGTACCACTTCCAGCAAGTGCCAATAGCAGCGAAAGTCACGTGGAGCAGGTGTCGATCCTCCCACCAGCCAAGGACTGGAAAGACATGTACCGACTTCTGGTTCTCCAAAGAGTACGTCTGCGACCGCAACTGATTCTCTGCAGCAGCCTGCACTGACTCAGCAGAGTGCAGCCGGGCGCTCATAGTTGCCATCTCCAGCGTCGAGCCATCGCCAACATCCATGTTCGGCTCCGCAGCAGTAACCACTTCATCGAGGTTCCGGGCCGACGCCAGGCGAGAACCCACGCGGCGATCACCGCGGATGCTCGGGCCCAGATGCAGGTTCACCGAGAGACGGCCGAGAGACTCCAACTTCGAGCCCAGCACCGCCAATATGCGCTCCGACGACTCATCACATGCATCACGGACCAGCTGCTCAAGGGCGTCGCGACGCATAACTTGACCACGGCCGCGTGAGTTGTCGAGAGCAGGCTGAGAAGAACCAGGAGACCCAGGGCGAGATGTTGCCGGGGTTCCCGAAGACTCGTGGCCCCGCACAGCCTCGATAAGCGGCAGCGGAGGCACGCCACCAGCCGACAGCAGATATAAGTAGACGCATCAACGAGAACAACATCAGCATGAGTGAAAAGAAGGGGGACGCATGCAGCGACGGGATACGCACCTGCGCGGCATCGTCTGGACGCGGAGTATCGTCAGCCATCGACCCAGCGCGAGCCGAAGACGACGACCGAGCAGGCGAAGACGCAGCAGAAACCTGGCCGGAGAGGCTGTCACCAGAACTCGACGCGGCATGAACCTGCCGCCAGCAGAACAAGCGAACGCGCGTGAGGGTAAGCAGTCGCCGGCACGAGCAGAAGACCAGACGCAGCACCTACCATGTCAGCGGGATCGACGCCGAGCGCTCGGAACGCGCGGGCCAGCGCAGCCTTCGCGGCGACCCAGCCGTGGTAGCGCGAAGACACCGGGAGCACCCTGACGCTCACCAAGTGCTGTGGCTCGCAACACGGTGTGGGCAGCTCTGATGTCGGGAGAGTTGAGTGAAGCTCACGGCAAGGCCTGCGGCGTTTGGCATCAATTCAATTGGCGGATCGAGGCACATCGCCAGTCGTTCGATGGTGTTCGACGGCCGCTGATTGGTCTGTGTCGACACAACACCGGGACTTCAAGGACGACCCGAACCTACGGCGAACTTTGGCATGAGTTCCGCACCTAAGGCGACTCTTCGAGTCATCGGGAGGCCGTCCGAGCCTTCAAGAGAGCTTGGAAGAGTCGGGTGGTTACCTGGAAGATCCAAAACGGACACGTCTAGACTAGATATTTGTATTGAACCATAGGAAAGAGAAGATAGAACAGATAAGCGCTTTGGGCAACAAGAACATAACAGCTTTTCCTCCCAACCACTCAAGGAAGACGTCCGGGCTATCGGTGAGTTCCCGTAGCAATTGGATAAATCTGTTGGTAGGATTATGACTGTCGCTGGACGCGCCTGCTAGTATCGTAGCGTGCGTTTACCCGTGGTCAGGCCAAGAGAAGAGAAGAAGTGGCCGTGTATACGAAGGGCGAGTCATCGCCGTGTAGTGGAGGAGCGAGAGCGCACTCCATTTATCCTTCCCGTCGGAGTATAGCTCTGGCACCCTCGTATCAAGCCGTGACTGGCTGGGACCCTTCCTTCCTGAGGGCCTGCGAGGTTTATATTATGTGTGAGAGCGTGCCAGCCTTTGCTCGTGGCTGGTGACGCTGGGGTTTCCGTCAGTTGACTAAGCGGAAACACGGTGCACAGAGGAAACATCAACCCGGTGGAAGGGAAAGTTCCTGGGCCTTCATGTTCTAACCCTAACAAGCCCATTTAGTCATCGGGACTTGGTGGGTGTTGTTGGTGGAGAAAGTGTGCTATTATATAATTTAGTGCGTGTTCCTACACGACAACAATGATAGGTGGGTACCACAACCAATCACTGATTGCCACATCAGTACTGTATACTTCACAAAAGCACACAGCAGCAACACTATCAAATCGCATGCTGGCACACCAGTTACTGGAGCGAGCACAACAACCAATCACGGCACAGACGAAAATCTTTTCAACGAATCATCAGTACGAAAAAAAACGTTTTACCCAATCACTCACAAACGTTCCCCATGAGATGGCAGCAAGTAGGGCGTCCTGATCAACCGCCACACTTCCCAAGAAGCCCCATAGCGAGCAAGTCGCCCTGTCCTCCCCCTCTGACCCACCAAGCATGACCCAAGCACCCTCCTGGCGCAATATTTGCATCAAGAAGTAGGAGAGCATCGATCTCCTTCTTCTCGGGTGCATGAAAACCTTCAAGGCATCAAAAAGCCAAACCATGTTCTGCACGCTCTGCTCGTGGCCGACGCCGCATCTAATGCGCTACAAGCTTCTCACCTGTCGCTGCACGCAGTGCAAGACGGCGGCTCCCTACGCTGCATGTCCCTGGATGTAACGGGGTTACACGCACAAGTGGCTACAGTCACTTGTTACTCTAACAGATGCGATGTCTGTTAGAGGTTTGAACACTTCCTCGACCTTGGTGTAAGGTACACCAATGGCTACATACATTTACGACCAGGTCCATACACATTTAGGATTCCTATCGGCTGAAAGCAGCATCTTTTAGCCAATGAGCGACATGTATAGCATTGGAATTCTGCCAACCAGCCGTTGGCAGATTCCTAGTTTAGAATATTACATCTAGAGTAAGTCAGAAACATAAAACAAAAATAGCAGTTCTCATCTTTTACCAAAACACGCTACTTGGAGTCTTTATCTTGTTTAAAGTATACTTGTGGATCTCGAGTATACTTAACTCAAGTAAAAGAAACCTACGATTCCTCATACACGTGCGCATACGTGTAAGCCGTAGTAGTGAGCCAAGGTAGGCCCACTACACCTGGTAGCACTTTGTAGTCCGTCCAACGACCGGACTACCTGAACGTTCGTGCGGAGCTGTACGAACGATGAGCCGAGAACCTTTTCATGAGCGCGGAGGTGCCCATGGAAGCTCCACTTCGCCAGCAACTCATATTGCCCGCGCTAACTGCCTCCACCTGTCAGATCCAGAGTGAGAGGCACTCCAACGACTGCAACAGTCATTGGAGAAGCGGCTGTAGCTGTAATGCTGCGAACACTATCGCCGACGGAGCAACACGGTGTTGCTCTGGGATTCATCATGAAGGAGCAGCGTGATGCTGCTTCCTCTACCACGGTGGCGTCGGAGACGACACCGCGTGGACAATCGTTGAAGCTAAACGTGAGCAACTATGTCGGAAGAGAGGGCGAGCCTCTCCTCCGTTGGCTTGTCGAACTCGACACTGCCATCGCGGCTCGACGTATCGTCGACCCGTTGTCCAAGGTTGCGTTCGCCATGTCATGCCTTGGCGGACGAGCGAGAAGTTGGGCGTATGGACGCCGACTCTCTGATCCTACGTGCTTCAGCACGTACGAGGGTTTCAAGGAGGAGCTCAGGCACCCCCGCAAAATGAGTTTCGGTCAAGGGCAGAGTTCCTCGACCTACAGCAGGGTAAGCATGATGTCCATGCTTACGCGCAGAGAGCACGGTACTTGGTCTCGAACATTGTGATCAACCCGATAGACGAGGCGACCAAGGTCGTCACATTCATGAAGGGTCTGAGAGATGGGTCTGTAAAGACCTATCTCTTCCGTGAGTACCCAGGTACTCTCGAAGCTGCGATTACTCTTGCAATACAGGAGGAGTTTAGTCTGAGGCAGGCTAAACTACATGCGAATGCACCGAGGCTGCAACCGCCTCCGGTCGCGATAGCGGGAGGTCCGGAACCAATGGACCTCTCGAATGCAACGGCTGTTGGTTATCAACAGCAACAAGGAAGTAATGTACGATGCTTCCGTTGCGGAAGGATCGGTCACTATGCCCGAGAGTGCACGGCACCCGTGCACCGAGATGGTGGTCGACGCTGCGATGCCGGGCATCGTCGCGGACAAACAAAAAACGCTGGAACCCAGTAGGCGCGGGGCGCGCCCTAGTTCCGTGTGTTGACCTTGTACACGCGACACTGAGGACTGCAGCCCCCAGTGAGGTTCATTCTCACTGCAAGAAGCAAGATGACAGGCCTGACCTTGTCATCCTGAATGTGAACTCGATGAGAGCAAGCGGCTCTCTCCGTGCTTTGGTAGATTTTGGCGCGTCGAAGAACTTTGTTTGACTGCGACGTCTATCAAGGCTTGACTTCGAGGATTTAAAGATACCTCGAAGTATGTTGGAAGTACGACTGGCAACGGGTGCCGTCGTGAAGACAGAGACGCGCATGGTACGTGTGCGCTTCACGTATGAAGATCAAGAGTTTGTCGAGACCTTTATCGTCCTGGATCTGGACGATAAGTTTGACATTGTATTGGGCATGCCGTGGCTTGCACGACATGATCCGGTCATCGATTGGGAGAAGCGCACTCTCGCGCGCTTCGGTCGCGACAGCGGAACAGTGAGCGATGGCCCTGTTGCCGCTACGCACGCACCGACAGGTGCGCGCGACTCCCCACTCGAGACAGCGCTTAATGCTGCTGTCCCGGAGCGCCCTGGGCTCGCGCGAGCACGCGCGCAAGAGCAGCTAGCGTCGGCGTTGGCGCCGACTGCTAATGAAGGAAATGTGTTGACCTCGGAGGTCGACACCCGCTTTTCAGCGAATCAGGAAGAGTCTCCGGCCTCAAGGGGCACGGATGACGCAGGCGAGTCACACGCCTCAGCCGTGGAGGCTGACGCGAATCTGATTGGATCAGGGCTGGCCAATAATAAGAGCCAAGGTGACGTAACGCCGTCGACTCCGGGAGTCGATAGCTTGGGTGAATTTGATTTGTCGGCTCGGGGAGCCGACGCATCCTCCGTAATGGAGGGCTCCGCCAATAACAGGCGTCGAGCTGATGATGGCGTGTCGGCTCCGGGTCTTGACGCGTACCTGTGCCGGGTTCCGGTACAGGGAGATGACCCTCGCTAACCCTCCGACACAAGCATCGGAGTTGACTTCGCTTCCAGTCATGAGCTGGAAGCGCTTCGCGCGTGACTTGCACGATGGACGCATCGAGCAAATATGCATTCTCTCGGGCGCCGAGAGAACGAAGAGCGAGAATGAAGAACTGAGGCAGTTCTTTATGGAGACCACCACTGAGAGTGAGGCCACTCTCAGTGCGAAGACTAAGAAGGAGCGCTATGAGGAGCAGAGCTGGGACTCGCTGAAGTCGAGTCCCTACTACGAGATCTTACGGGAGTACGCGGACGTACTTCTGGAGGAGATCCCTGCGGAGCTTCCGCAGGATAAGGGCATCCAGCACAAGATTGATCTCGTGCCGGGGACGAAGTACTGTGTCAAGCGGCAGTGGCCGGAAGCTGCTTGCGCTCATGCGCAAGCACAAGCTCTATGCGAACCTGAAGAAGTGCATCTTCGGGTCGAGCGAGATACCCGTGCTCGGGTGTCTCGTTGGGAAGAACGGTGTCCGCCCTGACCCTGAGAAGGTTAGAGTGATCAATGAGTGGCCAACGCCGTCGAACGTCAAGGAACTACGGCAGTTCCTTGGCTTGGCCACGTACTTGTGCAAGTACGTGAAGGACTACGCGGGCATGATACGCCCGCTGTCACAGCTCCTGAAGAAGGACGCCGAGTGGGTTTGGACTGCTGAGTGTCAGCAGGCCTTCGATGCAGTCAAGCGGGGCTTGACTGAGGCGCCAATCTTGGCGGTGGCCGACCAAGATCGCCCATTCCACGTTGTGCGTGACGCATCCGACTTCGCAATCGGATGTGCGTTGATGCAGCACGATCACGAGGGTCGTGATCGTGTCGTCTACTACCAATCGCGCCAGCTGAAGCCAGCTGAGCGCAACTTCCCGGTACATGACAAGGAGCTCCTTGCCATGAAGTACGCATTCGCGAAGTTCCGAGTGTATCTACTCGGAAGCAAACCGTTCGTGGTCTACACAAACCACGCGTCGCTGCGGACGGCTGTGAAGTCGCCGCACATCTCGCAACGGATGGCGAGATGGCTCTCATTCTTCGCAGAGTATAACTTCCGGGTTGAGTACAAACCCGGAAGACTCGATGTGGTGGCCGACGCGCTTTCGCGTCGACCTGACTACGCCACGACTGATGCCGACGTCAATACCATTGACGCCATGTAATCGAGCACCCCAACGTCGTCACGGATGGACGACGTGAAACTCGCGTACGCGCACGACGCGGACGCGAAGCTCTTGCTGGCCTACGGCTCAGCGCCTTCTGATAAAGCTCGTCAGAAGCTACCGAAGCATCTTCGTGCTCGTGCACACCGTTATCGGGTGCACCACGGGTTATTACTCTACAGTGCAGTCGACGACAACGCGGACCGCGTTGTCGTACCCAATGACCATGACCTGCGACTCAGAATCATGTACGAGTATCACGATGCACCGACTGCGGGGCATCCGGGCCGTGAGAAGACATACCATCTTCTCACGCGAGACTTCTACTGGGCCCACCAGTATAAATGGGTGCGCAAGTACGTCCGTGCTTGCGAGGTTTGTCAACGTGTGAAGCCTGCGCCATCCGCGCAGGCTCCCTTGCAGTCACTGCCGACTCCGTCGGAGTGTTGGCAGTCCATGTCTTTGGACTTCGTGTTCGGTCTTCCCCCGAACAGCCAGGGGAACACAGGCGTTGTGGGCTTTGTTGACCGCTTCAGCAAGATGGTACATCTTGCTGCGGTACCTGCTGAAGTGACTGCGAAACAGACGGCACGTCTGTTCGTTGACATGGTGTTCAAACACCATGGCATGCCTATCGACATTGTGTCGGATCGAGACCCGCGCTTCACTGCACACCTTTGACAAGAAGTGTTTACACTTCTTGGGAGTCAACTTTCGATGTCGACTGCGGACCATCCGCAGACGGACGGGCAGACCGAGCGCGAGAACCGCGTGCTCGTAGACGTGCTTAAGAGCTACGCTCACTCGTTCCAACACTGGAGCGAGTGTCTGCCGATGGCGGAGTTCGCCATCAACAACTCGGTGCATGCCTCGACCGGGCATACACCGTTCTACGTGAATGCCATCAGGCACCCACGCCTCCCGAGTCTCCTCGGGATGGTGATTCCTTCCTTAAGTGGGGGAGGATCTACGACTGCAACGCAGCAGCCGCAGAATGCCGCTGACACTTGCACAGTGTCAGCCGCGACTACGCGCAAGAAGAAGAAGAAGGTCGCGTCTGTGCAGGGCACAGACACTGACAAGAGCAAGAAGAAGAAGAAGAACGTATCTGTGTAGGGCACAGACACCACGAAGACGAACGCAGAGGCCGGGCCTACTGCTGGAAACGAGCTGAACGAGTTCGGCTCGGACGCAATCAACTTCGTGCAGCGCAGACAAGCCGTCATTCGGTTTGTCCAAGACGCTATTGCAGCTTCTGTCGACCAACAGAAGCTGAACGCAGACAATGTTGGCAGGGGCAACACTAATGAATTCGAGAAGGGTTCATTGGTTTTGTTAGCAACTCAAAACCTGCCTAAACGTGCAGTTTCCGACTTCGGGGCAAGCAAGCTCGCTCCGCGCTTCATCGGGCCGTTCACGGTGTTGGCACGGCATGGCAACGCCTACACGCTAGATATTCCATCTAGCATGCGCCTCCATCCGACCTTTTACGTCGGACGGCTGAAGCCATACCTGCAGCACGAGCTACGTAGCTCGGCTGAACCGAAGCAGAAGACTCGGCGGATGCCATCATCCTCTCCAGCGCGAAGTCGCGCTGGAGCAGCGGGTCGAGCTAATGGTCCAGCTCGGCCGGAACGATCGAGGCGGCCTGGGAGGCCGCCGCAAACTGCGAATACTTCAGAGCGCCGAACCCAGCGCTCTGGAACTACCCCACGACCGGAACTCGGTCGTGGGGAGATGCGAGATCAGGGTCAACACCAAGTTGACCACACACGGGGCGTGTTTCCGCCACCACCGCCGCCGATTCGTGATGCACACGGCTCAACTCGATGGATTGTTGAGCGGATTGTTGATCACAGTATCCCGAGAACGAACAGGCAACCAGTTCGTTTTCGTATTCGTTGGAGAGGATTTCTTCCCAACCAAGATACATGGGAGCCACGGAACAGCTTGCTCCAAGACGTTCCAGACTTGGTGAGGGCATACGAAGCCCACCATGCGCTCCATACTGGAACGTAATGCGAGCGCTGCTGTTAACAGCAGCGCCCGAAGACACTTCGAGGGCAGACATAGGTACCTGCCCCCGCGGCAGCGACGCGCTTCGCACGTTGCCGCGCATTCTACTCAACAGCAGAGAGGTTCTCCGCTGCTGCGCCAGCGGTCTTCAACTTCGACGCGCTCGTTCCATTACGAGCGCGCTCTCTTCAACGTCACGCATTGACCAAGTGGTCAATAGTGGTTGACGTGCCGGGACCGGCACGTCTAACCTTGACGGGGCGATGGTGTAACGGGGTTACACGCACAAGTGGCTACAGTCACTTGTTACTCTAACAGATGCGATGTCTGTTAGAGGTTTGAACACTTCCTCGACCTTGGTGTAAGGTACACCAATGGCTACATACATTTACGACCACCACGACGGGTGGTCCATACACATTTAGGATTCCTATTGGCTGAAAGCAGCATCTTTTAGCCAATGAGCGACATGTATAGCATTGGAATTCTGCCAACCAGCCGTTGGCAGATTCCTAGTTTAGAATATTACATCTAGAGTAAGTCAGAAACATAAAACAAAAATAGCAGTTCTCATCTTTTACCAAAACACGCTACTTGGAGTCTTTATCTTGTTTAAAGTATACTTGTGGATCTCGAGTATACTTAACTCAAGTAAAAGAAACCTACGATTCCTCATACACGTGCGCATACGTGTAAGCCGTAGTAGTGAGCCAAGGTAGGCCCACTACACTGGAGAGGCAGGATGCTGGTGTGCCTCGACCGTATTATGGTGACGCTCTTTGAGGCTGGCATGCACGTTACGAGCGCGAAGTCTCCTCGCACCCCCAGCCTCACCGCAGCCCAAAAGGAATTCGCGAGGCAGATGGCACAAGCGGGCATGAAGCTGGCTCGCATCCGGACTGCGATGCTGCCGCAGTTCTCGCTACAGCAGAGCAAGCTTCCGGCCCTCTAGAAGGTGCAGAACTTCGTCTGTTACTACTGCCACACGAATCTTTGCGGTAACGACACCAGCGCCAATATTCCTGCAGCAATTTGCGCTCGGGCTTTTAGCGGAACGGAGGATGAGCTTAAGCCGTTTTCGTTTGGGTGCGACATCGACGCCAAGGGCGAGCTAACGTTCTTTCGGACCCTCGGACGGCGAGTCACTACTCCAATCAACTAACGAGTCGTACCCAGGGTACTGACGTCAATCGCGCACGACTTCCAAATGTACTGAGAGGAAATAACCAATATCAATAGCCTACCACACAATAAACTTTCGGCCTAGTCCCCGGCGGCGCTACTCACTCAACCCGGGATGTAATCAATAATATGAAATGCAGGACCTCGCTCTGGGCATGAATACAGCTGCAACTAGGAAATGAAATAGGCGAATCACCCTGAGATGCCTGTACCCCTCAGTAACCTTACCTAACTTGGGCGTACATACTTCAGGGAGAGATCCAACCACGGTCGTACCTAGCCCCGGTGCCCGGTCGTCCTGCGCTTCCTGCTCTTCTTGGCGGGTTGCGGGTTTCAGGGGAAAACGAACTCTGTTTATCTTTTACGCTGTGGTTATCTTCCTGCAACTTAGACATGTATTCTGTTTTTCACTTGACTTCACTATACCGCAGTTGACGTCGACACCCCGGTCAAACCAAAAGTCCAGCGTAGAATCGTGGGTACAAATCACCTCCTTCAATGTTCCATGGAATCCTTGCCCATCCTTGGTCTGCCTGATCGGTCGGAAAATCTTGACTTGAGTATACTTTGATCGTATCTCCTAGACTTACACCCGGCCAGAGTCGCAAGACGAGTTAGCGAGTCGGACAGATCGCTGGTCGATATGCATCCTGGGCGAGTCTTCGCCGGGTCCCAGATCCTTGCACTTGTCCCGCAATCCACGTCATCCAATCATCCAATTTCAGCCAATCACACTGTGCCCAGATGAAAATCCAATTTTCCATCGTGTCAACCGCCCCTCTGGTCTCGCTTGGTCACCGAGACCATTTGCCGGATTGATCAAGCTTGACTAGACCACACGATCTGATGTCTGGGCGGGGTGTTGACAACACTTTTGATTCGCCCGGACTTCCAACGGTCGCGTCCCTTCTGTGCTCCCTTTCCTAGTCGAATCTATCTCAGCCACGAGTGGGGTCATCACTCATTCGCTCGGGCTTGCAACGACTTCTCCGTTCACAAAGCAATTTGCCACCTCGCCGACACCCGATGTCCACGAACGCTTCCGACGCCGACCTGCTTGCCGACGCTGCGCTACTCCCGCTTGAGTCGTTGCGCATCCTGGATGGCGCGGCTGGCGGCAACTCGAAAGTCGCCTCGAAGAACGACAACAAGGGGTCCTCTCCAACGCAAGTGGTGACGAGGCCATGGACACCGGCGACGAGCGTGACGACAACGATGCGGACCACGACGGTGACGCAGGCGAACATGGTGATGCGAAAGAGGAGGCTAAGGATGACAGCGCCGACATGGAAGTGGTCGATGACACGGCCGGAATCTCCACATCCAGCCAGAGCATCGGCACCATATCTGGGTGGACGCATTCAGGCGAACAGACCCCAGTATTACTCGGCGGTGGACTTTGAGGGAAAGGTGTATCCATTCCCCTTCCGTGACCCGACTGGGGCTCTTGCGTAGCTCGTACATGCATAATAGTCTGCATGTCCGCTGTGCGATGCGTCCGCTCACTGGTATGACGAACAGCTTGCCATACGACGTATCGAAAGCGCTGAGAGCGTGCACATACATTTGGAACGCATGCATGAACTCTGCACCAGCCTTCATCGTGCTACCGGAGTATCGGGGCGCTGCCGGCAGGGTCGGCGCATTCGTCACGCGCAGCGATAGCCTCTCCTCGTGGACGTCATCACGGCTTGGCGACGCCGTAGCCATAGACACGCTGTCCGCGCCCGTGTACTCCATTCCACCGGTCGACGTCGGCGGAGGCATGGCGAATGGTCCCGTCCACATCAGGCGGCGCTGCCCAATGCCCCACCTCGGGTTACCGCCCGGTGCGGACCTCGGGTGGCACGGGGACGGACACCGGAAGTGGTGGCACGTCGATCTCGAGCTCCTCCCCGCGGTTTCTTGTCATCGTCCTTTGAAGCTGGAGTTCGATTCACCGACAAATTTATTTGTTCTCGCTCGCGGTCCCGGCTGGACCCGAGCGGCCTTGCGCACGTGAAGGTAAAAACCAAACTGACATGTATTGAAAGAGTCTTAGCTTGTTGGTGCTGCTTCCTACTGCATCCATTGGTTGCCCCTTCTACATCCATTGCACCTAGCTATGCGATCTACCTCCAGCTTCCAATCGGTGCCTTCTGCAACTTGTGAGTCCCTCCCACCCACCTTCAGCCCACTTACTCCCAGAACTGGCCGTACACCTTGCACCCTTCGAGTGCAACTCATCGAGAGTTCAGATGCGGCTGGTTGAAGGCTGTGTCGTAGCCGCTGTGCCGCAGATCACAAGGGCCATAAGCCGTGCGGACGCCATAGTATAAGTAGATAGCAGCGGCTGAAGCTACCCGTACGATCATGCCAAAGAGTGACTGCTTATCGAAAGCGTTAGGAACTGATGCAGCATGTTTCGACTCAGTGCCGATTCAGCAGAGCGCAAGTATTGGTTTGCGAAAATTATCGTTCACATTTTTGGGTTTTGTTAGAATGTTGAATACATAACTCAGGAAAGAAAGTGGAGCGATTCCTGTAGGTTTTAGAATCCAACAATCGGCTTAAAAGTGCGAAGGAAGGGCATTTCTGAATTGGTTCTTGCAATCTGAACCCTACGGGAATCGCTCCAGTATAGCAGACAAAAATGTTTGAAGACTGGACTTCACAGCCGGAATTTCAGAGCTTCTTCGTGCACAGCACGACTTTGTGTCATACTCCAAGAGGTGGGAATATACCAATTCCTGAAATCATAAGCCAATCCGCCTACGTTTTGGTGAAAAATGCCATATGCAGCTTACGTACATAGGAAAATGTACCATGTACTGTAAACCTTTTATATCATGTATACAAATGTATCTGACACACAATATGCACCTTACCCTGCGCGTTCTTACTGAGTATGTGCGCGGGCCGGTGCGCCTAAATCATCGCCACTGTAACCTAGTGAATGCGTTTCGATGTTCAACATCTACGTGCTCCTCAAAGACTACCTGCCCTAATGCTAGAAAGAGAAGAAAAAATTGTCCCTGTTGGGTTACCTTATTTGTGCCCGCTACCGTTAAATACGCCGAACTGATGCATGTTTGCATTACCGCATCGCCCCTGTCCCATGGCTTAAATGAAGTTTTGAAAAAGGAAGTCGGTAAACCGGTTTATCCGCTTCTACAGTTTCAATCTTGTCGGTATGAACTCAGTATACCGGTGATCTCTGTTCCCTCCCTTTAAGTACGAAAAGGGGAAGCGTGACGAAGGAGAACGGAGGATAACCGACAACCTTTCAGTAAAACCCGCGGTCTCTCTGTTTGAAGAGCTGCTATAATTGGGTGGTCCTCCAGCAAAAGCCGCGAACCTAACTCGAACGTATGCACCGTTTCGTCTCGCCCTCGATCAACCAACCAGAGGACTAAGACAGGAACTTTAAGTTCAGATCTCCTGTGTAGGTTAAATCTTCCTTCACTTCCTCCCGTTAAAGTTCGGCCCCAAACGAATTCTAAAACCTCACGAGCAGCTGTTTGTAAGGTTTTAGAGTCCACCCGTTTCATCGGGAACATCACTTCCTCTTCTCATCATTCTAGCCATACCCTGAGTTTTGTCCTAAGCGAATTTATGTATTGAGCGATCAAAGAGCCATATTTTCGGCATATGTTTGATGCTAAACTGCTGTGCCAAACACGCGAATCATAGACGGATGGCAAGCGTATTGACCGAAAGGCATGTCATGCTTCGCATCAACGCACCAGAAGATATACAAATATACCGGGAAGCTCGAGCACGAGGTAAATGGCTATAACCGCACGATATATGCAGACGGACGCGTCACCGAGCACATATTTTTAAGTCAGATGATTTACCCTATTTACTAAATTCTAGAATCAAATCATTTTGTCATGAAGATAACCCTAACTACTAGAACGCACATTGAGGTTCGCTAAGAAAATATGAAAAGCACCACCCAATCCGTGAAAACCACAATGGACTTGTAACGAGCACATGTACACGAGTCAGGCCAAAACGTGAGGCACGTCGTGACATGTCAGCCAACGACCAGTCGCGCTGTGGCACAGGTAGACCATATCTACAATCTTCCTGACTTCTCATGCGCCGCACGTGCTCACGCGCAGCATGCAGAACGGCAGCAGTTCTTCTTGCTGCGACAGGCGCTGTGAGGACCACCAGCGGCTAGCGGGCGTCAACAGCTCGGAGCGCATACCTTTCCAGCTTCTAACGCACCAATATTGATGGAGATCTAACCCGAAAGTGCAGCCGGCAGGCTGCCCGTCTAATTGCAGGTGGGAAAATCGCGCGGAGCGAGCCGCTAAATGATGCGATGGAGGGAAGTTCGTGCGGGACGAAGGTAGTGCATAAGGTGGCGAGTGGGTGGGTGGGTGAGTGGATGGGCTTGGCCGCGCGCTGTGTTGCAGCGGGACGATGATCAGTGTATGCGCCGGCATCGCATCGAGTTCATCGCGCGGGGCGAGCCGCGGAAGGATGCGGTGGAGGGCAGTTCGTGCGGGACGAAGGTGGTGCAGGAAAGGGCGAGTGGGTGATCAGCCCCAAGGGAACAGCGATGCAAGTTAGTGGGAGCAATGCGAGGGCCATGTTATGGTATATACGTACATATTAACCCCTCCAAACCGGAGCCCCAAAAGTGTTTGATATGCAGTATGCAGCATAATTAGTCTTGACGTTTGTATATAAGGGATCGGGTTGGCGGCAAGCGAAAGGCTGAGCTTAGCAAAAGTGTGTAGAACGGTGCTAAAACTGCTGTATACTGCATGTTGTTTGCCAACGCCACACAGCTAAGCTGCATTATACGGGTTACCAAGGAAATGGACAGGGCACTACTACGTGCCCAGCGGCACTGCACCTTGTCCTCATTTTCTAAAATTTCGAAAATCAAACTTCCCATACAATGAATCATATACAGGTTGGGGTGTCACCCCTAGCTGGTAACGCGATCATACTTTGCTGGTAAGGCAGTCAAAGGAAACGCCACGGCGCGTTTTTTTGTTGTAAACAAATATCTAATGAAGTAAGCATCCAGCATCAACAGCTGCTTGAACACGCGTCTAGCAGTGGCTCGATGCTCATAACATGGGGTTGTAGGATGCAGGTCAAGATCAACCTGCCCGAACATGATGCCGGTTGAGATGGACGTGCGCGAAAACAGGCGATTGACGCTGCACTACAGTGGTAAACAGAGTGCTTACTGAACAAACAACACGCATGCAATCAGCGTTATCCTGCATTATACAGCCTAGCATCAGGATAATATGCAGCTTAATCACAACGGGAACGTGCGACAACGTTTGCTTGACGCAGAGATCCGTGGAGTGTCAGGCAAAGCTCTACCGTCGTTGTCCTCGTATGGTGTTGCCTTCAATAAGTTTTTCATGTAGGCATCACTCGGGCGACGTCTCAGCAGGTCGTAGCAGCATCCCGTACATGGTTCTGGGCCTTCATGAAGGGAAAATCGGACGTCGTCAGCCGCACTTGTCATGCCCGCCCGCAACCCGTCATGAACGCATTAGCAACTTTCACGTTCTGGCACTTGGTACTTTGTCGTGGTGAAAACACGAGCTGACATGCTACCCAACCAAGACACGACCGGGAATCCTTTCGCCTAAGAACGTATGCTGTAGGAACTAAGTCGACTCACGGAATGCTAGGATAAATACCATTGTTTTTCATTGTGGATATACGCTGTTACTTGGTGGTTACCTAAACGGAATAGCTCCGTTTCCGTTGTCATCTTGCCAACTAAGATGTCTTTCCGCCTCGTTGACACTCCGCGCAGTACGCAGATGGATCTTCATGTGATTCCTCACCAACACTTCATCGTTGTCCCCGGACGTGTTTAAACGTTCTTGGCAAACTCAACACAGCTGCGGTCCATCGTTTCGTCATACGGAGCGCAGCGAGGCTCCATGTCTTCAGCGAAGCCAATCGCGCTAGTCTCCGTCGTTGTTGTCTGCTAACAACGTGCGGATGATCCCGCTAGTCTTATCAACGGCGCTTGAACAGCGTATTCAGGGTAATATTCAGTATAAGATGCAGCTTACAACACAGTATAGTACATCCATGCAACATAACATTCAACTTACCCGACTTGCTCAGCGCTGAAACCGCACTTGAATCATGACCAGTTGGTTGCGTCCGCAGTAGCAAAAACTCTCAGTGGCAGCCGCGTAGCTCGTCCGACTGACGTCGGCGGCGGCAGCGATTCGAGCACCACTAGCTGCACACCGAAGGTAGACTTAATCCGAGAAGAAAGCCGTAACAAAGTCGAAGGATGGGAAAGGGCCGTTGCTGGAGTACAGGTTCCGAGTCGAGAACTGCACACAGAGCACATAAGCGCGTAAGAGGTTTTTTAGCTAGCATAAACCAATGGGTTCATACGAATTGCGTATACCTCACCCAACGATTCATCGCCACGGACACGTTTACCCCGTTGGTGTTGCTTGCGTCACCTCCAGACCGCAGGTAGAAGTAGTGGTCGCCGAGCCCGTGTCCAGACTTGCTCCAGCAGGCTATCACCAGAGCGGTTAAGCTCGATCTTCCCCCGCACAGCTTCTCTGTCGATGTGTGCTCCGCGCGCGCAAATACTCGAATGAGGCCGGTGTTTTTAAAAGCGGCGAGCGGCCAAGTGCTGAACCACTCGTTTGGAGTGTCCCAAAAGCCTCTAGTATCATATGCAAATCCGTTGCAGTACGGTGAACCTGCCAGATTCCATATTTTAGATTTAGACCAAGTGTATGTCCTTTCCTATTTTGCAAAAGAAAGGCGCGAACAGAAACCCGACAATTTTTAAACTTAAAGTTTGTATACCCTCGTGTCGGAGGAAAGGACACCCATACAAATTTCAAGGCAAAAATCGCTTAAACTGAATATATTAAGTTTAAGTGGAAAGGCTATGCTGCATTATGCAGCATCGGGGTTGGAGGGGTTAATCCAGCGATGACATTAGGTAGCGACTAAAGCTGACGTCTACATATTGCTTGAGATACAAACGACAGGGCAACTACTCTCGCTCAAGCGATGGACCATCACGCGGCGGACGCCCGACTGTCGTTGGCGCGTTACCGACAGTAGTGCGCTTCCGCTTCGTCGTCACGCGTATGTTGACGAGGGCTTCGGCCCCTTTCTCATCAATTCTAGCGCGCTCTTACAGCGCAAAGAGGACGTGGATACAGGTCGCGTACTTGAAGTGGAAGCGGCATGGACACGTTTGCGCTACCATGTCAACTGGCCAACCAGGTTCAGGTTGGTTTTGCTTTTCATTCGTGCCGTGTTGAACCCAAATGTGCTGACCCTTGAATGTATGTTCGTGGAAGAATTGAAGATGCTGGGCGGTGGCGTGTACAACACATGGAGCACGTCGGATGCTAAGCCCCCGAGCAAGAACTCGACGCTCATGCGAGGGACGAATTCGCGCAGACGTTGCTGTAACTTAAAGGCTCCCACTCGTGCACAAGATCTCCTTCGACGGCTTGGGCTTTGTGGCGAATGGAGCCAAGTCGACACCTCGTTGACGGCAGCACGCAGCAAGCTTCGTCATGATCTCGCATATCTTCAGTAGTCGATGGGTCGTGAAGTCCCGCTTCAACGCCCGGTTGAACTGCTTAACCGGGTTGTTGGTCGTTACAAAATCGTACGGAGACTGGTAGCACTGCCAGCGGCAAAAGGGCTGGTTGAACCACACGTGCTTGAAATATGCATCGAACGGCTTCAGCAGGGGGTTATCCTTCCAGCGCTTCTGCGTTTCAGCGAGTACGCCAGCATACTCGGTATCGTTTCGACCGAAGTGCATATCGTAGACGCCCTAAAGCACTTCCTCGCTCAACTCCTTCAGCAACCCCTTCGTTCGCACGACCACCTTCGCGATGAGGTGGTAGTAGCACATGAGATGCACGTAGTCACAGTCTCCACCGAACCCAGTGCTGACCGCATTATACTGGCCACCGTCAGCATCGCCCATAACGTACGCTACCTTAAGCGGCTGTTCGATCCCCATGCTGTACACCCAGCGTAACGCTGCAAAGGCCTTCGCGTAGTGCTCCTCGTTTTCTTGAGACGTAATAAAAAACGCGAGCAGATGAAATCTCCTGGCAGCATCACTGATGCCACAAACTAGGACAGGGTAGCCCACTTGGATGGTTTTGTAGGTAGCATCCACATGAAAAGTGAAACTTGATGCATCTCGCGCAGCTTGACGAAGCAGCGCTTTCGTGTAGAAACCGAAAAGAAAAGACTTTTCATCGGAGCCATATCCGACCCGTGGAGCGGCTCCGTCCGGATGTTGCCTCGCTGTTCCGGGAGACTCACGATCTTCAATAACCGCGTGGACCGTCGAGACGACCTGTCGTCTTACGACTCACTGCGAAACCAGCTCACAGGTTTTCGGGTGGAGCTTCATGGCCACACGCCGTTTCCGGAGCAGCAGTCCCACTCGTATCAGACCCAGTTTGCCCAGGGCTCGTACGGGGCCCCTGCGTATGCCGCTCCGATGTACGCCGCGCCGTTTTACGACCAGCGTGCGTACCAGGCGCCTTACGGCGACTCGAAGGCGCGCTTCAAGGGGCTGCACTCTTCTCCACGGACCACCCACCGCTTCCTGAGGAGCAGAGGGTCATGGTACCTGTTAAGACGACCCACGTAAAACGTCGGGTGAGTCGCCATCGACTTGGGCAAGTATATGGTGTACGCCGCGCCATGCCGGCCGAGGACTGAGGCGAGGTGGGCGAACGCCTTTTCCGCCCAGGTGTATAGCGTGGAATGTCGGGGAGAACAAGTCTCTCAGAACTTCCCGGGCGACAACACCAGAAGATGTCCGCCCAAGATGGCATCCGGCTGACCAGCACGAGAGGCAGTCATGTCACCAAGGCCGACGCCATGCGCAATCTCGAGGGCGTACACGCGGTCCCGGAGAAGACGAATCTCCTCTGACTCGGGGCCCCAGCATACGGTGCGTTTCCTCAGGCTCGTAGCCATGGTCACGCAAGGCCACTGCCGGCCCTCCTTGATCGTAATGGACGGATCCACTACCACGTAAAACGAGCCGTCCGGGAGCGGCAATACATGGCAAGCGCCAGCTGCTCGTGAAGGGGAGGGGTTACCCTGAGTCGGATAACTCGTGGGAGCCCGTTGAGCAGCTCCAGGCAGACTGCCGAAGGCTGTTGCAATGTGAGACGAGAAGCAGCAGCAGCTTCGCAAGTAGTCCTTGGCTTGTTGGCCGGTACCAGGGGCACGGTAGCAGACGTAGTCGCACCGCGCCTACGCTTTTCACGAGCTTTGGCTCTCGCCTCTTGCTTTAGCTCGTCCAGCTTCGGCCGGAGCATGCGCTTGCTCATGAGTTGAGCGACCTCGATGCGGAGCTCGCGCAAGTCCAGGATAACGGACAGCGTGCGGTCCTCACGGAGTTCTTTGAACTCTTGGTCGGTATACCCTTTGCGCTGGACGTAGCGCCAGAAGAGGTCTTCCACCTCACCCCAGGACATGCTCCCATTAAGATTGCCCCAGTGGAAACCCCACAGATGCTGGAGTCCACCCTTGCCCCCCGGCTTCTTGCGAAGCGTGGTGCACTCCTTCAGTGTGAGCTTGTGTGGTGCTGGTATCACACACCGGGCGGCTTTGACGTCACCAAGAAGTGTGGCTCCTTCTCCATGAGAGCACGCTCATAGGAACCCATCGAGGTGTATCCGCCGATAAGACCACAAGGAGCCGAGAGCCTCTCCAACAGGTGCGGCGCACCATTGCCAGGCTCGGGTGGGAAGTAGCCCTGCGGATGCGTGGTACCCCCGCCTAACAAGGAATCGATGGCAGGCGTGGCAGTCGGCTACCTGGCAAACGCGTCCAAGCTAGCAGCGTGCAATTGTTGCTGCCGCTCGTCAAGGTTGTTGGAGAGCCGCTTGGGCTCGTGGACGACACCTCCCTTGTCCTCCGACTCCGATTCACTGAACAGCTTGGATCTGAAGCCGCGAGGCGACCTGGAGGCGGCGCGCTTCTTCGCACTGGTCTCGTTGGCCTTCGCGGCAGCAGCGGCCTTCGATGCGGCAGCCGCCTTAGACGCTTGGGCACGCTCACCACCTTGTGCCAGCGTCAGATGCATGGGTGACGGCACCGCCTTGGGTTCGAAGCCCGCGTCGTTCAGCGACTTATCGGCAACAGATTCCGTGTCGGCCATGACGACGTCGCCTTTCTCCACCTACTTGCTGTAGCCGGCGCCGGCTCTAGACTCGACGTCCTCGGCCTCCGCGATGAGCGGAGAGCTGGGCGCGCTGCTCGCCGCAAGCGCTTCGGCTTTGGCAGCGTTCTTGCTGCCCTCAGGTGAGATCCCACCGGAATGCACAACCAGCGTGAAGTTCTCGATACTGGCCGTCCAGTCGAAGCCTGGCTTGGCCTGCACCGACTGGGGCTGACAGCTCTCCTCATTACTTGGCACGGCCTCGGGAGTCTTGCTCCGACTCCGAGACCGGCGCCCATCCTCCGGCGTGCTGCTACGAGAGCGCACCGCCTCCTCGGCCGCCTCCGTGGCCTCCCTCAGCGCGGACGACTCGTTCTTGGCCTTGGCCTTCCTGGTCTTCGGCCTCTCGGCCCTCGGTTTCGAAGGGGCTTTCGCAGTGTGCGCACTGCGCTTTGGAGGCATGCTTCCGGTGGATGTGGAGACCCTGCGGCTTGCTCGACGATGCGCCAGGTACTATGTGAGGCCCGTGAGCCGTGGCGCCAGAGCTCGCGCCGTTGTCGATAGATTTCGACTTTGCGAGTGAAATGAGATAGCGGCTGACATAATGTTACTAATCCACCTTTTAGAGTTATCGAGATAATCGCCTTCAAAGTTGGGCGACTGATTTTCGCACTTAAATGAAGTTTTGAGAAACGGAGGATTTTGTGTTTTGAAAATTCGAACCGTCACTAAACCGAACTGGGACGCCCACACAATCGACTTTGCCAACCACCGTCAAGATCTCTGCCATGCCGCTAAGCCCTACTCCTTCTAGCACTGCAGGAGGCTCCTCCATCCCGCTGCAGTCACCGTCGAGCTCCCTGACGTTGACGCTGCTTGCTCCTAGCGCGGTTGCAACCGCTGCGACGCTTGAAGAACCCATTCAGCTTGCTCAAGACACTGAACAAGTCCAGCAAAGTCGCAGCGGCGAAGGCGATCTGGAAAGCAGCGCGGCCGAGAGCGACGAGCCCGACAACAGCGCGGTTGAGGACTGGAGTGAGGAAGAGATGAGTGCAGAAGAGGACGATGAAGACGAATGATTGCCGAAGGTCACTCCCCTAGAAAGTGACCCAACTGGCTTCAGAGCCAACAGATACATTTTGTTTGACTCAAACTATAGGGAACTTAGGATTAGTATGGAGGCCAAATCTGTACCAACCTATCAATACACTCAGTCTTAAATCTACCTCTGTTGCAAATAATCGTCCCCCTCGACCAGGGACACATGAGCAGCTATTCATTTAGAGTTTGCATACTCCTGCTTACTCTGTTAAGAAGTGCTGTGTACCCCGTCACAGAATCACTGGTCTGATTAATGGCTTAGCACATTCCTGACCAAGTCGACCCATCAATTTCATCGATAAACGAAGGGTTTCATAAAAATAGCAAACCAAACTGCAGAACGGTGGAATGAAAAAAAATACACATTCCCCGCGTAAGGTGATATTTTCGTTGAATGTTACCTGTGGCGGCAAGTTGTGTCGTGTACCCTAAATAGCAACATTCGAGCGACCTAAGTCGAAAATTTGCGTTTACCGATCAGAATTTAACAATACAAAAAAGATGACCGGGATGGCCGCATGATCTTAACTCTAAATATCAATCGTGCAGAGTCCTTTGATAGACAGTGTATGACTTCAGCTATAAAAGCTCTCATTGTTCTCTCAGTTCTCATTTCGAATTGACCACTAAACCAAGCAACAGACCTTTCCACTCGTCCAACCTACCCTCTAGACGCGATTAATACCAGTGCGTTCACTTGCCGCAGACCCCTACCGTACTAACTAACTAGTTATACCACTCGATCCGGTTAATCAAACACTGCGGACTAATCGGTTGGCTGTTGTATCAAATATGGCTACTGTATCAGTTTAGTGGTAGAACTACTTAGCAAGGGTATTCAAAAATAAAGAGGCTTCCTGAGCCACGTGTTGGGCTGCAGGGCAGTTGGTCGGGGAATGACCCGCACTTCGCAATCTCCCCGACAGCCCCAAGCACCTGTTCCTCCTCCTCCATCTACCGCAAGTATCATGATTCAGCATGTCTGCTGCTGACACCCATGCAAGCGGGTACGCCAGCAACAGACATGCTTGAACAAGACGTACCTGGTGCCTAATAAGGCAGGCGTCGCAGCGCCGCCGCCTACTCCGCCACAAGTAGCTCGCGCGCAACGTCGCTTGATGGCTGGCACCAGGCTTGCGCAAGACTGCCTGGCGCCCGGAATCCAGAACGCTACCTGCATAAGTATACAAACATGCATATATAGGATTACGAAAACAGACAAACACTTTCATTTAGTAGAGTAGCTCACCTTCTAGAACGACACTAAGGGGGACGTAGAGGAAGGCTTAGAGCACGTCCTTAGCCCGAAGCCTTAAACCGACCAATCTCACTTTGCATTTTACCCAAAAGCAAGCAAGCAACACAATCACTCCACGCACCTTCGCTACGGCAGATTCCAGAGCATCCGGAGCCTGTCAACAAGGGCCGATTTTGTATCAGCTATCTATACGACACTGAACGGGGCCGTAGACACCGGTGCGGCTGATCCGTTGTGGTGTTGGTCATGATCAGAATGTGATCTCACGCATTGAAACATATATAAATGGTGCGGACAAGCGCAAGTATAAATGCAGCAACTACGAGAATACAAGTGTGACACCAGCGACACTGTGCAAGTCACCGCAGTATATTACCGCAGTGGTTAACGGGCAGGCAGACTGTCCAGCGGAGGGGTACTGTACGATGAGTCTATTTCGGATTCGTTTCAAAACCAGCACTTCTTAAAGAGGAAGCACGCCCGATTAGACAATTCAATATGCAGACAGTTCACCTGCTCCTGACGGCGCTTGTTGTCAGCGCCAATGCCGCTATTGGCACTACGGACCTACCCTACACAAGTAACCACCACGTACTCATAGTGTTAACGAAGATAGTGAGCTACGAGACGAGAAGGAGGAGAACATTTACACTCTCAGCTGTCGTAATCCTCATGGGCCTTATCCCTGGTACCTGCATCAAGGGCTTCTGACGTGTTCACGGATGTGAAGACATTGTGAACAAGCTGGATGAGGTCGTGGAGAGGAACCCGAATTTCGTGGAGAAGCTGAGCATGGATCTTGTAGCGATTGAAAAATTAGAGAAGAACTCTGATTTTGCTTAGTGTCGAGGAGACGAATATTTCAACCTGCCGTGTATGTACATCATCCCTTCGCTCTTTTGCGTCACCAACCTATTTTTTTTTGAAAACCTGAAATTTCAGAGGTTCTTCGGGCCGGAAGCACGACTTTGTTAAAAAAGCTTATCGTATAATACTTCTTCCATCCGACATCCATCTTAACCCTTCTGCGATGTATTTTATACTTATAATTTGTAAGGGTATCTCCCGATGCAATACCATAAAACATGGCTAGATGCATGGTTTTACGCCGCAACCCCTCCCCCCCCCCCCCCCCCCCGCAAACCAAAATCGGACATAAGACTGGGTTTGTTCGTACCTAATGTAAAACATCCTACTTAGTCATGTTTTAGTTACCGCCCCGACCCCTACTGGCTAAAATCATCATTCAAAATTCTGATTGGAGCGATTTTGTAAAACATGCTAGTTAGTCATGTTTTACACAGAATCATCACAAAAGGGTTTGATGGTTAGACAGGGTTACACTTGTTTATAGCCAATCAAAACACTCCAAATAGATATTTTAAAAATATATCCCTCAGTGATTGGCTACTAATGTTTGTCGGATATAAGACCTTGTCGGATGGAAGAACTATTATAAGGGAAACGGTCAATCAGGGGCCGTTAAACATGTCTTCAACGAATGTGCTTGTAGTTTTTGCTCTACGAAAAAGTAGGAAATAGCAATTGTACCATTGAAAAGAGCGCAGTTTTGCCGATATGCCGGGACGTTTCGCAGCTTGTAATCAGTAAAAACAGGCGCGATATAAGCAATGCAAAATCGTTTGTAGGATGGACGGCCGGCCGGCCAATTCGAGGTCTGTTCAATTGACTTGGGTTCACTATGGATATCTTATATAAGGCTCTATAAATACGCCAATCAAATAAGAGAAATTATAAATGAGAGTATTTCATAGGTTGATACGAGCGATCCCGAATTGACACACCTGTCCTTGTTTGGTCGTTTACCTTACCCCACTGAGACTTTTGCTAGGACAAACAATAGGACAAATATATATTTCTCTTGATTTCAGTATGGTGTGCCACAAATTTGTCCTTGGACAGACGTCTAGGACAACATTTTGGTACACTATACTGAAATCAAGTGAAATTCCATTTTGTCCCACCATTTCAGTGGGGTTACGATCAGATATTGCCCGTGATACATTTTGCTGGTCTACTAGCAGTAGTTGCTGCCGAGAGTATGATGAGTTACTATGACTACTGGGTCCATCCTGAAATCACATTTTAGATTTGTGACGCACATTTGTCCAGGTTATGATACATTTACTACGTGATTATACTCGACGTTGTTGCCTCCACGGAGAAAAATAGTACTGAAAGTACCATGCTACTTGAGGGTATCATATGGGGTTTTGTATAGCGTTGTTGGATGCAGGCAGTTGGATGCACGAAAGATGCATTGGATGCATTGGATGCGCATATTATGCATTGCATCTAACCATGGCTACCCTCCATAAATAAATAATTATTATTAGTGTCCGTTAGACGAACATGCACTAGCCGGTCGCGTCCTGCCCTTAGACTCTCGCTACAGCCTCACCTCACACCCAAGCTTCATATCCAAAGCTCCGGTCAATGTTGCCCCACCATTCGACAGATGCGTACTGATCATCGTCATCTGCCCAGTCTCGGTGATGTTCATACTCCTCCAGGGCACGACCCTGTATCACCGTCGATGCTGAAGCTTGATATTCGACGGCTACAGAACGCTCCCTTGCTGTTGCGTCCTCTGGCTCTGCATCGCAACGTTCTGGGGGTCTTGACTCACTTGGACCTGGATCCAGTTCAGCCACCGTCACTGCGACGACGTCGGACCGTGCCTTCTTCATGCCGTGGTTCGAATAGATGAACACCAGCATGATCAAGCGCTCGTTGGTCAATCGGTTGCGCTGCGACGAGTGCACGTATTTGAACACGCTCCACGACCGCTCTGCAGCAGCTGATGAAGCTGGGATGGTGAAGATCCGTTGAGCAATTGTCGAGAGTATGGGATAGTCCTTGTCCCCGATCCACGTCCACCACGTTATCGGCGAATCCGCGTGGTAACTGCGCTTGGTTTCTCCTCCCCACTTCCTCTTGGCCTCCATGAACTTCCCTAGCTCTTTGCGATGGGCCTGAATTTGTGTCGGCGTGTACGGAAACCGCGCAGCAAGACTTTCAAGATCTGCAACCGTAAAATTCTGCTGCTGTGTCGTGAAAAGCCTTGTATCCCTTCTGTGGTCGGGCAGGTATGCAATGCGCATTGGGCTTGAATCAATAAATTCCCACCGAGCTTGAATCCGTTCGCGGAACATCGCCTGCATGTCCTTGCTGATCCCAGGAACGTCGTCATTATAAACGGAGCCCTGCTGCAGCTCCACAAACTGCTGAAAAACAACCGATAGACACAGTGAGTCCTTCTCAAAATGAGCGAGCACCTTGTGAATCGGGGTTAACAGTTTAAGGGCCATGTCTCCCTTAATCCAGAACGCTTCCGAACGAGCAATTCGCTTGAACGACGTGACCTTGAGGGCGTTGTACTTTGCTAATAATGCGTCATCCGAAGCCAGCTCCCGAATACTCCGCTCGCTCTCGACAACTAACTTGACACACTCGTAGCGAGAGTACCAGCGTGTAGCAACAGGAATCTTCAAGCTGCGACGGTTGTCAATGTTATCAGGAGAACGGATCGCTTCGGCAAAGCGAGAGTTCGTTGCTGTGTGGTTGCGAACAAAAGTGGCAACTTCTTGGGCTTCTACCAAAACATCAGCAAGCTCAGTATCGCACAGCACGTCCTTCATGAGCAAACCGAGAGTGTGTGCCGTACATCCTGTCGCCATAAGACCGGGACACATATTCTGCAGGATAGCCCACGCGCTCTTCATAGCGCTCGCATTGTCAGTAGTCACAGCAACCACTTTGCCAACGCCAATGACAGCCTCCACCTCTGCAATCACCTCAGCGATCATGTTGGCCATGTAGGGTCCGCTTTTAGTGTCCTCGCCAGTCACTCTGCACATCCAAAGGAGTGGCCGCATGTTAGGCCCCACGAGGATGAAGTTGATGAAACTTTCACGCCTTGAATTCGACCATCCGTCTGTCACTAATGCCACGTAGCATTGGCTCAGCAGGGATTCAACAAGCTCCGCCTTCTCCAAGCCGAACGTTTCCACAAGAAGGTCGTCAGCAAGTTACTGGTGAGTTGGGAGGAATTCCATTGGGCAACTTCCCGCCAGTATCGTGCGCACCTCAGGATCTTCAACCGACCGAAATGCGCAGCAGTTCATGTAGAATGCCATCGCTGCTGGCATCCGAAAGCGCTTCTTGTCTTCTACCGTTAGTAGTACGTTGCCCATATCGAGGCGACATGCATCCTCACACCCTGCAGGCCGAGGCACGCCCGCCTTGCCAGTCTTCAAGCGCTTAGACAGCAGATCTTCGCCAGCGTACGCCTCACGAATTTCAACGGGCATCCGCTCACAGGTCATGATGTGCTTCTTGAGGTGCCGTGACGGCTGGATCTTGGTAAGGAGTTGATCGCAGTACCGACAGTGGGCACTCTTGTACTTCAAATGCCGCGTTTCGCTGACGATCTTGAAGTGCTCCCAGGGAGCGGGGAACGGGCGTCCGCCCGCCATATCTACACATGCATAGACACCATCAGAGTCCCGTATTAGTCACAAACCAGCGCCAAGCAACAGAGCAGCATATACTCACTGGTACCCTGCGCCAGGGGCGTGAAGGTTGGCAGTCGACGAGCTTGCCGCGATCACTGAGAGAAGATTTTTGGCGGGAAACTTGCGACGGTAATCCCCTTCGAAAATGCATTTTTGAACCCAATCTATTTGGTGTAAGTGGTGTACCATCAATCTGTTCGGACAGGGAATGCATCCAATGCATCCAACTGCGTGCATCCAACAACGCTAGTTTTGTATAGGATGGTCACCCCTTTTGGCAACCCCTTTTGACAACCTCATTTTACGTCACAAATTTACTCCACTGTTCGTTTTCTTTCACTTTTGCTACAAGACCAATTTGTGATTTCAGGATGCACCCACTACTAGACTCGTCCAAGCCTTCGTCGCAAATACTATTACTATAGTAGTAGTAAGAATTAGCATTTCAAAACCCTTCAAAATAGCATACTTTCCATCGCAAATTTAAAATTTTGAGCGAAACTTCCAAGGCCTGCGCCCTGGTCATTCCGCATTCTCAAAGAGTGGAATGCAACTGCAACGCTGCATAGTCACAATATTGCATCGAATGCAGGACGTTGTCACGGGCCCGGGCCTGGACCTGGACTGACAGGCCCCTCATGGGCGGGTTTCGGCGGAGCTAGGCCCGGACGTGCAAGCGTATCATGTGTGAGTGGTTATCCTATTCTTCAAGGCAAAGATAATGCGAGATGGCGGGCTGGGCGCGGAACTTTCGGTCGCCAGCCGCCAAGGACGGGTGTCATGAACGCCAGGAAGCTCGTGCACGGGAGGTATGGCGTCCACAAGTGGTTGCAGTAGGCCTGGAAGCGGGTCGGCGGGGTAGCCGTCGACCGCGCATGAAGTGGTGAAGGATTCAGTCGTGAATTCTCCTCGTTGAAAGCAAGAAACCCTTTGCATTTTTACGAGATTGTCTTCCTTTCTTCTAGCGTCTTGCCAGGATGCTACGCGTCTACTCTTTGTTGGCCGAAGTACTCGGCCCTAACGGAGGAGGACCGCAACAACGTCCAGCCCGGATGGAGATTCGTGTAGCATCCACCTCCGAGTCCTCGACCAGGACTCCTGGTTGCAGCAAACCGCAAACGTCTGGCGAAGCTGGCTGAAGTGGCTCGCGCTGTGTACGTGGGGAGGGGAGCTGCAGTAAGTGAACCCATAATATAATCAGCTTAAAATCAAGCATACTATTGACTTACGGCGCTGCACAGAGAGGGCCATAGAGATCGCTAGTTGAGAGGTAGTGATCGCCACAACCAGAGGTCATGTCGCCTAGAGCTCGGGATTCCTTTCTCCTCAGCGGGGACAGTCCTCGGTCTGTGAAAGAGAATGACAATCAAAGAATGAGCTGGGCTGCCAACGTTGACGAGAAAAGACGTGTGAGTTTTTTGACCTAGCAACCTACTTCAATGTGACAGGATAGGTTCGGATTTTTAAATTAGTATTTCGCGGGCCATGACATAGTACTGTATAATATAGTACTGGTATGGGGCATTGGTTTTAGAGTACAGTCACACCTCTATAAATGACACCCAGTTCGCTCGGTCTAATACGCTGTTTCAGTTAAAGAATTGATCAGATAAAGAAATGGCTACACCTCTAATGGCTACATTTTCGCATAAATTGTGCACCACAATACAAGGGCTTTCTTTACCTGGTACCCCTCCAGCATTTTCGTACTCTTGTTTTGTTTCGTCTTCACACAGACAGAACTTAACCAATAACAGTAGGCGCGGTATTGTCTGTTCCTACTCCTTCTTCTCATTGGTATTAGCAGAATCGCATCCCCTCAGGTTGTACGTGAGTTTCAATACAGTGAGGTTATGGGAATATTTGTTGTCCCGATATCCTGCCACCATGCCTGCAGTTTTATCTTTTGTTTGGTATCTACTGCATAGCCCCTAGTTGTCTCGACATCATACTATTTTAGTTTTTCGTGGTTTTCAGGACGGGTGTCATGGCACACAGATCTATTGCGGCTCAACCTGTCCTTAAAACCTTTAGAAGGCCGACCAAGCAGTGGGCAGGGAACTGTAGACCTAAGCCTTGCTTCGGGGCTGGGTTGTTCATGCTTCTCAAACGCCATTGATGCCGATTTGGTCTCTGCATCACGATAGATTTGCGGCCCATTTCACCCCCTCCAATCCGAAAACATGGGCTGCACATTTTCAGTATTAATATGACCGAACGAAGTTCTAAACACACTACAAGGATTTGCATCCGACCGACCAAGCCATCCCAGTGGGATTCCCACGGCCATCATTTTCGCGCCGCTGGAAGCGCCAGTCGGTCCACCGCCATCATCGGTCTCTCTTCTACGGAGATCATGCAGGCGCCTATGCTGTGAGTTCTTTGGCAGCACCAAAGTGGCGAATATTGAGTCGCTACAGAACAGCATCCACTGAACAGCACGACGTGCTTCTCTTGCATTTCTACAGGGGGCGCCATCTGCCGGGTCAAGCCATGCCCGATGTGTCATGCTGGCAAAGTCTCCAGGCGTTTTGTCCTCGGGGTCGTGCTGTCGCGTCTTGTCTAGCGCCACAAAGCCGTGCCTTGTTGACCGATGTCTCGGTCCGCTCCCTCCTGCCTCTCCTCTGCCCGCAAGCTCACGACAAGCTTGAACCGCCAAAGGCTGTCGCAACGGAGACTGCACTCTCACATTCATCTTGGTGGAGGAAGACACAAGTGTCAATACTGCTATGGGGAGGTCCAAGGTGCCGCCCGACGTGTTCCCGCCGTTGCGGCTCTCTCCAGCCGAGAAGCAGGCCATCGTCGACTACACGGACGAGCTGGTAGCCGAGACGCTGCTGGCCAGCGAGAAGTTCATCGCGCGCCATCGCAAGCTCAATCCGGAGCGCTGGAAGTACGTCAAGACGCAGGACCACCTCCACGTGTATCGCTCTCGTCGGCGTAAGAGTTCGTCGGCGTCCGAGCCTCCGCAGCTCGCGTCATTGTCCGAAGCGAGCAGCGCGTCGTCCGGCAGCATTGGGGCGTCACAGATCAATGCGTCGACGAGTTCGGGGGGTTCCAGCAGCCACCGCCACGATGCGGACTACCTCACGGACGGGTCTCTGCTGGAACGCGCCCGTCCTGACCGTTTGCCGCTCGTGGTCATCACGGGCAGGATGGAGGGCACAGTGGAAGACGCAGCGTTCGGCGCCTTGGCTGACAACGAGGCGCGCTGGAGGCTGCGAGACACCTACATTGGCGACGGGTACGACGACGTCAAGCTTCTAGCTACCGTCCAGGCGCCGACCAGGGAGGACCCGTTCCGCTTCCTCGGCGTCAAGTGGGCGACTAAAACAATGGGGACCTTCATGACCCAGCGCGACATGGTGTACGTCGAGTCCACAGGTGTCACTCGCGACTCAAATGGGGAGAAGGCGGCCTACTTGCTCATGCACAGCTACGCGCTGGACCGCGTGCCGGAGCTGTCGGAGTTTGGCGTCATCCGCGCGCGGATATCCTCGTGCTTCATCATCCGAACGCACTCGGAGGGGGTGCTGGAAGTCTTCTGCAGGGCTTTCAACGACCTCGGGGGTGACATCATGGAGGGCGTGACGGTGAACATCTTCAAGGACACTCTGCTGGCGGTTGGCGGGCTCGTGCAGTGCGCGTACGTCAAGAAGCTCAAGTGGCAGATGAGCGCTCGAGAGCGAGAGGCGAGTGAGCACGCGACGGCTTTGGCGGCGCAGAGCCACGCTCCGACGCATTGTGCGGGCTGCCACCACTCGCTGAGCAAGTTCGGCCGCCTCATCCAGACGGGAGCCGCGTGTCAGGTCTGCCGCCGGGTCTTCTGTAGAAAGTGCACTGTCGTCAAGAGGGTGGGCGTCGACTTCGGCAACGCCGGCAGCATCACCGAGAAGAACATGGACTCCTGCCAAGAATGTGTCGCGCTAGCAATGAAGATCTCGGCCAAAGGTGTGGCGTTGGAGACGATGCTCAAAGGCGTGAGTCGAGGTGGTAGCCACAGCTCTCTATCCTCCTCGATGACTAAGTCGTTGAGCAAGTCCACCACTTCAAGCTCTGGTTGACTGAGCGGGCTATCTTGCTCCATGAAGGTGCAAAAGCAGCGGAAGTAGATAATTATGATGGTCACGAGTCCAAGTGCGTGGTAAAATGAAGAAAATTGCCTCGAACCAAACACACAACAATGAATCCTCAACGCTGAGTGCATGAAACTGCAAAAGCTAGATATCTAATACTTCGCAGTACGTAGCTTACTGATGACGATTATCCAGTGACCCGAATTCAGTTCGTCAACTCGTGTGTCGCTCACCATTGAGCTAACGAACGAAGCTAAACATCTTCCTAAACATTTTCGATGTCAAATTGTGAAAGTACCAGAAGGTTGGCTCGCCATCCGGGCTATAGGGCACGTGGTCGTGTCTGCGCATTGGACACGGCCCACTCACGCACCGGAAGGGCTAAGGCGCCACCTGCTTGATAAGATTTTGGCTCGTGGTGAGCCACGATCTAATCAATCTTATCGAGACGCGTCAATGTCCTTCAGTGTCGTCGATCCACAACAATCGCGTGGATGCGTCGAACTATTGTCTGCAGATGGAGTTAGCGCGTTTTTCTTAACAGCCACAGCGCATACCAGCCGACACAACACGCGCCGTCCGTCGTGCTGTACCACGGCACCAAGTTGCATGAGTCATTCTTCAATTTCCTTTATTCGACGCCACTATGGATTCTCCTGAGGTCGTCTATCCACCCAGGCCCCTCAAAATATCTGCTGCCAATGCAAATGCCCTTGAACTGTTGGCAGACCAGCTCGTCGCTGAGACTTTGCGCGCAAGTGACGACTTTATCTCGAGAGGCCGCGTAGTCGACAAGACTCAGTGGAAAAGTGTGAAAAGGAAAAATAACTTGACGGCGTATCGAGCGCGCGAGCTCACGTCAAGCAGCAGAACTCGCCGATCTCGGTTCAATAGCGAAGACACCGAAGCCGTGGCCGAGTCTCCCCGCCTGCCCGAGTTTTTCCCATCAAACGGCAAGAACTTCGAGAGCTGTCTGGGGGATTCGTACCTGGCTGTAAGCGCCACTTGCAATGAAGACAACGACTCAGACGACGAATTCCAAGGAGGATTCAGCATGGAAGACGTCTTGGAGCAGAAGGTGATGGAGAAGGCCAAGCCAGACTACGTCCCCATGGTATTTTGCACGGGTGTCGTCCCCGGTACAGTCGAGGACGCTGCGTTGGGTTTTCTTGCGGACACTGAAGCTCGCACGCGAACGCGTAGCACTATCAGCGGACACACTACCGTCGACGACGTCCAAATCCTCGCTCGTATCCAAGAGCCAACCTTCGACGACCCGTTTCGGTTCTTGGGGGTCAAGTGGTGGGCCCATTCTACCCCTGGAACTGCGGGCCGCTTCGTCAAGCCTCGCGACTCGGTCGTCATTGAGTCGAGCGGAATGGCCCTCGATGCCGATGGAGAACGCTTCTGCTACCTGCTGACCCACTCGTTCATGCTGGACGAGGTCCCGGAGTTCAAGAAGTTCGGCCGCTTGAGGATAACCTTCTCCACCTGCCGCATCGTGCGGACGCACGAGGCCACGGGGAACGTCGAGATCTTCTGTCGCGGGTTCATCGACTCTGCTGGGAGTCTCAGCGAGCGCTTGGCCACGTACTTGTTCTGCGAAAGTCTCATGAGGATGCCGCGGATAATGGAGGAGGCGAACAAGCGGAAGCTCGCGTGGCTGCTGCAGTCAAAGCACCACTGCTGCAGTAGTCTCGGTCCAGCGGGGCATGCGGTTGATGCTTGTCCGAGTTGCAGCGAAAAGCTGGGCCGAGGAGTCGAGAGGCTACTGGACTACTCGATCTGCATCCTCTGTCGCCACTCCATCTGCCGAAAGTGTACCATTAGGAAGACACTTTTGCTGGGGACCGGTGGGCCCAAAATGACCAAGACTACGAAAGAATTCTGCCTGAGATGTTACCTCGAGGCCAAGAACTTGTCGGCGTGGCAAGTGGGAATCGACTCGCTGCCCGTCACTAAGCAGCCGTAGATTCGGCTATCCGATACGGACAAGAAATTCAAAACGAAAGCCGGCAATAAACAAAGTTAGATAGACACAACAAACGCCTAGCTGTAGTGGTAGATAGTGTAATTGTAATCCAAAAGTGTTGAACATACCAGCCTGGAGCAATCAATCAAACGGCTATGAAGAGATTTCTTCCTCTTCTACTTTCGTATCGTTCGCTTTCTCACGACCATGCTCGTCTTCCAGAGTCCTGACTACAGCTCCAACGTCGTGCACGAAGTTGAAATACACGTAGCGGCAGTCAAACTCCATGTCGTGCCAGTAGTTGACCGAGATCGTCGGGCAAAGGTGCGCAGCGCGGTGATACCACAACGAAGGCAGGTACAGAACCTCGCCGGCATTCACCACCACCTCGATCGGACTCAACGCGGCCGCCAGCGGATACCGCTTCGTGTCGATGTTCAGTGGGTCGACAGGAATCCACGGCGTGTCGCCTTTGTCCGGTGACGACAGAATTTCCCAGGCCACGTGCTGTGGAAACTTGTCGTGGAAGCGCTCCGTAGCCACCAGATCCTTCACGAGATGGTCCTCGTCCTCAGGCTTCGGAGACGCCGAGTGGCGATACCTCGTCGACGGAAACTCGCGCTCATAGAGACAACCGACCGCAGAGGGCGGCAACAAAGTGAAGTGTTTCTGGCCCTTCACCACGCAGTACATGTTCTACCGCCCGCAACGCAGCACAACAGTCAGCCCAGCACTATAAACAACATTAACGAAGAGCAGATTCTTAACCTCGTAGTGGTCCTTGTGCATCGTGGACACCGCTCTCTCGTCGCCGATCCAGATATTCACAGCCTCCGGCTCGTTCCCGAACGCTTCCACAGCCAACTCCATAGCCGGCGGCACCTCGTCAAACAGTCCCGGGAACTGCTCTCTCAAACTGTCGTTCTACCAATAAACAACAAAGTGTAGCCATGAGCATTGTCACCTGCTAGTATTCTACCCACTATTCTACCTACCTGGTGCGACAGGTAGGGTACGCCGTCGAACCCGTCGCGGTCTTTGAGTATCTGGAGGAACTCGTGCAGCGGCATGTCCCTCTCCTCGGGCATGACGAAGAGCTCCTCGTGGTGGCCCGGCAGCTCCAGCACGGCGTCTCCGAAGCCGAAGGGGGTCACGTCCACAGTCACCGGGTGGCTGCCCGCCTTGGCCACCAGGTGGTCGTCGCTCTGCCAATTGGCCATGGCTCGCTGCCACTGCGGACTCGTCATGGAGTTGAGCAGCACGACCGGCACATTGCGACTCACGAACTCGCGGTGGAACTGCACGGCGCTGAGCGTCGACGCGTCCACGCGGCGGATCGAGTGCAAAGGGGCCCAGAAGTCCTGCGTGTCGCTCTGCAGCCGCCGCAGCGCCGCCTGCAGCTCCGACGTAGAGGAGGAGCTCGCCATGCGGACCACAGGTGCGTTCGTTTACTGCATGCATTCGGTGTGCCGCACACCATTTTCTGTGACGTGGAGCAGAAGCTCAGGCGAGACGGACGGACCGCCTTTTGCGTTAGCAAGGCGAGGCCTTCGTTGTGTCGGGAGGGGGGTCGAGTGTCGATCTGTCTGCTGCATGTACAGCTCGTGTATCACCCAGAGTACAGAGCTCCGGCTCATTCGGGTTTTGCGCCGTCGCTAAACGTTTTACATCGTCCTTCTGCCGGTTGCCTGCCCGGTAATGAGCAGGTAAGATTCATGCATCTAACTGGTGCAAACTGTCAAGGAACTGTTACATGCATACATGGAGAGTAAGCTTATCGTGGCCTGAAGAGCTTGGCTGGGCACGTGGATGAGAGCTTCACTACATAGCCATCTTGAGCTCCGAGCTGTTCCATCTCAGGAATCCTACAGTAGCAGAATATTTCATGAGTCGAAGCGCGGATAGACCCAGCGGAGTCAGCAGTCCTCGATGCAGCGCTCTTGCAACGCAAGTGGAAGGACGCTGCCAGAGATTTCCCCAGCTCTGGGACGCTGGGCTTTCGGTCCGAAAGTTTCAGAATGAGAAGCTGAACACGATACAACAACCTCGCGACGTGTACACCAATCGACCTGTCGGACAGGTCGATTGTCCTGTCCTCTTGTGTCAAATCAGTGTCAACTGGGGCCATATAAAATGCCCGAGCCCGTTGCGTCGTGACTTCGGCTGCTGCGCGCAGCATCGTAGTGGCGCTGACGCCAACACAGTGCAAGTCGAGTGCCACTTGTCAATCTTCCTGCAGTTTGGCGCACCGAAACGGGATGGATTCAGTTTTCCCTCCCAAGCCGTTCCCCTTGTCTGCGGTCGACGCGAACGCTCTCGAGATGCTGGCAGACCAGCTCGTGGCCGAGACTCTACGCACACATGACGACTTCATAGCTCAAGGACGAGCTGTCGACATCCAGCGATGGAAAATGGTCAAACAGAAGAACAACATGACAGCGTATCGGAGTCGGAAGCGCGCGTCATCGAGGTTCCGGCGGGAACGAGTCCCGAGTGACGAGACCGAAGCCGTCCCAGCGTCGCCTCAGCTGCCGTCCTTCTACCCAGCAATCGACAAGAAGTTGGAGCACGCACTGTCCGAGACGTACCCGAGTGTCACCTACGACTCGGAGGACGAACTCGAGGACGAACTCAGCTACGTCGACGTATTGGAGCAGAAGGTCTTGGAGAAGGCAAGACCAGAGCACGCACCGATGGTCTTCTGCACCGGGGTGGTGCCCGGCACAGTCGAAGACGCGGCGTTCGGCTTCCTCGCAGATACAGAAGCCCGAAGCCGGACGCGGAATTCCGGCAACAGAGACGTCGCGGCTGACGACGTGCGCATTCTCGCTCGCATCCACGGACCGACACAGGGCGACCCGTTCCGCTTCTTGGGGGTCAAGTGGTGTTCTCACTCCACGCCTGGACCTGCTGGGAAGTTGATCAAGCCTCGCGACTACCTCGTGATTGAATCCACCGGGATTGCGTTCGACTCGGACGGTGAACGCTTCTGCTACGTGTTGCACCACTCCATTATGCTTGACGAGGTTCCGGACTACCAGAAGTTCGGCAACGTGCGCGTTACGTTCTCCGCCTGCCACATTATGAGGCCGCATCAAACCGCGGGGGCTATTGAGATCTTCTGTCGCGGCTTCATGGACACAGGGGGCAATCTGGCCGAGCGGTTGACTACGTATATATTCTGCGACGCACTGATGATAGCCCCGCAGACTGTCGAGGAAGCTTACACGAGGAAACTCCTGTGGCTGTATCGCTCTCGACGTCGCGCAGATAGCAGTCCTCCTGGTCTCGAGTCGCTCCGAATCTCCGACACTTGTCCGTGCTGCCATGGAAAGCTCCACACTGGCCTTGCAAAGCTCCTGGAGGGTGCCACCAACTCCATGTGCCAGCTCTGCCGACACACTGTTTGCCGCAAGTGCGCAGTCAAGAAGGCGTTGCCCCTGGACATTGGAGGACCCAAGCAATTGACGATGCAGACGCTCGACTTCTGTCTGGGCTGCTACCTGCAAGCCAAGGGCTTGTCCGCGTGGCGAGTCGCAATCGCCACCATGTCGACGTCGGCCACAGAGTCCAAGAGCTGCGAACGGATCTGAGCTGACCGGTATGCTGTACGGTACACAGAATCTCTCTTGACGGCGACCTCTTTTTACGTTAGCAAGCCGGGCCTCTGAAGCGAAGATGTCGGTCTGTCTGTGTCTGTTCCAGTTGCAATCGCCAAACGTTATCGACCTTGTGTCGACGGGGCCACTTCGGTAACACACACTTCGGTGGGCTATCAAGGAGCTACAATGCAGCACGCTGTACTGCATATTGTACACTGATGGGACTGCCAGCACGAGAAGGATATTGTTGGTCGAATGAGTCAACATTTCGCTAGGCTCACGTTAGCTAAGATATTTGCTCTTGAGTCTCAAGTTGAGACTTTGAGCATTTACTGATACGTCCAAGATGATCCTTACATGTGATGCTACAGCGCACTGCCTCCGCCCCCAAGAACTGCAAGCAGAAATTTTGACGAAGACTTGACCACCAGCATCGAGGATTTCGCCAAAGTGTCGCGGAGACCAATGCCGGGCCCAAGCAGCATCAGCCGTCAATGCAACGTTCTTGCAAACCGGCGGCAATTGAGAGCGTCGGGACGGCGCCACAGAATGAGAAGCCCAACTTGAAACGATCAGACAACGCTGCGTCTCGTGATTTCAACAACTCGGCGACTTCTGTAGGATGTTAAATCATGTTGTGTCGACCAGGACCATACAGAAGGTCCCCACTCCGCTGCATCGTGACTTGCAGCAATTTGCAAGACGAGTTCACATTGTCAAGCTTCCACGCTGAAACACAATGGATCCTGTCTACCCACCGACGCCATTCTCCTTGTCTCCTGCCGACGCGAATGCTCTCGAGCTGCTGGCAGACCACCTCGTGGCCGAAACATTGTGGACACACGACGAGTTCGTGGCTCAAGGGCGGATCGTCGACCTCAGTCCATGGAGAATGGTCAAGCAGAAGAACAACCTGACTGCGTACCGGGCCCGCAAGCACACGCCATCAAGATTTCGGCGGGAACGAGTCCCGAGTGACGAGACCGAAGCCGTCCCAGCGTCGCCACAGCTTCCGTCGTTCTACTCGGATTAGGACACGAAGTTGGAGTCCGAGACGGACCCGAGCGTGACCCTCTTGAAAGACGACTCGGACGACGAATTTGAGGACGAATTCAGCCACGTCGATACCATGGAGGAGAACATATCGGAGAATGCAAGACCAGAGCACGCACCGATGGTCTTCTGCACCGGGGTGGTGCCCGGCACAGTCGAAGGCGCGGCGTTCGGCTTCCTCGCAGATACAGAAGCCCGAAGCCGGACGCGGAATTCCGGCAACAGAGACGTCGTGGCTGACGACGTGCGGATCCTCGCTCGCATCCACGGACCGACACAGGGCGACCCGTTCCGCTTCTTGGGGGTCAAGTGGTGCTTTCATTCCACGCCTGGAGCGGCTAGAAGGTTTCTCCACCCTCGCGACTACGTCGTCCTGGAGTCCACTGGCCTCGCGCTCGACTCGGACGGCGAGCGCTTCTGCTACACGTTGAACCATACAATCGAGCTCGACGAGGTCCCCGACTACCGGAAATTCAGCAACGTGCGCATCAAGTTCTCCGCGTGCCACATCATGAAGTCTCACGAATCTCCGGGGAAAATCGAGATCTGCAGCCGCGACTTCATCGACGCCGGGGGACTTCTCGCTGAGCGTTTGACTACGTATATATTCTGCGACGCACTGATGATAGCCCCGCAGACTGTCGAGGAAGCTTACACGAGGAAACTCCTGTGGCTGTATCGCTCTCGACGTCGCGCAGATAGCAGTCCTCCTGGTCTCGAGTCGCTCCGAATCTCCGACACTTGTTCGTGCTGCCATGGAAAGCTCCACACTGGCCTTGCAAAGCTCCTGGAGGGTGCCACCAACTCCATGTGCCAGCTCTGCCGACACACTGTTTGCCGCAAGTGCGCAGTCAAGAAGGCGTTGCCCCTGGACATTGGAGGACCCAAGCAATTGACGATGCAGACGCTCGACTTCTGTCTGGGCTGCTACCTGCAAGCCAAGGGCTTGTCCGCGTGGCGAGTCGCAATCGCCACCATGTCGACGTCGGCCACAGAGTCCAAGAGCTGCGATCGGATCTGAGCTGTGCTGACCAACGTGTCGCACTCGGTTTACGAGCGCCGCCCCCTATGAAAATGCACCGGAGTCGGCCTCAAGTTGCGGTGCAGCGTTGAGAGAGAGACCCATTTTTGCGAGACTCACTCAGCCTTTGGCCTCGTCCGCCTATCCAAGGTGGACGCCCAACCCTGCGTAGCACAGACACCCCGGCCCCTTGGCGATAGCGAAGCCAAGTCGGCTGATTCTCGAGATTGGCCTGGTGGCACATGTTCATGTGCGACTCGATGCACACGACAGCCGCTGCACTTGGAAACATTTGCCGGCCGCCTCGCTGGGTCGTCGTCATTTGTAGATTTCTCGCAGCAACCACCGAGGAGCTTCCAGGAGCTTCATGGAGAACCGAGGTGTAGTGTACCCTCCCATGCCGTTGAATTTGTCTGACGAGGACAAGCACTCGATCGAGAAACTCGCTGATCGACTCGTAGCGGAGACTCTACGCGCCAACGAGGAGTTCGCGGCCCGAGGACATGTGGCCGACCCCAGCTGCTGGAAGCCGATAAAGGAGAAGGACCACGTTGTGGCGTACCTGGACATCGCCACTGCCGGTAACAAGGCTCGGCCCTCCAAGCGCGAGAGACTTTGGAGCGAGGACACGGTCGTGGTCGCGTCCTCCCCGCAGAACCCCACGCTCTACCCGACCAGCGACCGCGATCTCCAAGATTTATTGCGTAGCGGGCCGCTCAACACTTTCGACGACAGCGACTCGGACGACGACAGGAGTCAAAGCTTACACCACGATGAGTTCACCAAGTTCGGCGCCAAAGGCGGCTCCGAGATGAGCGTCCTCGAGAAGTTTCGGCCGGCCGACGTGCCCATTGTGTTCTCCTCGGGGGTGCTACCGGGTACCGTGGAGGATATGGCCTTTTCGTTCCTAGCGGACACGGACGAACGCAGTCGCATGCGCTTCAATACCAACAAGGATTGCATCGTGGAGGACATGAGGATCCTCTCGAAAATCCGCGGGCCAACCAAAGATAACCCGTTCCAGTTCCTTGGGGTCAAGTGGTGCTCTCACACCCCAAGCCGCACGGTGTCACTTGTAGTCAAGCCTCGCGACTATTTGATTATCGAGTCCACTGGAATGGCTCTGGACTCGAACGGAGAGCGCTTCAGCTACTTCCTTAACCACTCGATCGAGATGGACGAGGTGCCTACGTTCCGAGAGTTCGGCCAGGTGCGCACGATCTTCTCCGCGTGCCACATCATCCGCCCTCACAAGAAGAAGCACAGCGACGGAGAGTTCATTGAGGTGTTTGCGAGGGGATTCATGCTCATTGGAGGGAGCTTTAGCGTCCGTCTTAGCGCCACTCAGCTTGCCGACGGCCTCCTGCTCATGCCTCGCTTCCTGGAAGAGTCCTTCTTGAAGAAACTGGCGTGGCTCATGCACGACAAGCTCCGCTGGTCTTCCAGTAGCAGCAACACGAGCGACTCGGCCACCAACAGCTTCAGCAGCAACAGCAGCTCAAGGTCGATGGTAGTGAAGGCCAGCGCCTGCTCGTGCTGCCACGCGAAGCTCTCTTCGCGCTTGGGAGGGTTCCTAGAGAGGAGTTCCAGTTGCAGTCTGTGCAGACAGACTGCATGCCACAAGTGCACGGTGAAGAAGCTGCTGCCCGTGGAAGGCTCGCGCGGCCGGCACATGAAGAAGAAGGAGTTGGAGTTCTGTCTTAACTGCTATCTGAGGGCAAAGCGTTTGCCTGCGTGGCATGTGGCGGTGGCCACGCTGGCGAAAGACTCCGCATAGAGAGCAGAGATCGATAGATAGAGCAGGGGTAACTAGAGAATAGATTCTGTACACGTATGAACACGTAATGAACAGTGATCATCAGTCGATTCAGGCGTCATAAAAACCTCTACATGTACATCGAGAAGTAGATGAATCCCTCTATAGATTCCAACCCATGACTCATGGGCCATGAGCGTGTGGTGCGACGCCACAACGTTGAAGAACACCTTCCTGCAATGAAAATCGTTGAATTCCGTCGTGCAAAGATGACCTCGAACTGGAAAGTCAAGACGCGATGTTGAGCACCACCAAACGATTAGTCACGGCACGCTTATCAACTCTGTCACGCGCGTCGCCGCTACTTTTGCATGACAGACAAAGAATGAATGAACTCTGAAAGTTAGGTGCACAAGGTGCTTTATGGTTGCTGCGATGAGCTTTAAACTACGGGCTAGAACTATCAGGCGGGGGGTATTTATCGAAACTACACTAGATGAACTGGGTTGACTACTTGGGCAGCGTGGCCAGCGCCACTCTCCACGCCGACAACTGCTTGGCCTTGAGGTAGCAGTTGAGGCAGAAGTCGAGGCTCTTCTTGCTCGACGAGTCCATGGACAAGTTCTTCTTGACCGTGCACTTCTTGCAGACCTTTCGTCTGCACAGAAAGCAGGTGGTGGTGCTCTCGAGCAGCTTCTTGAAGCCCTTGGTGGGCAGCTTATGACAGCACGCGCACCCCTCGTGCTTGTCCTCCTCCGCGTGGACATTCTGGCGCCGCGCGTACGCGTGCACGAACCACGCCAGCTTCTTCATGTACGACTCCTCCACCAGCTGCGCCGTGTCCAGCATAAACTCGCAGAAGAGCTGCGTCGACGCGCTCACGCCAAAGTGGCCGCCGGCGTTGCAGTAGCCTCGGAAATACACCTCCACCTCTCCCTGGCTGTTGTACGGCCGCACGATGCGGCAGCTTGAGGTGAGCAGACGCACCAGTCCGTGCTTACGGAACTCCGGGACTTCCTCGATCTCGACGGAGTGGTTCAAAAAGTAGCACACGCGTTCGCCGTTCGCGTCCAGCGTTGATCCCGTGGACTCGAGCGTGACGGTATCTCTGGGCTTGGCCACCGAGCCGCCCGTCTTGCTGGACGAGTAGGAGATCCACTTGATGCCTTGGAACCGGAACGGGTCTTGCTGGGTCGGGCCCCGAAACTGGGCCAGTATCCGCAGGTCCTTGACGTTCACCTCCTTGCACGTGGCCGCGCGCATGAGGCTGCGCTCCAGTGTGTCCGCCAGGAATCCCAGTCCTGCGTCGTCCACCGTTCCGGGGATCACGCCGCCGCCAAAGACCATGGGCGTGTTGCGCGGCCGCGACTTGCTCAGCACGCTCTGCTCGGGCGCCTCGGGGTCGATGCGGCTGCTCTCGTAGTAGTCCGAGCCTGCGTACGAGCTGCCGCCGTCGTGAGAAGAGCCGCACGACAAGTGCGTGTTGCCGCGGCCCATGAGGTCGCTTAGCGAGCTGTCGGCCGAGTAGAGCTTGGGGCGGTGCACGACGGACGTCTCGACCGCCTCCTCCGTCTCGAGTCTGTCGCGGCGCGCGCGCCGCTGGCCGCGCGACCGCGAACGGTACGCCGTCATGCTGCCCTTCTCCATGACCACCTTCCATCGCTCCAGGTCGACCGACCGACGGTCCGAGATGAACTCCTCGCTGGCCTGCAAGGTCTCGGCCACGAGCTGGTCCGCCAGCGTCTCGTACTGCTCCCTGTCGTCGCGCGTGAGCACGAGCTCCCGAGGCGGGAAGATGTGGCCCGCGTCCCACGAGTCTCCGAAGCGCATGCTGCTGCTGCTGCTGGTGCGGCTGTCCTCAAGTGCTATCAACCCACGGACTGCAGTGTCCGAGCGAGAGCGCTTCGCGAAGTGAGGCCGGGTGGTCAAGCAGATGGGAAAGGTCCGTCCTGGGCAGTGGCAGCGGAGGACAAAAGTTGAAGAGAGTGCAGCGGAGACCTTATCCAGCTTCTACAACCAGCAGTGGGAGGCCCGCGTGGTTCGGGATCCTTCAACAGGGATCGGAGCGTCCTCCTTCTGGCATCGCTACGTCGCGACACGGGAGCATGTGCACGGGTGTAGAGTCGGCTGCTGCTCACCCGGCGAAGAAACGAGGCGCCAGCCAATGGAGCAGCGCGCCCAAGCCGCGTGGAAGCTTCGGGTCACCGCATCAACCCGGGTGAATTGAGCGGCGTTACGAGCTCACGACAGGAGGAACATGCACGCCGGCCGAGATTGACCAGCCACCCGCCAGGCGGCCTGCTGGAGGCTTTGCCCGAGTCGGTGCTCTCCTTATCGGCTGCCGCGGACGTCACGGTCGGGCCCCAACCGCGACACTTGCATGATCATCTGTACTTTGAATAATTTTGTGCGGCGTTACCGACACCGCATGGCTGTCATGCTGATCTCGGTGCTGCTGTGGCCCACCGAGAGCGCAAAGAGAGCGTCAAAGAGAGATCTTATGGCTCCAGGCCTCGAGATCCTGGGGCCGCGTCTGCCTGCCTGCCAGGTTTGCGGGCAGTGCTGCAGTTCTGCCATCAGTGATGGCATCACGGCGAACAAGGTGGTATCCACATGTAGTGCTGTCGGACAAGGAGGAGGAGGGCGCGCAGAGGGCTCTCGTGATTGAGACAGCGGAGGCCGCCAGTAATTTGGTGCTGCCACGATGGGGGCGCCACAACCTTGGCAGCATGTACAGTAAGCCTCGAGGGTTTACCGTATTTGGCGGTTTGACTGCAGACCTGCACCGTACGGTGTATACGTATGCTATATGTAGTGCAGGTTTTGACCGATCGCTGGAAGTGCTCGCTGTGCCACCGATTCTTTCGCGCCTCTCCTCTGTGAGAGCAAGACTTGTCCTCTTCCTACATGTACTGTAGTAGGATGTTCCTACCTCGCCCGAAGTTGTCTTCACGAAAGATACAACGCGGACGTCGATAGCCTCGGTGAAAGCCGCTGCACAGATTCGCCATCCAGCAAACTGCAAGAAGCTGCGATCGTCAACACGGACAGACTCGGAGGTACATATCGCGCTCGTTGCTTGCGGACCTGCGCGGCCACATATCTGCTAGTTTTTCGCCGACTCTGCTGCGCGAGACAGTGCTCAAGCGATCGCCCATTTAACAACGCGCTTGATGTGTCCTGCACTGCTGTAGTCCCACCGCAGCGTGCAACTTGCACCACTTGGACTCCAAGTTGGAGGCTCCTCCAAGTTCGAGGACACCCTCGTCGTGACTCGGCATGATAAACAGCTCCGACCTCCGACGTCTCAGTGAAACGTGATCGATGGTGGCACCTCGAAGTACAATGCAACGCTGCGTTTCGGTGTGCTGTCTGAACGGATGAATGAGTGGATGGAGACGAACGAGGGTATGTATCTACACAGCACCTTCATTAGCTCTAAAATACGGTGGCTCTATCTGTAGTCAACGCGTGCTGCCTCACCTTCCTGGACGATACTAGTTACCGGCGCTTGAGCTGCGCGGTCGCGACGTCCCATGCGGACATTTGCCGGGCCTCGATGACACACGACACGCAGAAGGTGAGAGTTCGCTGCACGTCTTCGGCTGCGTCCAGCAGCAGCTTCTTCTTGACGCTGCACTTCTGGCAAATGGTTTGTCTGCAGATAGCGCACGTGCCCCCAGCCTGAATGAGGTTGAACCTCTTGGTGCCCTTGCCGCAGACACCGCAGTCCTTCGTGTGTAGCGCAGACGCGTCGCTGGTCCGCCGGCGCGCCATGAGCCACGCCAGCTTCTTGAGGTACGAGGCCTCGACGATGCCCACGACGTCCACGACACCTTGGGTGAAAACATTCAATCCGACAAGCGGCGGCAAGCTGCCGCCCATATCTGCGTATCCTCGCGCACACACTTCAATCTGCGTCTCCGAAATCTGCCGCATGATGTAGCAAATGGACAGGTTCAGGCGGACGACGTTGTAGCTATCGGGAAGCACGGGGCAGTCGTCCAGCTCGACCGAGTGGGCCAAACTGTAGTAAACGCGCTCGCCGTCCGAGTCCAACGCGATGCCGGAGGACTCGATGAAGACGACATCCCGTCGAGAGACAAAGACAGCGATGTCGCGGGTGGCCCATTTAATGCCGATGAACCGGAACGGATCCTCCTCGCTCGGGGCCTGGAAGGAGGCGAGAACCTTGCGAGCGTCGAAGCCATCGTTCTTCACGTAGGCGTTGCGCTCGAGCCAGGCCTCGTTCGTATGGGCCAGCGCTCCAAACGCGACGTCCGCAACGGATCCGTCAATGATTCCGGTCGCTGCGACCAGCGGCACGTGTGAGGGCTTGACCTTCTCCAGCACGCTCTCCTCGGGGAAGACCGAGAAGGACCCTGCGTTGCTCGACGAGCTCTGTGTGTGTTGCGACCGCGAGACGCTGCTGGCGGACTTCTCCCCTGGCGTTCGCTGCGGTTCCTCGTCTTCGTCGTCGGAGGTGAAGGCGTGCGGTCGACCTGCCGCCATCGCCTGACGCTGCTGCTCCTCCACCGTGTTGTTCGACAGCAACCGCGGTCGACTCGGGTGTTTCTCGTTCTCGAGATGCTTCAGGTACTTGGAACCTGAACGCCGGGTGCGGTACGCGTGCACCTTTTCATGGGACTTGATGGGCTTCCAGAGCCGAGGGTCCACTTGCCGGTTGTTGGCGACGAACCGCTCGTACGAGCGCAGAGTCTCGGCCACAACCTTGTCGGCGGTGTCGGTCAGCGCCTGCTTCTGCTCCTTGGTGAGGGTCAACCGGTCCGGGATGATTCCGTCCGCGCGCGTGTAGGCCATCCTGATACTGTAGAGCAGTTCCTGGATCAACGGTCTCCGATACAAGTCTAGGTGCTCGAAAGCAAGTTTCGAAGTGGCTGCGAAGATTGAGGATGGAGGCGTCGCGCGGTAGTTAGTCCTGTCAACCTTACCTTACACACCTCCAACCTCCATAATCTCACCTTCCTAACCTCCCTAACTTCCCCTTTACAAAACTCAGTATAATGGAAAAAGCCGGGACCAAACTCCCAGCCAACTCGGGCTCGGAGCTGGTAGTGGGCGTACAGTACCTTGGGCGTGGCTGCAGCTTCCAGCCTGCACGAACGCAGCATATTGCAGGACAGATTTCCAAGCCTCACCGTTTGATCTACCAATAATGTGAACTTCTACAGTGTAGTAGTAAAACAATACACCTTTTATTGTGCCTTTCCATCCATTTACTTCAGAAGTACAAACATGTATCGATGACTACAGCGATCTGTCCAAGTTGCGGAGGATGCGAGTGCCGCTATTAACGTCGATCGTAGCTCTTTAAGACGGTGGTGGGTCACACCTGAACCTGTGCCTCTGTACCTCTGTACCCGCGTTCATATAAAACGAGAACGTCTAGCCTTCGGCTTAACGAAGCCTTGTCAGCGTGGCAGGAGGCTAGATGTTCTCGTAGGCAACAGTGGACAGACGCCAGTTTGCTGAAGAAACACTATCGACATGTGCGAGGCGCTATTATTCAGCGCGTCAGTGGGGAACGATGCTCGTTGATTATCCAGGTCGACCACTTCAGGCTCCAATCGAGCCAGCTTGAGGTACCTTTGTGTCGTTAAGGAGGTTAAAGCGAAAGTTTAGAAAGTCCAGTGAGTTTGGAGGTGGGTTAAGGTTAAGGAGGTCAAGGTAAGGTTATGACAGCTGAGGTTGACAGGACTAGCGGTAGTGCGACGCAGGAGACGAGGAAGGAGGAGCGATGCCGGTGCTCGCGAGATGGGGACCCAAGGCACAAAGCGAACATGGGCGCCAACCAATCTTGACCAGACTCCATCCAGCACCAGCTCTGCAAGTTGCAGGAGCAGAGATCGAGCGCTCGTCTTGTATGTTTCTCTGCTGTTTCCTGCTCCTCAGCGTCGCCACGTCGCTTTAGGCTCACAAACACACAGAAAACTTCATGCCCTGAAAGCCGTCACGCGCTTCTTCTGCCATAATGATCACTTGGCTGTACAGTACCCGTACATGCGCGCAATGCGCGCGCCGCGCATGCGTCCGTTTAACCACATCTTTGGATACGGCAATCGTTGGTCTTCAAACTTGGGCCAAGGCTCTAGGCGGATCGGTTTGCTGTCAACCATGTCTTGTCCTGGGGGAGGCAGAGCCATAGCTTTCGAGCCATTTTACACGCCGCCGTGAGTCAGTCAAAGCTGTCGTGTCACGACGTGACACGAGCGCCATAGGGCCGCGTGAGCTTTGTGCTGCCTCGAGGGCAAATTTGGCAGGCGCATGGCGACTCAAATCCCAGCGCGGATCAACACGGGAACCATCCACTCCGGCGTCGCGTCTCCAGCCGAAACCGAAAGCTCCGGGCTTCCGCATTTCGCAGCAACTCCACGACCTCGCAAGCAAGAGAAGGCTGAGGCCGAGAGGCTTTCTCCATAAAGGCCTCATCGCCATGAAGTTCACCAATTCGTTTAATCCTTATATTCGCCGGAGTCTTGTGTTTCCTGTGTACTTCGACACTAAAATATGACAAATTGTCACGTAGCGCATTGCTTGGACGTGCTCGTACCTTTTCAACGTTTCAATTCGGCTCTTTCAATCATGAGGCCGTGAGCACTGCTCACTGAGCAGTGAGGTGGCGACGTCCCATGCCGACAACCGCCGAGCTTCAATGACGCACGAGAGGCAGAAGGAGAACTGCTTCTGGACGACGTTCTCGGGCGACACGATGGACAATTTCTTTTGCAAGCTGCACTTGCTGCAAACCGGGAGTCGGCAGATTGGACACCCGCTGCTGGACTGCACGAGGTTCGAGAGCTTATTGACGCTCTTGCCGCACACGCCGCAGTGACTTGACCGCGCGCCAGCAGAATCGCTCTGGCGACGTCGGCTCATGAACCAAGACAGCTTCTTGAGGTACGAGCACTCGACCATACCCGAGACGCCGGCGACCGCAGCGGAGAAGAAGCTGACGCTAAATCCCTCGGGCATCTCGCCGCCCATGTCCGAGTATCCTCTGCAGTAGATGTCGATCTTGTCCTCCGTCAACTGGCGCATAATGTAGCAGCTCGAAAGGTTCATGCGGATAACATTGAGGCGTTCAGGTAGACGGGGAACCTCGGCCAGCTCGATCGAGTGGGCCAAGCTGTAGTACACGCGCTCGCCGTCCGAGTCGAGCGCGAAGCCCGACGATTCCAAGAACAGCAGGTCCCGGCGCGTCATGAACGTTCCGTAGTCGCGCGTGGCCCACTTGACGCCGATGAACCTGAATGGGTCCTCCTCGCTGGGGCCCTGCAGCGCGGCCAGGATTTTGCGGCCATCAAACCCGTCGTTCTTCGTGTACGAGTTGCGCACCTCCCAGGCGTACATGGTGTCGGCCAGCGCGCCGAACGCCGCGTCTTCCACGGATCCGTCCATGATGCCGCTCGCCTCTATCAGCGGCACATAGGACGGCTTTGACTTGGCCAGGACGCTGTCTTCAATAGCGAAAGATCCGCCCTCACTTGTGGAGCTGTGTGTGTTGGTTTGGCTGGCCTCGTTGCCATGCACTTCACCGTCGTCGTCGCTCACGAATCCAAGGGGGCGGCCGGCCGCGATGGCGTCGCGCTGGTGCTGCTCGACCGCGTTGTTGGACAGCAGTCGCGGCCGACTCGGGTCCTTCTCGTTGACGTCACTGCTGCTGCCGCGCATCTTGCTGCCCGAGCGGCGCGTGCGATACACGTGCACGTTCTCGCGCGACTTGACCTTCTTCCACACGCGGCCGTCGACCCGCCGGTCGTTGGCGATGAAGTCCTCGTTGGCCTGCAGGGTCTCCGCAACGATGCGGTCGGCCAGGTCTGTGAGCGCCTGCTGTTGCTCGGGGGAGAGCTTGAGCTGCTTGGGCAGCGCGGCGTCAGCCTGCGTGAAGCTCTTCATGGTCGGTGCCGAAGTCTCCGATAACCAAGCCTTCAGTCAAGCTGAGTCAGCACTGAGCTCGACTCGGCAAGTGGTGAAATGGCCGGTGGGCAGCATCGGCGGCGAAGGGTGGCGAAGGCGGCGCATAGACGGCAGCGCCGATGGATTGATGCGGTTCCGCGAAGGCGTCGCTGGGGCTGTCTGCTGCGCGCGGCTCGGCTCTGGAAGCCGCTCAGCAGACAGTCTTGCTGGCGAGGAAAGAGAGCCCGCGGGCTGGCTGGCTGCCACGAACAAAGCATGCGCGCCGCGGGTGCCTTCAATTCGCAGTCACGGAGCTGCTCGGACGAGGTGGTAAGGCAGGGTTCACCTCTGTCCGCAGTCGGCTCGAAAGACATGTTGCCTCCCACTGTGGGCCACAGCGTGGCCGAAAGCGTTGGCCATGAAGGCGGGACTCGCTGCGATCGCGTGCCAACGCGCATGCAAGCGAGACCATGGAGCGACCACAATCGATCGATTCCCGATTGTTTTTGCCCGCAGGAATACGCCGCGAACGGTGTCCTCAAGCCGTTTACGCCACACCTTCTACGAGCCCTGGGGAGAGCCGGGCTCCTGGGCTCTTGGGTGAACCCAAAAAGACTCTGGAGTTCAATAGGTTAAGTGAAAGGAGCCCTCCAGAACTGTGAGCCCTCGTTAAGGGCTCCCTCACCTGTGTTAAATATCTCGCTGATGATTGGCCGTCATTGAAGTATCTCCAGGTTCTAACCTGAAAAGGCATAGGAAAGAGGGCTTCTCCTTGAGGGGAAGGAAGGACTATCGGCGACGCTGGGGTGGCCTCGGAGCGGCTGTACACATATGAGCGGCGCGAGATCTTCTCGTGTGGCGATCTTTGAGCTCGATCTTCTAGCGTGGCGCATCGATCACGCGAATTTGCTCGCCTTAAGTCTAGGTAAAATTGGCCAATCAAATATTACTAGGAAGAGCCCGTCATAGGTTTGAAGCTAAATTTGGGGAGCCCTGGAGGGGAGGGGCTCCTTGATCTCGTACTTACCATGAGGGAGCCCATTTTGTGCGACTTTTGGCTCTCGTTTTAGGGGGAGCCCACTTTTGAAGTAGACGGGCTCGAGCTCGAAGAAGGTGTGGTGTGGTTTACGCTACGCCTGGTCCGGCTACGTTGGACTCGTCTGTAGACTGACCCGCTCGGTGTATTCATCCACAGGACCTAAAGCGAGCTATCCGAGACCTAGCTACGTGTATTTTGTCTGGTTTAAATAGTCTATCCTACCCGGGCCAACTAGGAGCTCTAAAGGCAGGCCGAAGCGACTTCCCAAGCCGATAGCTCCTTGGCCTCGATCACGCAGGGCAAGCAGAAGGTGAAGCTCTTCTGCGTGACGTCCTCCTGGCAAACGTCCACCGAGATCTTCTTCTGCACGCTGCACTTGCTGCACGTCACGCGGCGACAAACCGGGCAGCCTGAATTCGACTGGAGAAGGTTTCCGAGCTTGCTCAGTGGCCTGCTGCACACGCCACACTCGCTGGAGGACTCAATGCCCGATGCATCGCTGCGTCGTCGCAGCGCCATGAGATAGCTCAGCTTCTTTAGGTTGGAGCAATCGACGATCCCCGCACTCGACAGCACGTTGTTGGCCAGCAGCATGACTGCGTAGCCCTCCATCATGTCGCCGCGGGCGTCAGCAAAGCCGCGAGCGAACATCTCCACCATGTCTGGGTTGACCTGACGGGCAACGTACGCCATTGACAAATGAATGCGGACGAGTCCATGGCTCGGCTCGAGCTGCGGGAAGTCGTCCAGCTCGATCGAGTGGATGATGTAGTAAAAAATGCGCTCGCCGTCCGAGTCGAAGGCCATTCCCATGGACTCGACGTACAGCAGGTCACGGTTCGTTGTGAGGGCGCCGTAGTTGGCCGCTCCCCACTTGACGGTCATGGCCCGGAACGGATCCTCCTCACTTGGGGTCTGCAGCTCTGCCAGCTCCTTCCGCTGGTAGAATGCGTCGTTGTGGACGTAAGAGTTGCGGATGAGCCACGAGCTCTTGGTGTTGGCCAGCGCACCGAAGGCGACGTCCTCGACTTTTCTGTGAGCGGTGAGTGGGACGGCTTGACCTTGGCCAGCACACTGTCCTCGGGCAGCGTGAAGGACCCCGCGTCGCTTGACGAACTGTTCGTGTTGGTGGTGCTGACGTCCTCGTCGTGAATCGGGTCGTCATAGGCGTACGGTCTGCCCGATGCGGCCGCCTGCCGCTGGTGGTGCTCCATCGCGCCGGCCGACATCAACCTCGGTCGGCTCGGATCCTTCTCGTCGATCGACTGGCTGTGCAGCTTCTGCACCTTGCCGCGCCGCGAGCGGTAGACAGGACCTTCTCCTTGGACTTGACGTGCTTCCACTGGTCGCTGGGGAGCTGCCGGCCGTTACGTGTGCAGCGTCTCGGCGATGAAGCCGTCGGTCACGTCGATGATCTCCTGCTTCTTGTCCTCGGACAGACGCATGCGCTCGGGCACGGCGCCCGGCTTGAGGCTGCACTTGCTCGTTGTCGGCGGGATGGCTTCAGCTTTGGGGCCGGGGCCGGAGTTCTCGAATGACGAGCCACTTCGCGTTTGCCTCGGTGTGGCACTCGGGGCTCGCGGCCCGTGACCGCCCAGCTGCAAGTCCTTGAGATTGCCTTTGGAGATGGGAAGCTCGGCAAGATGGACGCACACAGCGCCTGCATTCCGTTCAGAGACGCAGTCTCCGGCGCGGCGGCGCGGCGCTGTTGTGGCTTCGTCTGCGGATGTCGCGCCGCAAAACTTTTTCGCAAACTTTCGTCGCGGCGTCGCGCGCGTTAGACACGCGCGGGGCTTCCTCGCCGCCAAAGTGTCCGGGGTTCTCCTTTCGCGGCGGGGCAAGCGCGTAATGGAGATGGCCGATGCCTAAGTTTTGTTTGTCGGGGAGCAAGGGGCGCGAAGGCCTTGATCGGCAGGAAAATGGCTTGCAACTTGCAAGTTGCAAGTGGCCGCAGTCTCTTCTGTTTTTCGCCGTGATGCCCGTTGCAGTCTACCGCGCATATGGCGCGCATAGAGGGGAGCTGCAGCTCCTCGACGAGAGCACGATCATGCTCGTTGCGTTGGCTCACAGCCATCCCGTTGAATTGCAGCTTGCCAATGGCCTCGGGCCTTGGAAACCTCGATCCCTAGGGCTAAAGATGGTCGCTCGACCAGATCGAGTTCGTCATGTGACGGATTGAGAAGAACAAGTTCGAGAACTGGGCGCCTCGGATCGAAAGTATCCTCCGTCCGAAGTACATGTCGTATTGAAATACAAAATATTGCAGATGTAATACCAGTCCTTATGGAAACTTGCTCACTTTTATTCAGACAGACTGCCTAGTTGAGGCTGGCAATCTCGTCCAATTGACCGTGCCGGAACGCAACAATTGCAGCCTGCAATTCGCTGCATGGATCAAGTCCGGTGCACGCACAGACCGCGGCCTCGCGAGAACGCAGCAAGCACAAGGTGGCGCTTAGTCTGCAGCTTTCCCTACACTGTAGTCGACGCTGGCAAGCTGGCAATCTCGTCAAATTGACCGGCTTGGGACACGACAATACTATGGCCAGGCAGCTCGTTATCCGGTGGAACGACCACCAACGTCCTCGCGCGCGACCGCGGTGCCGCAGCGCTCGCACCACGACGTCGACTCGAAGTGTGTCCCAAGCAACGCCTGGCTCAAAATGATACTCGAAAAGAGGAGCTTTGCCCGTAAACGAGCGCAAGGCAGGGGGGTCGTCTTGGTTAAAAGCAAGGAAGGTGCTGTAGCATCATGCACTCGACGATGCTGAACTGCAGATCGAGGCGAGTCTCAATCGCGCGATGACATTTCAGTCAGCTTTGAAGTGCCGCGTAGCGAAAACTGTAGCGTTGGATCGGCCAGATGTTGAAGTTTTATCAACCGCTTCGAGCACATGGGGGTGCTAACGCAACTCAGCGACGTGGAAGTTATACCTGGAGGTGGCCAGCATCTATCTATTTGTCCAGTTTAAATACACTGCTATATCGTCTATTGAATTCGGTCACGAACTCCGCAAGGTGGAGGTGGCCACTTGCCAGGCCGAGAGCTCCTTGGCCTCCAGCACGCAGGACAGGCAGAAGGTAAAGTTCTTCTGCGTAATGTCCTTGGACGCGTCGATCGTGAGCTTCTTCTGCACGCTGCACTTGCCGCAGGTCACGCGGCGGCAGATCGGGCAGCCGGAGTGCGTCTGGAGCAGGCTGCCGAGGTTCTTGAGCGACTTGTGGCACAGGCCGCACTTGCCCGACGAAGAAGCAATGCCCGATGAGTCGCTGTGGCGGCGGCGGGACATGAGCCAGCTGAGCTTCTTGAGGTTGGAGCACTCGACGACGCCGGCGCAGGACGAGACGTTCTGGGCCAGCAGTCCGATGCCGTGGCTCTCCATCATCTCGCCGTGGGGATCAACAAACCCGCGGCAGAAGAGCTCCACGCTGTCGTCGTTGAGCTGCCGGACAATGTAGCAAATGGACACTTGCACTCGGATGATGTTGTGGCTGTTCTCGAGCGTCGGGCACTCGTCCATGTCGATGGAGTGGATGAGGTTGTAGAACACGCGCTCGCCGTCCGAGTCGAAGGCCATGCCCATGGACTCCAAGTACAAGAAGTCCCGGCGCGTCACGAACGGGCCGAAGTTGGCCGTGGCCCACTTAATCACGACGGACCGGAACGGGTCCTCCTCGCTCGGCGTCTGCAGCGTGGCCAACAGCTTGCGGTCATCGAACGTGTCGTTGTGCACGTACGAGTTGCGCACCAGCCACCGGTGCATGGTGTTGGCTACGGCGCCGAACGCGGCGTCCTCGACCGTGCCCTCGATGGAGCCGGTGGCCACGACGAGCGGCACGTGCGCGGGTTTGACGGTGGCCAGCACGCTGTCCTCGAAGAGCGTGAAGGAGCCGGCGTCGCTGCTGGAACTGAGCGTGTTGGCGCTGGTCTCGTCCTCCTGGGCCGGGTCGTCGTCGTAGGCGAAGGGCCGGCCGGACGCCGCGGCCTGCTCCATAGCCGAGGCCGAGAGCAGCCGCGGCCGGCTCGGGTCCTTCTCGTCGTGCGACTGCGTGTGGTGCTTGGCCGACTTGCCCCTGCGCGAGCGGAAGACGCGCACCTTCTCCTTGCTCTTGACGTGCTTCCACTGTTCGTGCGGCAGCTGCCGGCCGCTCGTGATGAACGACTCGTACGTCTGCAGCGTCTCGGCCACGACGGCGTCGGCCATGTCGGTCAGCGCGTGCTGCCGCGTCTCGGCCAGGTGCAGGCGCTCGGGCATGGCGCCCGGGCCGAGCGCGAACTTGGTCATGCCTGCGTTGCGGCCCGCGCGACAAGTCTGGGAATGAGGAGCCCATGCGGCTGCGCGGGCCAGCCGATGAGGTGACTGAAGCTGCTCGCCGCGGCTTTGGATGGCTGCATCCAACGCTCAGCGCGTCTTTGACGTCGCTTCGGCTCGTCTCGCTCGAATTTTCGCGGTCCTTCGGTCGCCGCGTTGTTGACAAGCAAGCCGGTGGGTGCGCTCGAGGGTCTTCCCTCCTCCCGACTTACATGTGCAACGCGTGACGGTCTCCGATGGCTGCCCCGAGCAATGCCTTGGCGGCCGTGTCTACACTGTACTGCGGCCTCTTCTGCATCGAGCGCCGACGTTGGCGCCTTGCTGACGCCGTCAGACTGACGGTCGGCGCGTTAATGCAGCAGAAAGTGGCCGTCATCGCGCGTGACCGCCGGTCCGCCACCACTAATGCGAATTGGAGTGAGCGCCGAGTTGCAGCGTGCCTTCTGCCCGGCGGATTGAGTTCAACCCGGCGCTCAACTCGACGTGCGATTAATCCACGATCCTAAGTCCACATGTGCGGGTGGATGCTGAATATTGCCGAGCTGCAAACGCCCGACGCGAACTTGGGATGTTGATCGCGAGCAGCAGCAACGACTTCGCGATCATCATTGCCGTCGTGGGCATTGGTTTGCAGGCCCCTGGGTCCGACGCCGCAATTTCTCATGGGGGACCGAGGTTCTGTCCCGGATGTCTGCGAGCAGGTCGGCGCCTCCGACCGTGGATATCCAGTGGTCGACCGTGGACCTCCGGTTGCGGCGCCTTACGCCGGTGCTTGGGGGCTGCACCGGTGGAAGTTTCTATGCTGCGTTGATGCTGTCGTCGACAGCTCGGAGCTTCAAGCGGCAAAGCGCCGAGCCGATCTCGCCGCGCCACGTCTGTAAGCTCGTCGGCGTCGACATCTTTGGAATCGTGCACGCCTTGAAGTTGTTGCTCGAATGAGTCAAAGAGTGGTTCGGCTCGTGACTTCGTGGCGAAAAATGCACAGCGCAACTTACATTGAAGCCAAGACTTTCTTCACGAATTGATCGTTCGCAGCGCTGCCTATCGTAACTTAGACTCTAAGCCCTAGAGTGCACCGACTTCGAGTCTTCTACAGAATGCAGTGCGCGTTGGGCTTCTTCTAGCTGTTCGGCCTTCACCCAATTGCCCGCTTGTGCTGCGAAAACAAACATCCACCTTTCAGCACAATTTTCGGGGTGTCGATCTGTAAAAAAAGTGTTCATAAAAATATTTTATTGATCGTCCAGGTCTTCATCACGGGCTTCGTCGGCAGGATGTTGCGACTTCCCATGCTGCCAACTCCTTGGCTTCGAGTACGCACGGCAGACAGAAGGTGAAGTTCTTCGGCTTCGCCTCCTTGTCGGACGCGTCCACCGTGAGCTTCTTCTGAACATTGCACTTGTTGCACGTGACGCAGCGGCAGATCGCGCACCCCGACGGAGACTGCAGCAGCCCGAGCTTCTTGAGCGACTTCTTGCACACTCCGCAGTCTGGCGAAGGTAAGACACCCGCTGCATCGCTACGGCGGCGAAGCGACATCAACCAGCTGAGCTTCTTGAGGTTCGAGCACTCGACAAAGCCCGAGCAGTTGGCCACGTTGTGGGCCAGCATCAAGATGCCGTAGCTCTCGAGCATGTCTCCTCGCGGATCTACGAAGCCCCGACAGAACATCTCGACGCTGCTGTCGTCTAGCTGCCGGCCGATGTAGCACGTCGACATCTGCACGCGAATGATGTTGTGGCGGTTGTCCAGCGGAGGGCAGCCGTCCAGCTCGATGGAGTGGATGAGGTTGTAGAATATCCTCTCTCCGTCCGAGTCGTAGGCCATCCCCATGGACTCGAGGTACAGAAAGTCTCGGCGTGTCGTGAAGGCGCCGTAGTTCCCCGTGGCCCACTTGATCGTGACCGATCGGAACGGGTCCTCGTCACTCGGTGTCTGCAGCGTCGCCAGCACCTTCCGGTCGTCAAAGACGTCGTTGTGCACGTATGAATTGCGCACAATCCACGAGTGTTTAGTGTTGGCGAACGCACCAAACGCCACGTCCTCCACAGTGCCGTCGATCACACCTGCCGCTACGACGAGAGGCACGTGGGACGGCTTCATCTGCGCCAACACACAGTCGTCGCCCAGCGAGAACGAGCCCGCGCCGCTGGACGAGCTGTTGGTGTTGGTGCTGTCCTTCTCCTGCCGAACAGGCTCTTCATCGTCGTCGTCGTAGGCGTAGGGTCTCCCTGACGCCTCACGCTCCATAGCCGACAGGGACAAGAACCTCGGACGACTCGGGTCCTTCTCGTCTTGCGACTGCCCGCGGGGTTTGGGCCCCTTGTCGTGTCTTGAACGGTAGACGTGGACCTTCTCCTTGGACTTGACGTGCTTCCACTCGTTGTTCGGCAAGTCTCGGCCGTTGGCGATGAAAGTCTCGTACGTCCCCAGCGTTTCGGCGATGATCCCGTCGGCCATGTCATTTAGAATCTGCTGCTGTCTAGCGGACAGGTAGACGCGTTCGGGCACGACGCCCTGAGCCTGGAAGCTTCTGGGCATTGCGATGCGATAGAGTGAGTGGAGACCGACGTCGCGGTTTCGAGGCAAGTCTCGGAATGACGGGGCCCGAGGGGACCTCTGCGTGAACAGCTGAGGGATGAGTTGATGAAGCTTGACCGTGACCTGGAGTCGGAAGAAGCTGCAACGTAGCGTACAGAGACCGTCGGGTGTTCCCAGATGCCGATCAGTGGAGACCTTCACGCTGAAGTTGAGAGATTCGCAAGGCCGCCGCTCCCACTTGTTGGTTTGGCTACGTACATTATCCATCCTTGCACCTCCAGCTGCAGTCGATGTCCGATCACTAGGACATCGGGCCCGGAGTCAACATGAAAAGCTTGCCAACTGAATGTAGAACACCATGTCGCTGTACTGTATCATTTGACCTGGAATCTACGCCAAAAATCCGTAGGGAGCCCTTCGCCACGCTGACTGTTGCCGAAGCAGCATCTGGCGAGCATAGAGTGGCAAGCTGATATGCAGTGGTGGGCCTGCGGAGCTCTTCCTCTACGAGCGAGCGATATGCGAGTTGCAGTGCCGCCGAGTTTTTTTGTGACCGGCGTCGATTTTAGCACCAGGAAGCGCTTTGCTGGCCCACTGCAGTCAGCTCGATGCTGGCGAGTCAGGGAACTTGCACTCGTCCGTCTACTACTGTGGATCATATCCGATACGGTCACCAAAAGCAAGCAGAGGTGCTCAATCCAGCCTGGATTCCAGACCCTGTATGGATACGAGCACCCCGCCTTGAAGTATTACCCATGGAAGCAGGCTCTTGGATAGCCGCAACGCTGGCGCTTGCTGCGCTTCAAGGACACCGCAGGCTGGAGGTCGCCACTTCCCAAGCTGAAAGTTTACGCGCCTCAATGACACAAGACAGACAGAAGGTGAAGCTCTTCTGCACCACCTCCTTCGAGGACGCGTCCACCGTGAGCTTCTTCTGGACGCTGCACTTGTTGCACGTAACGCGGCGACAGATCGAGCAACTCGACGGAGACTGGAGGAAGCCGAGATTCTTCAGCGACCTCTTGCACACGCCGCAGTCTACCGACGGCAACGCGCGCGCTGCATCGCTTTGGCGGCTAAGTGACGCCAGCCAGCTTAGCTTCTTGAGATTCGAACACTCCACGAAACCAGAACAGTTTGCGACGTTGTGAGCCAGCTTCAAGACGCCGTAACTCTCCGGCACATCGCCGCGAGGGTCGACGAATCCTCGACAAAACAATTCCACGCTGGCAGCGTTGAACTGCCGTCCGATGTAGCACGTCGACATCTGCGCTCGAATGACATTGCATCGCTTCTCCAGCGGAGGGCAGTCGTCCAGCTCGATGGAGTGGATGAGGTTGTAGAAAATCTTGTCGCCGTCCGAGTCGTAGGCCATCCCCATGGACTCAAGGTAGAGAAAGTCTCGACGCGTCGTGAACTCCCCGTTGCCCACTTGATCGTCACGGACCGGAAAGGGTCCTCTTCACTTGGTAATTGCAGCGCGGCTAGCACTTCGCGGTGGTCAAAGGCGTCGTTGTGAACGTACGAGTTCCGCACGATCCACGAATACTTGGTGTTGGCAAACCCGCCGAAGGCTACATCGTCCACAGTGCCGTCGATCACGCCCACAGCCACGACAAGAGGAACTTTGGGAGGCTTCACCTTGGACAACTCGTAGTCGCCGTCTACGTGTAGCGAGGACGAACCAGACGAGCTGTCCTTCAATTTCAGTGCTGAGTCTTCAACGTTGTAGATGTAGGGCCTACCGGAGGCCTCGCGTTGGTGCCGCTCCATGGACGAAAGCGAGAGAAGTCTGGGCCGATTGCGGATTGTTTCGTCTTGTGTATATTAGAGTTGAGCTTTCGAGGGCTTGTCGTGTCTTGACCGATAGACGTGAACTTTCTCCTTGGACTTGACGTGCTTCCACTGGCAGCTTGGCAATTCTCGGCCGTTGGTGATGAATGTTTCGTATGTCTCTAGTGTTTCGGCAACGATCCCGTCAGCCATGTCGGTCAGGATCTGTTGCTGTTTGTCGGACAAGTAGACGCGTTCGGGCATGACGCCTGGGGTCTGGAAGCTTTTGGGCATCTCGGCGTTGATGTCACCTCCCCGAGGAAAGATTGAGAGTGACGGGCATCACGAATGAGCTCTCGTAGCGAGCACTGGTGGATGAGGTGATGACTGGCGTGTCGGAACTCGCCGAGCAAGTTGCGGCGTTTGAGCAGAGACCGAGGCAAGACAGCGCGTCTTTGTGATTCAGCGGTCCCGTTAGGGCATCTCGGTACGAAATCTATCGACATCCCAGGCTTCATTAATTGCTCTACGGCTCCCAGAAAACGAGTTCTGTTAGTCAGATGCAGCTCCAGTTTGTGCCGCTCAATTGCGATGAGTGTCACTGGCAACGGCGACTGCCCTCGTCGAACACTTGACTTGGCCACGCGAATCCAAGCTTCATCACTGTTGGCTTGGAAAGGTGTAATCAGATTGTTTGCAGTCGCCCGCCCGCCCGCCCGCCAGCGTGTAGCAATACCAGAGAGATTTCCCGTGTCTCTTCGCCGCCGCCCACAGTGACAGCATGAAGCCGACGCGTACATGTAGGTTATAGTACTTTTGTGGGCGACGCAACCGTCGACTGCGCGCTGCTTAGCGCCGAGTTCATGGATACGTTCTACGGATTTGTCTATGCCACGACTAGGCTTCAAGGGCGCACTGTGACGCAGCAGCAAAACGAAATCCACGGCTACATGTATATTGTCCGGCGGCGCTTCTGCCACGCTGACAGAAGATCGCGGCCAGAGCAGAGCAGCTCTCTTTTCGCTAGTACAGCAGCCAGCTGTTGAAGTCGCCGCACAGTTGGTGTGAGTTCTTTCGGCGATGAGTTTACACTACCGTACACGTTCAGTACACTGTAGTGATGAAGAACGATCCACCTCTCTACCCACTGTTTGCAGGAGCGAAAGGAGTGGGCAGCTTCGGCTTCCGCAGCTTACGGTCTGCAACATCATTCCGAACTCTTTGTGTCGGTCACTACCGTGCAACTCCCTTCGCGAGAGCGTTCACGCCGCCAACAAGTCGTTGGTTGGCAACGAGCTCCACGAGATAAGCTTATCAGCTACCTCGGTTACGAAATCGAGCTGCGGTCAGTCGCTACATCCTCACGGGTGAAGGCGACGGCGGTAACCAGCCTCTGCCCAGCCACAACGACAACCCGAGACCAGAATCCAAGGGGAAGATTCCTGTCGAGTGCGCGACGAACGGCGTACAGTACAGCCTACATTACAGCAGATTAATGTCCGCACGCACGGCTTGAAGCAGCTGTAGAGTCGCCGGTGGCGCGCTGCGTCACTCACAGTGAAGCTTGCGGCCTCGCGAGGTCCATCGCGGCATCAGCGATGTCGTGAATCGAGCGATCAGGCGCGATCATCTAACTCATAGATCATTACTTCTCACAAGTACCCTATTCGACTCATTTGAGCTCAAAACTGGCAGTTAAAAACCGGCCTCATCTAGCTTTGATATGCAAGATAAAATATTTCACAGGTCAGAAATAGCAGCTAAAACGCTTCATTGATATGCATGATAAAAGATCCCACGATCTTGACACGCTTCCCTCGTTGTTCAGCTTATCACAATCGAAACGGAGCCGACGCGTGAGGCACAAGTCAATTGCCACGGCTTTAAACACTTTGCGACCCCCTCCCCCTTCGGTCTTCCGATGAAGTTCACGCTGCCGGACGGCGTGTTCCCAGCCGTGCGGCTGTCCACGAGCCACCAGGACGCGCTGGTCGACGAGGCCGATACGGTTGTGGACGAAACCATCGCCGCGAACGAAGCTTTTCTGGCCCATGGAGCGGCGCTCAAGAGCACCAAGTGGCGACTCGTTCGCGTGAAGGAGGGGCTGCATGTGTACTGCCGACGACCGACGGCGTCCGACGACGGTCGCGGTCCGGAAGCGTCGCCGCAGACGCATTCGAGGACGTGGACGACGGCTGACCGCCCTACAAGACACAGAGCTCGGGCAAGCAGCAAGCGACGTGGGGCGGCTATAGTGGAGCCACTGTCTCCGTCCTCTGTAGCCGCCGAGAACAGCATCCAGGAGCAAATGCGGCGTCCAGGCGTGTCGCTCATGGTGCTGCACGGAACCGTGGACGGAACGCTGGACGACTCAATGTTTGGAGCGTTCGCGGCTACGGACCAGGCGTGGAAGTGGAGGAGTTCGCACGTGAACGACCGACTGGATGATGCCCGGATTCTGGCAAAGGTTCGAGGACCTACGAAGCAAGACCCCTTCCGGTTTCTCGGTATCAAGTGGTTCGCCAAGGAGCACCCGGCTGTGCTAACGGGAATCCTCCAGCGGCGCGACTTTCTCATCATGGAGGCGACGGGGCTAACGCAGGATTCCAAGGGGGAGAAGGTCGGCTACTTTTTGATGCACTCAGTGGCGCTTCGTGCGGCTCCAGAGCTCTCAGAGCTCAACATTATTCGCGGAGAGCTGAGTTTCTGCTTTATTCTTCGCCAGAGCGGCCACGGTAAAGTGGATTTGTACTGTCGAGGCTTTACGGACCCTCGTGGGGACATGATGGAGCGCGTGTCAGTCGCGATCGCAGCCGAAGCGCTGATCTGCGCTGCCGGCGTTGTCGACTATGCGAACGTCAAGAAGCTTACGTGGCTGATGAAGCACAAGAGAAAGAGCCAGCAATGCCAGCCTGGTGAAGAAGCTCGGTCTGGGCGATGCGAGTCCTGCAGCAAGAGCTTCACCAAGTTTGCGTTCATCGCGCTTGCGACTGGGGCTGCAACTGCAGGGAAAGGTGCCACCTGCCAGATCTGCCGTCGAGTGGTGTGTGCCAAGTGCAGCGTAGTCAAGAAAATGACCGTGGACGTGTCGGATACTGGAGCAGTAAAGCAGTGTGCCCTCCGATTCTGTCTAGCTTGTCTCCTTGAAGCGAGAGAAAAGTCTGCTTGGGAGATGGCGCTGAATAGCCTCGAGGCTGAACGGGAGTGTTCATCTACACGCCACACTGCAACTGGATCGACTCCAGGTACCCCTCGCTCTCAGTTCGGCTCGATGCCTCGTAGATCCAATCACCGACGTGATGGTCGGACCTACTCGGAGTATCAACGTGCAGGCACTCGCGTACCGCCAGGGAGCGATGGTCACAGATTTCAGGCAAACCGACAATTTGGAGCAGCCAAATCTTTGCAAACAGCACAAAACCAGTGGAAATTCGCGGACAAGTGGCCGATTCATGCCTGACCCAGCACAAGTACAAGCTGCCAGTGCTGACGGGAAATACCCAGCTCCACTTCCTTCTCCACCAGCTACCAGCGATGCTGCTACACAGCAATCGGGAAGGTGGCCAAGCGCACGCATAGCATAAGGTTCCTACGCGTAGCTAGGGAAGCATTGGATGCGCAACGTACTGAAAGGCCTAAACTATAAATTTCCGCGGCCCTACGGAAGCATAAAAATCGCGAAGAAATATACATGTATTATGAACAACCAACCGAACAGCACATGTATGTAATAGTGATCGCAGCAACCCGGCAGTGTTTGCACTATTGTGATCGTCTTCACGGATGAGCGGTGTGACTAATGAGAAATTTGTGGGTACATGTACGTGTATACACAACGCGCTATCGACATTGGTACATGCACTGTAATAGTTCTCGGTGTGGCTGTACGAAGGGCGCTTGAACACCACGAAGAAGAGGAAGACGAGTTCGTGTCGTCTCGACGGCTCCTGTTACATGTACTCCAGCTCCAGCTGTCATTTGAGCGGGCACACTGCGGTGCATGTAGCCCCCTTGTGCGTGCAAATACTTGAAGATAACTCATGTTGCCGTTTTGAAGTCTTCACTCGCGGTAAACTTGGTGAAATGGTACAGTATGTTGTATGTATGCAAGACCCCCGGCGCGGCAAGCCCTATGCCTCATGTGCTGCAATACTAGATATTAATAGCAGTACATGCACCTCGAACAAGCAACAGCGCTCACAGCAACGTACTTGTCCGGAAGATAGTGTACCTGCTTCGTATCCTGGTTACATACCGGTAGATACATGTACAGTTGGCGCTCGTAAAATGTGCATGTCCTGTACCGCCATTTTACGAGCGCCAACTGTCACGTTGACCCTAACTCTTCGCTACTGAAGTACTTGCTTCTTGTATCGAGCGGTTTTGCCGAAGACTCGCGCTGTAGCGACTTCTGCATTGCCTGGAGCCTGCACTGTACGCTGAGACATAGTTGCAGTATTTTTCACGACTGGCCGCAAACAGTGAGATCGGATACGAGCTGTGAAGCGCGCCGGCTCGATAACACAGACCCCGGTTGGCCCTCGCACCGCGAGTCGCAGTGGGGAGGACACAATCGTTTGGCGTTCAACCTCCAACTTCGTGCCGACCGGAAGGGAAGGCGATGAAGTTCACGCTACCTGAAGATACGTTCCCAGCTGTTAGTCTGTCCAAGGAGAAGCAAGCTGCGTTGATCGAGGAAGCAGAGACCGTCGTTCGCCAGTCCATCGCAGCCAATGAAGAATTCCTGGCCGGTGGAGCGACTTTTCACGATTCGAGGTGGAAGCTCGTGCGCGCCAAGGAAGGCCTGGGCGTGTATCGGCAACGACGATCGATAACTGAAATCTCCAGGGACTCGTACAAGGTCCAGAAGCCTTCGTCGCCTCCGAGCCAGAGCTCGTCACTGTCCTTTAAGCGTCGAGGCCGCGCCACGAGCGACATGCACTGGACAACGACCACCACTGAAGAGGGGTCCTCAATATCTGGCATCAACGAGAGCAGCATCCAGGAGAAGATGAGGCGTCCGGAGATATCGTTAATGGTCATGCACGGAACCGTGGACGGAAGCCTGGCCGACTGCATGTACGGCACCTTCGCGCCTACCAATGGAGCGTGGATGTGGCGGTGCTCCCATTTGAATGAGCGCTTCGACGACTCGCGCGTCCTGGCGAACATCAGAGGACCCACACGAAAGGACCCTTTCCGATCTCTCGGCGTCAAGTGGTTCGTCAAAGAGATCCCGGCCGTGCTGTCTGGCATCGTCATGCGGCGCGACTACCTCGTGCTGGAAGCCACGGGGCTTGCCCGCGACTCGAGAGGCGAGACAGTCGGCTACTACCTCTGCACTCGGTCTCACTGCCAACTATCCCAGTACTCACTGACTTGGGCATCGTCCGCGGACAGTTGAGCTTCTGCTTCATCGACCGACAAAGCGGTCCGGGGAGAGTCGAACTGTACTGCCGCGACTTCAGTGACCCGTGCGGCGGGCTGATGGATCGACTGAGCGTTGCCATTATGGCGGAGTCGCTTCTCTCCGCTGCGGGGGTCATCGACTTCGCGTACGTCAAGAAGCTCATGTGGCTCATAAAGAACAAGGCGGTCTCCCACCAATGTGTGTTGGGGAGCGATGCTGGAGCTACTCGACGAGACCTGCGACAAGAACTTTACCAAGTTCGCGATTGCCGGTGGCGCGGGCCCGGGAGCCCCGTGCCACATCTGCCACCGCGTGGTGTGTGTGGCAAGTGCAGCGTAGTCAAGAAGATGACCGTGGACGTGTCCAGCACTGGCTCAGTCAAGCGTTGCTCTCTCCGGTTTTGCCGCGGGTGCATGCTGGAAGCCAAAGAGAAGTCGGTCTGGGAATTGGCGCTGAGTGGAGTCGAGACAGCGTCCGAGTGCAGCTCATCAACCACCGATTCCGAGTTTGTATTGCCTCGCGCTTAGGATAATAGCTACAAGAGCGACGAAGGGGTAGTTGCCATTCTTATTAACCGCAGACACATGAGATTGAGAAGTAAACGTATTGAACCTCAAGGAAATGACTGGGTCAGACTGTCGACAGTATTACATGTACTTTTGCGTGCTTTCTAAACGAGCCCAATCCGCGACACATGCTGTAGCTTCGACAGTCCAGTGGAGCCCCCACTGGGGGTTCCTCTCGGTGCCTGGCGTGTCACCACGATTCCTGCAGTGATGAGAATCCCATTCCCATTGAGATAGAGAGAAGATAGTCTATTGAACCTTAGTTAATAGCCTCCTGAAACTTTCTAAGTCTTTTGATCAGCGCTGACTCCTTCCTCTTGAGCCACGGCGCTGGGGCTGGAGGTGAATCTGGAGGTTCAGCCTCAATCGTGATGGCTACATAGCAATCCAGAGTGAGCTGTAGCCGAAGCCCATTTGTCCTGGTTGCTGGCTTGTTCCGTCCACTGCGTGCCACTGCTGATATTTGCCTCAGACAGCTGGCCCACATGTATTCCAATTGTTGTGGAGCTCTCCATTTCTTTCCTTCGTGGACGACTTGGTTTCGAATTTGCCACAGCAGTGCGTATCCCATACTACACAGACTCCACCAGATCCGTCCGAGAGCGTCTTCATAGTCTTTGTTCCATTTACCATAGCATTCCAAAAGCACACGCCGCATTCTGTCACTGACAGGAGGAGCTACCCGTGACGAGATGTAACTCTTACACGCCTCGAGACGACTGCTGGATATTTCATGGCCAAGCCAATGCTCCACACAACGACTCCAAAACTGTTGGGCTCGCTCGCAGCCCCATGTAATGTGCGTGATCGTGACCTTGCCTGCCGTGACGTCCTGGGCGAGAAGACAGCCATCCGTCGGACGCTCGCCTTCGTAATGCAAATTTAATTGTTGAGCGGCCATTCGATAGGCCACCCAGACCTGGTAGTTTGTCAACGTGTTTCGATGCGTCCAAAGCTGTTGCGGTAGTTGACTCTGGAGACCTCGTATCCAGTCATCTCGTTCACTTCGGACTTCCCACGTCGTGAGCAGCTTACCGAGGTCGGGACTGGCGTGTACCCGAAGCTGTTTCTTAGGCTGCATCTTCAAATCCTTTATAATGTTTCGATTTCGGGTCCTTGCTGGTACTTGCCAAGGGAATCCGTGAATCCGGGGGTGTGCATGAAAGACTACTCCCTCCAAGTGCTTGGATAGTTTCGTCGCGTCCTTTTTGGCATTGCGCTGCGATACGACTTTCCAATTGAGCCCGTTGACTTGTTGCTGCAGCGTGATTGTAGATTTTCCTGCATTGGGGACTGCCACCACAATAGAATCAGCCTCCACTGACCAGACGTAACTTTGCGTGAGGCGCGGTGGTTTCCGTAATTGAAGCTGTGGGGCTCGACCGAGTTGTTCTCCCACGTCAATTCGGGGCGAGTGGAGCAGAATAGCGATCAACCATCGCTCCCGTTTGGCGATGGTGTGTCCCGCCTGACATCCCGGTGCTGTTGGTACTCGTACCGTGTAGGTCGTTCTGTGAGTCCTGACGATTTCAAGGCTCGCGATCGAGGCTACCGCGATTCTGTCGTATTTGGCTCGCGATAACACTGGCTTATTACTATCTGGGATCCACGGGTTATCCGCCCATGCGAATGTGCCCCAGAACGCCGTGAGCTCCGGTATTTCCAGTCGGTTTGACGGTAGACCTCCCAAATCCACTTCGACGGTGATTTTTTCAAGCGATCGGGGGTGGTAGGTCGCGCTATTCGCAAGCTGTCCGGCTACAGCTGCCAGTCGTGGAACATACACTGCCGATAATTCCTGGCGTTCATGCTGTTCAGCTTCGGTAGGAGCTAGAGCGGCGCAGACTTCTGTCTGAAAGAGGTGGCGGCGACTGCCCCCCGTCGATTGACAACGGCTTTTACTGTCCTTTCGCGGTGTCACTGCTGGTTCGTCTCCGTGAAAACCCATCCATGCAAGCCATGCCTCTCGGTAGACATCATGCCGACTCAGTAGCCACAGCATTGATATTTTCACCCGTTGTGCTTGGATCGCCACGGGCACTGATATTAGACCCAGCCCACCGGCTTGCTTGGGTGTGAAGATCAGACTCGGTGTTAGCTTGTGTCGACTGGGATCATCTTTAAGTAGCCGCCACCACAAGAACTGCTTCTGCATGTTGACTAAGCTCGTCAAAACCTCCTTGGTAGGAGGACACATTTTTGCAGGAAACAGCACCGCAGGCATAACGATTGCGTTGAAAAGATCTACCCTGGCGCGCACTGTCGTTGCTGCTTGCTCCGCGGTTGCCATTCTTCGGTGAATGCTGCGAATCCGTTGGGCCCAATTGACTTTGCTGAGATCGCTGAAACCCACGTCGTACCCGAGATAGCGAACTGTGTCTCCCACAGGTAGTACTGGAATTCCGCACCAGTTCTCCGCTAATATCGCTTTATTCAAGAAAATATACTTACTCTTGGCTGGTTGCACCTTGAGCCCCGAGATTTGACCAAAGTGTTCGACGATTTTCATAACCCTTGGTAACTGGCCGCTCTTCGCTAAGAACACCGTGGAGTCATCTACAAATGCTGAGAATTTGTGCTCCCCATGACGCGGGCTCAGATGCTCATCCTGTTGAAGCGCCAGCGCAAAAAATTCCGCCGCTAAGATGAAAAGTAGAGGAGCTAGCGGACATCCTTGCCTGATGCCCGATTTAACCTCTAGCGGCGAAGAATACTGGCCGTTCACGAAAAATTGTGCTGTGGTTCCTTCATGCAGTCGAGCCATGAGATCAACGAATTCCGGTGCAAAACCAAATTGACGTAACACTTCCAGGAGAAAGACGCGGTCCACAGTATCATAGGCTTTGGTGAAATCAAGAAGTAGGATCCCTGCACTGTCCGACGCATTGATAAAGGCGTCATAAATTGCATTCTCCAGTTGAGCTAGCATCATCACCACGGACCGGTCCATTTGCCGGCCGTGAACGAGACCTTGTTGAGTCTCTCCAATCAGACGGCCGAGAAATCTTTGAAGCCGCGTTGCCAATACTTTTGCGAACAGTTTGTAGCTTGTTTGAAGGAGTGAGATTGGACGATAATCTAAGGCGTTCGGCGAGTCTCTCTCCTTCCGGAGAGGCACTACCACGGCTTTCAGGAAGGAGTCTGGTGGGGGGCTTCCTTGTAGGAGATCGTTACAGACAGTCACAAGCCGAGGGATCATCGATGCCGCCAGATCGAGGTAGAAATCGTTGTTGAGCCCACCTTCACCTCCAGCTTTGTTCCGTTGAAGATCCGCCACTGCGGCGAGCAGGTCGTCTTCGGTGATAGGAGCCAGAAGCCGCTTATTGTCCTCTACTTGCACTCGGCTCTCGAGGGGAACGTGAAAATCGTTCTGGTATAGCGAGAGATTCGTCAAAGGTTTCCCCTGACGGAGCTTGGATAGCCGAAACAGTTTGATCGCGTTTCCAGACTGCCGTTCGCTTAAACAGCCAGCGAATGTCCGCCTGAGTTCGTTCGAGATGTCTTCCAAAGCGAGCAGCACTGCGGTCCCGCACATCTTGGACCAATGCGGTCAGGAGTTGCGTGCGGCTGGTGGCGTTCTCACGCAACTGCCTCTGCAGCTTATTCGACTTGCGCCTTCTGCGCTTTTTCTCTCGCCGAGCGATGTGCTTTATGGTATTTCGACATTGCTTGATCCAGGTGTACCAGCTGAGATAACCAGGACCCCGTTGTGGCGCCTTCCCATTGAGCTCCTGTAGCAGTTCTTCAATTAGACGTTCCGAGTGCGCCCCATGAATGGGGTAATGCTCGTGAGGTGCTAGCTCCAACTCTTCCAGGGCCGACCCAAGTTGGACGCGAGCATCAACTAGTCTCGATTGTTGGACGATCCGGGAAAGAGTTGCGCTTTCCGTTTTGTCGATTCTTGTCCCGCCTCGTCGATCGAGTACCGGAGACTCCACGCAGTTAAAATCACCCGCCAAGATGAGGTTGGCGGTATGACGGGGCCTCCATCATTGTAGGCCCGTGAAGAAAGATTCTCTAGCCCCTTGGTTCGACGCCGGCGCATACACATTCAGCATGTGCATATTTTGGAAAGTTACTCCAATTGCCCGCTCGTTACAAAGCTGCTGGTTCCAAGGTTGAAGCGCGGATTGGAACTCTGGAAAAACTAAGATGCCCACCCCTGCCGTTTTCTGCGGTGCTACACTCCAATATGACAGCGAAGGCTGTCCAGGCGGAAGACTCCACATCCGATTCCATCTCTCCTCGAGCTCAGCTTGCTCTTTCTTAGAGCTGACATGCGTCTCCTCAAGAAGAATTAGCGCGGGCCGTTGAGCTCGAGGAATGGTTCGCCACGCTGACAGCCACTCCCATCGGTTGATAGAACTAAATCCTTGGACGTTCTGAGTGATGATCTTAATATCGGTCGCTTTCGAGAGAGGCCTCACGTCTCTCTCCGTCTCCGTGTGGAACGTCATCAGGTCGGAGAAAGCACTCCGGCCATAGGCATCCCACAGAGGCCCCCCTGACACCGCCAATTTCGACATGGCGATGCCTTTAGTACTGGAGCTGTGGTGTCATGGTCGTCAGCTGATTCTGATGCGAACCATCTCCATCGTCAACCACGTGGGCCATGTACCGTCCTATTGCTCCCCATTTTTCGGTCATGGCTTTGTCATTTGTGAGGAATGCAGCTTTGAAGGTCGGGAGCTTGCGAAGAGCGGTCAAGTGTCGTTGAAGCTTGGTCTGGGCTGAGTCATCAGGGTGACTGTCCTCGCCAATCATTGCGGCCACCTTCTCTGCGTAAATGTGCGCAAACAATAAGTAGTGGCTTAAGCGAGATGTCCGCGATGGAGCACATAGCCACATGACTACGTCCCGCCCATAGTTTTCCGCTTTTTCTACGTCCCATTCGTCGGTACTGGTCATAATCGCCTTCCTCCGCTTGTTATCAACTGCGCGCTCTGCTCGAAGCCCCACTGCGCGAGACGGCGGACTCGGGTCGGATCTGTTTTCTCATCCTGCTGTCCTGCTTCAATCGCCGTCTGCCAGCATTCGTCTCGCCAAGGTGAAGTTCGCTCGTCCAGCACTTGCGGGGCTAGAAGCTGCACTATTTCGTGGCTGTGACCGAAGGTGCGGAGCAGGTGAAGGATATAGTCTCGTTCTTGCTTGGCTGCCGCCAACCAGGTCTCAACCGAGGCGTCCACCGCTGGAAATGGTACGTCAGAACGCTGTGCCCATTCGCCCGCGTAAGCACTCCAAAAATTTGGCCAACTTGGCATACCTTCCGGAGTACTCGGCTGTGGCAATCGGCTGGGACTGTCAACTTCTTCGAACATAGTGAGCAGATTCTTGGTTGGATCGTCACTATTTCGCTTTTTCAGCGGCACAGCCCGGTTGTTAACATTCACCACTATTCCATCTTCCACACGACGCTCAACCGGAGTAGTTACGTGCGCCCGCTTACCAGGGGCTGCTGGTGAGGAATTACGCCTGAGTATTCGCCGGGGTGTAGTCACTCGGGAAGTAGATAAATCGTCGGAGCTCTGAGTCGACGAGGGGTAGTAATCTGGACCAGCTTGGTCCTGCCCCGGTGACTCAAGCTCCGTCACTGGCTGATTGTCTCCGCTCTTCTCCTCCTCGAGACGTTGGCGCCACTGCCGAACCCCTGACTCTGGGATTTGAAATTCGACCATGTATTTCTTGCACTGCTCGGGATCGCTTAAGTCCGCTGCTAGAAGCCGTTTTTGCTGGTGAAGCGACAGCTGCGACACCGTGGCAACGAGAAAATGTAGTAACTCTAGGGTGCGCTCGCCGCCAACTCGGAGAATCTGGTCAATCTCTTGCTTGAGCGTATGATGAATTGTCGGGCCGCTCAGCCTTTCTTCTACCTCCTCTAGGTTGCCGCTCCAACTTCTGGGTCCCATGGTGACTGGGACCCGTACTGTGACTCAGCATTCGGCTCTGCGTCCTCTTCCGTCTTCATCTCCTCATTCCACCCTCTCCCTGCTTTAGTCTCCTGAGGGAGATCACCCTTTTCAGCCGCTTGTGCTTCCGTGGCTGGGTCCGTCGTCTCCGTCGCACTTGGCCGCCTAGTTTCCAGGTCCCCATCGTCACTTCCTGCCATCTCCACGTCCTCCTCGCTGGCTCCCTCTTCAGCTGCGATATCTTGAGCCGGAGTACTGTGAACGTAAGCACTATAGTGTTGATTATGGTAGTGAAGAACAAGCGGCATTTTGTCGTCGTTTGACCTCGCTTTCCGTTTGAGCTCAATGACTTTCTTCACACAGCCTTCAGCAGAGAGTGGAAACTCTCCGAAAGTCGAGAAATCCTTTTTGTTGGCATGGCGTGTTTCCGGTTCATAATGAAGTGCACTCCAGATCGTTTTGCCAGGCACAAAGCTGATGACGAAGATGTCTCGTTGCAGCATGATTCCATAGGTAGCGAGAGTGTTATTGCTGCCCCAAAGCTTCTCGGGCAGGAAGACAGCGGGGTCCGACGAGCTGGATCCATACTCTGTGAGGTAGCGTCGGAACTCTTCCTCGGAGACTGGTTGTGTCATTTTCTCGTAGCCACGTCGGAGCTGTATTAGCGTCTGCTTCCGCTGGGCATGTGGGTATTTCAGCGGGAAATCGATGAAGGCCCTCGCCGCGCATCCTTTTTTCAAAGCCGTGGCCGCTTGAGCAAGGCGATCCGGGGTGTCGGAGAAGCTGCAGCTCGCTAACGCTTGGGCCACCGAGTAGACTGGCAGTTTCCGGATCTCGGAGTGGATACTGGTCGGAGGCTCATAGAAACAAGAGCTCGCGACAGAGACTTCTCTAGTGCTTCCTCGCCGTGGGTTTTCGCACTTGTTGCTGGCGGGACGTGGTCTCGCTCTTGCGTCATAGGAACCGGAGCAAGAGCAACGGCTAGCTCTGCTAAGGCAGCATCTTCCACTACCAGTAGTTCGGCGTGGGCTTTACGGATTGCTTTGGCCGTGGGTTTCGGCTTGTTCGGTTATTCTGACTTCTTCTCGTCTTCTTGGGACGCCTCCTCGTCAGCCGACTCCACAGTCAGCGGATTGAATCGCGACCCAGCTTTAGCGTTTTGGTGCGCGTCACTCACGGGCCCTTTCTTCTTGTCAGGATTCGGGGTCTTGTCAGCACTCTTAGCCGGCGCAGGTCCTTGCTGGACTGGGAAGTTTGCTTGTGGGTGATTCATCGTGACACCGCTACTGGGTTTCTTCGTTGACCTACCATCGAACCAGCCCTCCTTTGGTTCCGCAGCTGTGGTACCTCGCGCCCCTCTGTGGCGCTGCTGTACTGGGTCCGACGTCGCCGCCTTTTCCGGCAGTGGATCTGCCCCGTTGGCGCGATCGGTGCCAGACAGCTGTGGCTCCTCCGACTGACAACCTGCGGTCACCGTAGCTCAAGGCTAGTGAATGTCGGCGTCTGCACCCGTAAGCTAGCGACCGTGTCCTCCATGGCTACAAGACAGCCTGGGCCTCGGAGCTCGTCCATCGACATGTGGCACGCTCTCATTGGGTGCCCGAGACGGCCGCAGCGAAGACACTGCTGCCGACCTCGCATACTCGGATGCTGAACAACAATGACAGAGGTGAACCACACAATCCGCGTGATCCCTTCTAGTTCCCGTGGGCAGCCATCCATTGCAAAACTCATTTCCATGCCATTGACGTACTCGATTGAGGGCCACTCCGGTCCAGGTCCTCGAAGACAAACGGCACACGGAGAACGTGCTTCAAAAACGCGTGTAGACGGCCGAGATCCATGTTCCGCGTCACGTCACGTAGAATGACGACGTACTCTGACGCCGTCGAGATCAGGGCACCATCTTCTTCGTACTGCAGGTCCCAAACATTTGCCCCAGGTGTCCGTCTTCCCACAGGATGCGCATTGACTAGTTTGTGCGTCGTTCGATGGAAAGTTACCTCCAGCCCGTCAAACCTACAGGCTGCCTCTCTGGTAAAGAAGTAGAAATGAATCTCGTGCTTCGCTGCGTTGTAGCTGATCGTCTTGACGGCAGCCAGGAGTCCCCAGAGTCGTTGGTTGTTAGTGCTATGGTTCATCGCCGCGATCGAAATACTCTCCTGTAGACTTTTGGTGCTCTGAAATGCTTCCTTGACTGGCAGCTCACCATCAAGGTCCATAATCAGAAGCCCCTCCACCTGCGCTCGCACTGTACCGATAATTCTCAACTTGTCTTCTGTTCGCATGATGCGGTTGAAGAACTGCGGCAATCGACGGCAGATAACCGTGCCCTCAACTAATCCTTGAACAATTCTCCACTCGTCTTCCGTTCCTTCCCGGAATGCCCCCTTGGAGTACTTACCGTACGTTTTCTCGCATACCTGCCGGAGCCGGGTGGTTTCCTCGGCGGAATACACACTTTGGTTGAACAGGAAATCTTTCGTTGTAACTCCAACTTCACCTCCTCCTTCCTGTTGCCCCGCCACCTTTTGAGCCCATCGGGTGAGCACTAGAGCTTGGAGCTCTGCAGTTTGCATCGAGACCTTTCCCAACTCCTTGCTAAGAACATGTTCCAACGACTGCCTGGAGATGTAGACCGTGTGACATGACGCCGACACGAGTCGAGACCATGAAGTCCAGTCTTGATGCTGGTTTACCACGATGTCTTCGAAAACGTCGACCAGCCGCTCCATCTCCGGTTTGGTGAGGCGCGGGAGTCGTTGAGCTGCTGGAGACAGGTTCTTCTTCTTGCTTGGGCTCTTAGGAAAAACAGAGTCAAAGAGCTGCTGCACTAAGTCCAGCCATGCCTGGGGTCGGGGTTTGCGATAGGTGGCGGTTTGCAGCGAGTGCTGAAGCGCTGCAGCCAGCTGCTCCGCTGTCGCCGGCTGCTTGCTCTCTTCCTCCATCTCTGCCTTCTTGCTCGTTTCAGCCTGCTGGTGACTGCTCATCTCGGCGACTTGCTCGCGGCGGCCGGAGGTCTCGGTCGTCTCGGGGGGCTCCCCCTCGGTTCGAAGCGGTGGGGGCCCGTCAGATGCCACCTCACTCGCCCTCCCTTCGTTTAAGGCCGGGTCCAAACCTTCATGCTGGCGAGTTCTGTCGTTCGTCATCAACTTGCTGAACTCGTTCCTTTCCGCCGGAAAGTCGTCTTCCTCCTCCGGCTGAGTCTCGGGGACGATCTCGTCCGGTGGTCTCACCTCCGTGTCCACGGGTGAGGTGCCGGGATCGTCGTCCGCCGCCGGGACCTGCCCAGAGGGCCGTCGGTCGTCCGAGTCCGTGGCCGAAGCCGCAGAGGACATGGTGATGAACACTTTGACTTAGGTTAAGTGTACCAAATCAGGGGCACTGTGCACTTCCAATCCCAGGATCAACGCGTGCCGAGTTGCTGGGGCTTCTGTCGCAAAATCGAAAGTGTCCCATTCCCATTGAGATGGGCATGCCTAGTAGGTCTTGCAAACGGTGCTGACCGCGTACCCGTACCCGCCCGTGCAGCCGTCCAAGCCGAAGTCGGGTATGTTGTCAAGACTGATGTGACGACGCCTCGCCAAGCGACCGTGTGACGCGAACGCGTCATCAGTGAGGTTGGCGTGACCTTCACTGTGTTGTACCGCAATCATTCAGGTGATTACGGGACGATGATTACGTCACGGTGATTACGCCATGATTGTGGGTACAGGATTGTGGGTACAAGATGGGCATCGACGTGGCGTTCTCTGATTGGATAAGGTAACTGTGTATCCAGTAGAGAATCCAGTAGGGTGTATCCAGTAAGAGGTATCCAGTAGCAGGCTTAGAGGTAGCACGCGGTTGCGAACTAAGGACCTGAATCGAATCACTTTGCATTTTGCCAACTACTGCTCAAGTGCTCTTCCTTTTGGTTATGAGCCCAAGCCCCGTCTTCCCTGACCAAGACCCCGACTACGCCTTCGCCATGGACGCCGCCCCGACCGCGACCGCCCGCATCAACAAGTTCGACGGAACCAACTTCCACACATGGAAGTTCAAGATGCAGATGGTGCTGGAGGAGCGCGAACTGTGGGAAGTGACGAGTGGGGAAGTGAAGCTCGAGCAGTGCACGACCGCGGCGGACCAAGCGACGTTTCGCAAGAAGTCGCGCAAGGCGCTGGCGATCGTCTGTCTCGCGATGGAGGACTCGCAGCTGCCGCTGGTGCGGTCGGCGAAGGACGCGCATGATGCATGGTCAAGACTCGAGGGACACTTCGAGAAGAAGAGCCTGGCGAACAAGCTCTTTCTTCGTCGACGGTTCTTCACGACAACGATGGACGAAGGTGATGATGTGCTGGAGCACATTAACAAGCTCAAGACGCTGGCGGAACAGCTCGACGCGGTCGGCGCTCCGGTCAGCGAGGACGACTTGGTGATCACGCTTCTTGCCAGTCTGAGCGAGTCGTACCAGTTCCTCATCACGGCGTTGGAATCGCGTTCCGACACGCTGACGTGGGAGCTCGTGACGTCTCGGCTCCTGCACGAGGACTTGAAGCGCAAGGAACAAGGTGGCGGTGCTGACGGAACCGCGCACGCTCAAGGTCAAGCGTTCATGACAAGCGACAACGGGAAGCGCAAGGGACGGCAGGCGCAAGCGCAGAGGACGAGCGCCTGTCACTACTGCGGCGAGCACGGACATTGGATCGCCAAGTGTCCGGTGCGGATCCGCGAGAACGGGGAGCGGCAGAGGCCGCAACGAGCGAACGTCGCGCAGGTCTAAGATGACTCTGGCGACTTCCTCTTCTCGGTTGGTGGCGACACGGGTGCCTCCAAGCTGAGCGGCATGTGGCTGGTCGACTCGGGTGCGACGCAGCACATGACGTACTCGAAGGAGTACATGAAGTACTACAAGAAGATCTCTCCGGTGGACGTGCATCTGGCGGACGACGGCGTGGTTCAGGCGGTGGGGAGCGGCGACATCGTGATGTCGATGCAGACACCGCGCGGCATGAAGAAGGGTGTGCTCACGGGTGTGTGACACATCCCGAAGCTGTCGCGTAATCTGTTCTCCGTCGGCCGCTTCACCAAGGACGTCGGGCCAGTGACCTTCGAGAGCGACGGGTGCTTCGCGGAAACGAAGGGTCTCAAGTGGAAGCTCGGCGCTCGCGAAGGCAAAGGACTGTTCAAGCTCTGCATGACGCCGAGGACGCCTGCTGACGAGGCCAATGCGGCAAGCTCGAAGAATCGCCAAGGGGACACCACGTCGTACCTCTGGCACCTTCGACTTGGTCACATCGGCCATGGTGGTCTCGACGCCATCGTCAAGAAGGGCTACGGCACTGGCATCCCAATGACGTCGGTGAAGCAGTGGGAGGTGTGCGACGGGTGCGCACTCGGCAAGCAAACGCGAGTAAGCTTCATGAAGTCGTCGCCGAACCGTGCGAAGCAAGTGCTGGAGGTGGTCCACAGCGATGTGTGCGGTCCGATGCAGACGGCGACGTTCGGAGGTGAGCGCTACTTCGTCACGTTCATCGACGACAAGTCGCACTTCTGCGTGGTGTACTTGCTACGGAACAAGTCGGAGGTGGCTGCCAAGTTCGCTGCGTTCGTCGCGTTGGCTGAGACGCAGACCGGCAAGCGAGTGAAGGTGCTTCGGAGCGACAACGGCGGCGAGTACACTTCGGGTGCGATGGCCAAGTTGTGTGCGGATCGCGGCATCGAGCAGAAGTTCACGCCGCCATACACGCCTCAGCTCAACGGAGTGGCCGAGCGAATGAATCGGACGCTGGTGGAGTGTGCGCGCTGCATGCTGGAGCACGCCGGGTTGTCGAAGGAGTACTGGGGAGAAGCGGTGATGACGGCCACGTTCCTCCGCAACCGGTGTCCGACGCGCGCCATCAGTCACGACAAGTCGCCGCACCACGTTTGGACCGGCAAGAAGCCTTTGCTGGCCAACCTCAAGGTGTTCGGGTGCCACGCGTACGTGCACGTGCCGAAGGAGAAGCGGTCGAAGTTCGACGCTCGGTCGGTGCGCTGTCGTTTCCTCAGGTACTCGGAGCACGAGAAGGCGTATCGGTTCGAGGAGATCGAGAGCGGTCGCGTGTTGGTGAGCCGCGACGCGCAGTTCATAGAGGATGTCTTCGACGGTGGGAGACGCAACTACGCTTCGAAGGAGGTGTTGGTGGGTCTTCCGACAGATGATGATGAAGACACCACGGATGAAGAGACTCAGTCCGGATCAGACGAGAACAGAGAAGAAGCTGCGCGGAATCAAGACTTTGAACCCGGCAGCAAGCGACACCCGCGCACGCAGTCGCTCGAGGAGGCCGTGGAGGTTCCGAGTGCCAAGCGATATGCGGTGCCGAGACGACAGCAGCCGCTGGACGAGATGTCTACCGCAGCACAAGAGAAGGAAGACTTCGAGGCTGCGTACGTCGTGGATTTAGTGGGAGAGATGCCGACAACGTTCAAGTCGGCGATGGAATCTAGCGACGCAGACAAGTGGAAAGAGGCGTGCGACTCGGAGGTGGAGTCGCTCCGCAAGAACGAGACGTGGACCCTGGTGCAACTGCCGAAGGGACGCAAGGCGATCGGCTGCAGATGGGTGTTCCGCGTAAAGGAGAACCAGTCTGGAGAGATCGAGCGGTTCAAGGCGCGACTGGTGGCGAAGGGGTTCTCGCAGAAGTACGGCATCGACTACGACGAGACGTTCGCGCCGGTGGCCAAGTTCACGTCGATTCGGGTGTTGCTGAGTCTGGCGGCCAAGTACAAGCTCACAGTGCACCAGATGGATGTGAAGACCGCGTTCCTCAACGGCTTGTTGGACGAGGACATCTACATGGCGCAGCCGGACGGATATGTGGACGGAGATCGACCCGACTACGTGTGCCGGCTTAAGCGTTCGCTGTACGGCCTGAAGCAGTCGCCGCGGATGTGGAACAAGATGATCGACGAGTTCATGTTGAAACTGGGGTTCAAGAAGTGCGAGTCCGACCACTGTATCTACTTGAAGCGGGACAATCACGACATGATGTTCGTGGCACTGATCTGGTCCTCGCCAGCAGCAGCGACGGGATGCTGAAGGACACGAAGCAGGCGCTGAGTGACCGGTTCGAGATGACTGACATGGGCCAGCTCAAGTACTTCCTTGGTATGGAGATCGAGCAAGATGTGGCGACTGGGAAGGTGTCGGTGCGGCAGACCAAGTTCGCGAAGGACATTCTCGAGAAGTTCAAGATGGATGAGAGCAACCCTGTGAAGACACCGCAGGATCCGGGTCTGAAGCTGACCAAGGCCATGTGCGAGGGAGGCTGCAAGCACGACGAGACCAAGGCGAATGTTCCGTACCGGAACGCCGTGGGCTGCCTCATGTATCTCATGGTGGGGACTCGTCCGGACCTCGCAGCGGCAGTGGGAGTGCTGAGCCAGTTCGCAGCGGACCCATGTCCGACAGACTGGCAAGCGCTCAAGAGGGTCTTCCGCTACATCCGAGGCACGAAGACGCACGGCCTCGTGCTTCAAGCGAGCAGCGAAGACGGACTGCAAGGCTACTCGGACGCGGACTGGGCCGGCGACATCGAGTCTCGACGGAGTACGAGCGGCTACGCGTTCATGATGAACGGCGGATGCATCAGCTGGCGAAGGAAGAAGCAGCGCACGGTGGCGCTCTCGTCGACGGAAGCCGAGTACATGGCGCTGTCGGAGGCCACGCAGGAGGCGGTGTGGCTCAAGGTGTTTCTGTGCGAGCTGGGCGAGATGGCGAGCGATGAAGCGGTGAAGATCTACGAGGACAACCAAGGCTCCATCGCGTTGGCCAAGAACCCGGAGTTCCACAAGCGCACCAAGCACATCGACATTCGCTACCACTTCGTGCGCGAGAAGGTGGAAGACGGTCAAGTGGTGTTGCAGTATGTTTCGACACTCGACATGCTGGCGGACATCATGACGAAGCCGATCGCGGCGCCGCAGTTCGACGCGCTCAGGACGAAGCTGGGCATCGTGGTCGCTGACGAGTCGAGTGGGAGTGTTGTCAAGACTGATGTGACGACGCCTCGCCAAGCGACCGTGTGACGCGAACGCGTCATCAGTGAGGTTGGCGTGACCTTCACTGTGTTGTACCGCAATCATTCAGGTGATTACGGGACGATGATTACGTCACGGTGATTACGCCATGATTGTGGGTACAGGATTGTGGGTACAAGATGGGCATCGACGTGGCGTTCTCTGATTGGATAAGGTAACTGTGTATCCAGTAGAGAATCCAGTAGGGTGTATCCAGTAAGAGGTATCCAGTAGCAGGCTTAGAGGTAGCACGCGGTTGCGAACTAAGGACCTGAATCGAATCACTTTGCATTTTGCCAACTACTGCTCAAGTGCTCTTCCTTTTGGGTACCCGTACCCGCCCGCCCACAAGCCACGGGTGTACCCGGGACAACCAGGGCTCAAGGTTTTGTACGGACGGACCAACTGTTACATCTCCCGACACGGTTTTAAAGTTAAACATTTAAGTAGGAACTACGCGAAATCAATACAGAGTGAAAAGGACTTGTGGAGGCTAAAAGAAGACGGCGTAGGAGCATGATATAGCTGGTATAAGTAAGAAATATTACTATTTAGTACTATTTTCGTCAACTTCGGGTATCCGTGGCACCGCCCGAGGTTTGCTTCGGGTACCCGTACCCGACCCGAAACCGGGTATACCCGAGGCGGGTAGAGCGGGTACAAGAAACGGGTACCCGATTGCGAGCCCTGATGCCTACATTGCGCAAGGGAACGTTAGTTTCACACGTTGACAGACGAAGCCCTCCGTGTTCAGATCGGACACCTCCAGAAGTCAAACAGCGTACGGTACTCCGTAGTGTACTGTACAACATCTGCAGCAGAGCTGAGGCTCTGCTCGCCTACTTCGCATCGACCGCCGAATCGGCGGCGCCGATAGCGTGTACCGTGGACTTACACGTGCGCAAGAATCCCTCAAAGTAGCCGGCGCTGTACTGTACCTCTAGATCGCGAAGATCCCGCCATTGACCAAGTAAGCTTCGACGTGACGAGTCGTTTACCGCCAAATGTACCACTTGTTGACTCAACTTGACCGTCAAGCACAAAACCCAAGTTTCTGCTCGTTCCTTCCTTCCTTCCTGCCAGTACTGTATGACCAACGAATTGACTTCGATACTACGTGAACTTTTAAGTTCATTAGAATACCAATTAAAATTGGTATTCTGCTATACCGGTAAGTGTAGCAAACAATGCAAATGCATGGATTTACATGTTAACACATTCAGAAATAATCCAAATTTTTGTACAGAACGCTGCGTGAATACCGAACGCCTGATATATATAAGGGCTCTAGATTTATAAAGTAATCTCAGCTTTACCAGAGAAAAGGATGTACTGAATTAGTTTATCTTAGACGGAATTTGACGCTTGCTTAGTTAATCAAACCCGAGTAAAGCAGTGCTGAGTTGTTTCAGCGCTGACCTTCGACCAAGCGTGTTCGCACCACATCACTGCGATTAGTAGCTCTACTTTGTACTACTCGTATAGGGCTTAGCGGGTAGTGCGCCAATGTGAAAGTGGAATCGTAAATACAGAGAAGATCGCACAGACAATCAAAAGGGCGCCAATTTTCAAACTGCACAGCTTAGTACTTTAGCCAAACAAAGGTATCCTGGATTTTTACATCAGTACCTTGGCCCATCTCCGTTCGTCCTGTTGTTGGACCTTGAAGTATTATTTATATGAGGTTATGTATTGTATACCCGTTCGGTATTGAGGCAGATTCCTGTACACACTTCTGCAAATACCATTGGAACTGCTACAAAATTGACACAATTGTTCATGACACAATTTGTGGAGACGATATTTGCGTCTTCGCATATTGTACTGGGTAAACTGCCCTATTTTTGGGTTGTTTTTGGAAGAGTTCCAATGGCACATTTATTGATACACGTACTGTACACATCAAGCACTTCGTTACTTTGTCGAGCTGCCTACTGTACAGTTATTGCACTCTTCGCTTTATACAGAACTCCCCTGCTTACCCTCGCCTGCATAAAGTTTGGTACCTCGCACAGATAGTACAAATCACTGTTGTCAGCATAAATTCACCATATACTGATTTAACTGAAAACGGGAGGGAAAGTGTCGAGTGCGGGAAGCTTACACAATAGCTATGCGCCGCAATGTTGTAATAAATCAGTATGTTTAGCCTCCTTTGCAATTCTCTTAGCCTTGCAAGATTTATTGGTCCCACCTTTTTGGCTGAGGCGGGGAGTTCTGTAGTTGATTGAAGGACGCACATGTACTGTAAAGGTCCACTGCACTTGAAACTAACTTTCCTTTTGTGCCGACTTTACCTCTGGGCAATCATGGATATAGACAACCCTAAATCTGTAACTTACATCTGCCGAAAAACATTTGATTGACGATCAAACGGTTTTGCAGAAGACACGGGCGTGGAAAAGGGAACGCGACTGATTTCATCGTGCACCCTACACGTGTGTACAGTACATGTACCGCTCCCTACGATAGAGACGGAAGCTTTGACGGGGTCTGGATGGACGGGACCAGTTGGCGACACTTGCAGCCTTCAGAAGCGCACAACTGTTTTCGCCTTCACGAAAGGAAGGAGGGGCACAATGAAGTTCACTCTACCGGAAAACGCCTTCCCGGACGTGCATCTGTCCAAGGAGCACCAAGACGCGCTTATAGAAGAAGCCGAGAATCTCGTGCGCGAGACGCTCGCAGCCAACGAGGCATTCCTGGCTGACGGAGCCAAATTTCGGGATCCAAGATGGCGACTAGTGCGAGCAAAAGATGGGTTGAACGTGTACCACCGCCCACGATCGCGGCAAAGAAGCTCTCGGAGTCTACGAATGCCTCGGAAGAAGGCGTTCTCACCGGTCCTGCTAAGCCAATCTCAAGCTACAGACCCGTGGGGGGTCAGCCAGCATGACCACGACGAGGCCAGCACTGACGACGAAGCATCAGCATCTTCTTCATCTACTAAAGATATGGTGAGGCGTCCAGCAGGTTTCGAAATGATCCTTCACGGAACAGTGGACGGAATTCTGGACGACGCAATGTATGGGACTTTCGCCGCCACGGACCAGGCCTGGATGTGGCGGAGCTCGCATATCAACGACCGCCTCGACGACGCGCGAGTGCTGGCGACTATTAGAGGCCCCACAAAGGAGGACCCGTTCCGGTTCCTGGGTATCAAGTGGTTCGTCAAAGAGCGCCCTGCTGTACTGACAGGTCTGGTGCAACAGCGTGACTACCTTATCGTGGAGGCCACGGGGCTCATGCGGGACTCGAAAGGAGAAAAGGTCGGCTATTACTTGATGCACTCCATCTCTCTGCCTCGGATCTTCCCGGAACTCACGGATTTGGGTCTTCTTCGAGGAGATCTGAGCCTCTGCTTCATTGACCGCCAGCTTGGGCACCACAAAGTCGAGAAATACTGCCGGAACTTCAGCGATCCCCGGGGGAAAATCCCTGATCGAGTGGCTGTTGCGATCACCGCGGACGCGCTCATCTGCGCTGCGAGTATCATCGACTACGCGTACATCAAGAAGCTCACGTGGCTCATGAAGGAGAAAGGGGAGGAGATTGCGGCGCGTCATCGTCGACCAAGTGGCGAGGCGCGACCCAAATGCTGTGAAAACTGCAGCAAAAGCTTCACCAAGTTCTCCCTGCCTGGGGCTCGATCGGGTGTCGACTGCCAGATCTGTCGACGAGTGGTATGCGGACGCTGCAACATGATCAAGAAGATGACGGTGGACATATCGGAGACGGGCGCTGTGAAGCAGTGTGCGCTGCGCTTCTGTCTGGAATGCATTCGGGAGGCCAAGGAGAAGTCGGTCTGGGAGATGGCCCTGACTGGCGTCGAGACTGCATCAGAAACGTCGTCTGCATCTGCGTCTGGCTCATCGCGGTCGGGACGCTACCGATAAGTAAGACAGAGCTACAGTGGCAAGTAAAGGAGTAGCATCTAATGGAAAATTTATGAAAGCACACTATCGTTTGAAATGCATGTAGTTGCTCGGATCAACTAAGCTAAAGCCTACTTAAAAGGATCAGTCAACACAATAATATATATATTTCTATCCACCCATTTTTTTGCTTTTGTTCATTCACAAACACTGACTAACGTGCCGAGCAACTATCACTTCGTTGCTAGCGTTGGTCCACAGTACCGGCACCCCCATAGCTTCCTTTGCAAGTCTGATCAGTCTAATCTGGGACTCGATGAACATCTTGACGAGGTTTCGACACCACTCAGCGCCAATTCCCAGACCGACTTTTCCTTCGCTTCGATGAGGCAGCCGACACAAAACCGGAGAGCACACTGCTTCACCGACCCAGTGTCAGACACGTCCACGGTCATCTTCTTGACCAGGCTGCACTTCCCACACACCACGCGGCGGCAAATGTGGCACGGGGCCCCCGATCCGACACCAGTCAGTGCAAATCTGGTGAAACTCTTGCAGCAGTTGCTGCAGTGAGAAGGCCGAGAGGCTCGAGTCCCGTGTTGCTGCGTGACCCCCTTCTCCTTCATGAGCCACGTGAGCTTCTTGACGTACGCGTAGTCGACGACTCCGGCCGCGCAGATCAGCGCGTCGGACGCAATAGCTACAGACACTCGGTCCAACATCGCACCACATGGGTCGCTAAAACCCCGACAGTACAGCTCGACTTTGCCCGGGCCGCTTTGGCGATCAATGAAGCATAAGCTCACGTTACCACGCACGATGCCCATGTTCGAGAGTTCAGGAACTTCCGACAGCGAGACCGAGTGCATGAGGTAGTAGCCAACTACTTCGACCTTCGAGTCGCGCGTGAGCCCCGTGGCCTCCATGGTGAGGAAATCCCTCTGCTGGACGATCCCCGACAGCACCGACGGGTGCTCCTTAGCGAACCACTTGATCCCGAGGAACCGGAACGGATCGCTCTGAGTCGGTCCTCTGACAGTCGCAAGGATGCGGGCGTCGTCGAGGCGGTCATTGAGGTGCGAGCTGCGCCACATCCAGGCTTGGTTCGAGGCCGCGAAGGTTCCGAACATGCAGTCGGCCAGACTTCCGTCCACCGTCCCATGCAAAACCATCAAAGACACCCCCGGACGCCTCAACTTGTCCTGAACACTGCTCCCAGGTGGCGAGGCCTCCCCGTCAGTGTCCTTCCACCGGGTGTCGCTACCCGAATGACCTCGACTTTTGAAGGACCAAGACGAACTCTGGCTTTGGGAGGACGACGACCCCGGAAGTTTACCCAACGCCTTGAGCCCGCCAGACCCAGACTTCGGTGGTCGCTGGCGATACACACTCAGTCCCTCCTTCGCGCGCACGAGTTTCCACCTCGGATCTTGAAAAGTTGCTCCTCCGGCCAGGAATTCTTCATTCGCAGCAATAGTCTCCCGCACGACGGTCTCCGCTTCCTCGATCAAGGCAGCTTGCGCCTCCTTGGACAAATTCACAGGCGGGAACGTGTCTTCAGGCAGCGTGAACTTCATAACCTTCCTCGGGGCTGGCGCGACGCTGGATTGACTTGAGCGTCAAATTTGTTGTGCTTGTTCCACGTCGAGTATCTGACAACCATCCGTGCCCCGTTTCGTCAAAGCATCCCGTTTATCCTAGGTGAAGAGCTTCACGCTGCTTGCGCTTTGTGTCTCTCTGCATAGCCTGCATTTCTGTGCTGTTTCTTAGCCAAAATACTTGAAGCCATGCTTGCCATTCCCACGTCTATCCAAGGGACCCAAGCGGCACTCGAGATTTCGTTCGGCAAAACCACTTGATGCCACTAGCAAGTGGTTTAACGGAATCCTGACTCATAATACTTAGAGCGTGTTCGCTACGCAGCTGGAGATGGATATCTGCAGGGAGTTGGTGCATCTCCATCTCCACGCATCTAGGTAAAATTACCCAATCACAGTGCGACTCGCTCTCCTTCTCCTTACTTTGCTGTTCTTCGTCGGCCGAGAACACTGTGCCCGAGACACCGGACGCGTGGCAAGATGGACCAAGCTGCCGATGACGCTCCGAGAGCTGCGCCTCCGTTCCCGTCAGCCAGTGGCGACCTCGTGCTGGCTGCTGCCAGTTTGGACATACCTGTCTCTGATGTTGCTCTTGCCCAGACTGTGTATGCGACACCGGCCACTACTCAAACGGAGCTGGATGCCCGCACTTCCTCGCTGGCGCTGCCGCATTCAGAGACACCCAGCCAGCTTTTTGCGCTCGGAGTTGTAGCTGCGTCAGCCCGCAACCAACACTCACATCGCCGCGTTGGGAATCAGAAGAACAAGGCCAATACTGGTGAAACGTCTATCGCTACGAAGCAACCCTCCTTTGCGTGGACGACTGCAGCAGCTGATGCCCTGCTGCGGGTTGTTTTGACACGGCTGCAACTTTCTTCTCAAAGCTATGCTGCCGTACTTTGGCAGCAGCAAACAGAACACCTTGATCTCGTAGTAAACCAGCAATACGTAGAAAAGTTGGCTTGGTGCAGCGAAGATTGTCTTCAAACCAACTTGCATACGCGGCTGACTGTAGCATGGGCAGCTGCGGCTGAACTGCCTCAATCTCCAGCTACTTTCTCCTTCTCCAGCTCCCAGAGTTGGAGAAGGAGACGGGGTAATTCTCCAGTTGTCACGTTGTGAACTAAACTTTTTTGACCAATCAAAAGACAAGAAATAGAGTTGATGAGAGGTCATCTCCATCTCCAGCTACCTAGCGAACACGCTCTTAGGTTGACACGGGTTTCTGTGTTGGCCCCCTCGTAAAGAAACGAGCTCTCGGAAATGGCCAAGCTCAGGTCACGAGCATTTTGTATCAATAACCCTACGATCACTTGAAGGTTTGCGAATGCACAGTGTGTAACACGGAGTGTGCTGTTCTGATTCATGTTGTCGATCGTCAGAAGCGTCTTGCTTTTTGGCTGCATGCATTTACAGTATACCGTAACTTACAGTACTGGATCATGGATGCATCATAATATATTGTATGAAACCTTTGACTGCGAGACTCTGTGTGTGCTTCTTTCTAACAGTACTTGTAGCCTTCTCCATTTCACTTTTCAGAAACACTGCATGTACTGTACAGTCGATTTTTGCTGTAAACTTAAATTGTTATCAAGTAGCTAGGAAAAATATGCACGCCATTAAATTAACTGGATAGATGTCCAAGCGTTGCACCACAGCGAGACACAGGGAATATAGTGCAATTCAAGTACCCCCCCCCCGCCTCACGGATTTCTAGAAGTTTTTTAAAACTTTAAGCTACGAGTAACTTCGACGAAACCTTTTGCGACCACCGAGAAGCAACTGAGCCCACGGGATAAATAATTGCTGTGAAGCTCGCTCTCGCATGGTGCCCATCGATCGTACGCGGCATCAATCCATTTCTCATCGATCTCCGTAAGCTTCACACAGTACCCACCATGTCTGACCCACTTGACGTCACGGTTTTGCTCAATAGAGCGATAGCGATCGTTCACGCAACGACAATGCGGAATCGGATGGAGCGCTTTCCGTCGGCTTCAATCGCCTGGACGCGTTGGGCAAGCTGGACGTATCGCAGCCAAACGCACACCCCGTGTGCATTTGGCCTGGAATGTCGCACACCATCACGTGTGTATCCTCGTCGAGGGGACCGGCTTTTCATCGAGTAATCGTGGCGGCTCGTCAAGGACCGCAAAAAAAAGGGTGGCTCGTCGAGGATTTGTATAGCAGAGTAGGTTCATCAAGGCATTATGACGGAAGTTCGCCAATGAGGATTTCGGTCGTCCATCAAGTTGCTTTACCACATTGCTAGGCGAACATCGCCGTACTGCTGTTGACGTTCAGCCTGCATGATCTTTGGCCAAATTTGCTTGTACGAGTGTTTCGCGGATGTGCGGGAGGTCTACGCCACCCGTCAAACGGAGGAGCCCGAACCTGAAGCTGCCAAGTGCGTTGATGCAGTACCTCTTCAAGAGCTTGTAAGCCCAACCTGCTTTTCGTCCGACCCGCATACACTACGGCCGCGCCAGACAGATTGTATTTAATAATGACGCAACATTCAACAACTTGTATCTGTAAGCTTACTGCTACGAATCGATGTTGCAACCGTAAAAGGAGTTGCCCATATTGTCGTCCTGATAGTTAGTTGAACTCGAGCGCGTCACCGAGACGCGATTTGCATGAGTAGCTCTGAGACCGTGCGACTTTGCATTAGCAGCGAGGTCCAACAGCGCAGCACCGTGAAGGCAGTCTGGCTGGTCTTCCCATGCGGACTGTACTGCAAGACCAAGCACCTGCTGACCGAGCCAAGCCCCGAGGCGCTTGTCGCGGTCAGCCGCCCACCTTATTCTCGTTGTTCACATCAGCACTGCGTCCGTAGCCGTTGTCGCGGCCTTCGAGCTACCCAACTATCGAGCGGTATTGGCTTAGCCGCTTAGGATACGACCTGCCTATCATGGATATCGACAACATAACAACACACTTCTCCAACGAGCCATCACATTTGGATACCACGTCAGTAGTCAGTTATACTTGGCGAGAAAACTGGCACGCATTGGGCTTGTCGCCAATTATACCGCTGGGCATCGCAGCAGCATTAATTATCGTCTCCCAGCAAAGAATAAAAGCGCAACGTACGGTGTATGTCGAACAGTAGTCCGATATGCTTGATAACTACCGGCAAGATTCATGGAATGGTATTGTGATACATGTAGATAAGTTTTGCTGTGAGCGGCAGTCTACCGAATTGCAGTGTACAACAGAGAACTATGACACCTGAACGTCAAGTACATGCGTGGAAGGCAACCAACGCTGCATCCTGCAGCTTAATTCGCCGTCACGCATCGCGAGAAGGGTACATTCGACGGTGGAGTCGTTTAGGCCAGCCTGGTACCCGCAGCAACAACGGAAATGGTATTATATAACGGGGCTGAGGGGCAATATTTCGTACTGAGCCTAGCTGTATGTCCAGGGCGGTTTTGTTCTAGCACGCACAGTCTAAAAGTTGCTCCCACCGCGATCCCCCGCCTTCATTCGATGCCGAGGAGATGATGAGTGGCATTCCTTGTCACGAGTCGCGACCGAAAGGTCCAGCGTAAAACAGGAAAAGTTTCAATATGTATTGCTCGGTGGCTACTTGTTAGAGTAACCTCAATGTTATTTTTATTGTAGTAGCTTGGAATGCCTCCTAGCCTGCATACAATCGATTACAAAGGCACCGTTATTGTCGGCACAGCAGATTTAAACGAGCACTTCGAAGGTTCATCAGTTAGGAAGTGGGACCCCCGCTGGGAGCGGTTTACACCGCTGATGGTTGCTACCAGCCCCACTGTACATGTACGCGTTGCTTGCGCTTTGGGCTGTACCTGTTAGGGCCTGCTTTCCATGCACTTGTAGGCGATGGCAATGGCAGGCCAGCAAATCTCTTCCTTGGCAACCCTGTGATACAAGTAGATCCAACGCGCAGCTCCGCTCTAAGCGGAGTTGGCCTGATAAGCGGACTCCGCTTATCAGGCCTAGGCCAATGTACATTCGCGCGACTGCGTTGACGTCGACGAGATGGAGCACATTCTGCGCTGGTGTGCGACTACAGCGAATATTTGCGGTTTACACTTGGTCTCTGATCGCTGCGCAGTCGTCACTGAGATTTTACCTGATGTCCACGCAGAGACTGCACGACACCAAGAGCTACATCTCAAAGTCTCACCTGGTATGCATGTAGCCCATCGGGCAATGAACAAGTCTAGCAATTTGTGCAGATGATCTTTTTGACTCGATTTATGGCCGATTATAGAAACGCCCTTGATGAACCACCGTTTTCAAATCGCCTTGACGAACCGCCTCGTTTTCCTTGATGAAAAGCCCCACCCCTCGTCGAGTTCTTGCAGCACTTGGGTGGTGACTTCTCCTCGCTGGGAGTGGCTCCAGTTCGGAGGCGTGACAAGGAGTGGCCAGGTGTTGATATCTGCATTTGTGACCGTCGTGTCGGCTACGAACAGTGAGCACTGAATGCGAGTTGTGAGTCGAGCTTGCAGCATTTCCTGCTTATTCTCCGTCAAACTTGATGCACGGTGAGCCGTCCAGCCGAACGTGGTTGGGGAAGTAGATGCGCCAGCCAGAGCTCGTTCCGCTGTGCAGTGTGTGTCAAGCGCAACGACTTTCCTGAAACTCGGACGCTCTGCGCCCAGATTTTGGCTGTCGAGGGAGGGGTGGCGCTCTCCATCGCCGCCCCACACGTACGAGACACGAAGCACTCAAACTGACGAACTTTAAGCTGCAGGTATAGGTTGTCAGCTCGAAGCGCTTCACTTTCGAGAGCGAGCTGGCACATTGCGCGGTTGTGCTCCAACGCCGAGCTCTCTGGAGCGGTCAGACGTCGCTTGACTTCCATCTCCAGGTGTTCGCGCTCGATGCGCAGCTGCATGAGCTCGTTCTTCTTACGCGCACGGAACCGCAGCGAGTTGTTGAGGCGCTTCTGGCGTCTCCACTCGTCCTGCACTTGGGATTTCCAAGCCTCTGTCGTCTCTGCGGCCCAGTTCTGGAGCGAGCCCGCCGCTATCACGTTGGTGGCTGAACAACTTAGCGTAGGCATGACACACCGCTGTGATGTTGGAAGTTTGGAAAAATGTATACTAAGGTACGGTGCTACTTGTGTGCCTTAATGTAATCCCGCTCACTGTTTTGCTCATAACTTTTTATTGGGCAATTAGTTTTGAGATGTAAACGCATATTTGAAGAGAGCGCAATCTCTTCTGTTAGCAGACTGTTTTACTGAGCTCTACAGTAAACGAGAGCTCAATTAGGAGTTGCTGACTATTTGCAAACCCATTCACGGCAGGACCAGTTATCTGCCGCATTTTATCTGTGGTTTTGTAAGGGGGACAAATCTCTTTTTGCTCTCATGACAGCACCGAAACAACCTGTACAAAATGATTTGCACCCATTTGAAATCGTATAAGACAGGATATACGATATCACAATATGGTACACAATATTATGTGATTTGTGTATAAATATAGTATGATTTGTGCTCAGAGGCAGCGCTGCCATAGCTTAGTGGTAAAGTCCTCGGATCATAACCGAGAGGACGGTGGTTCGATTCCACCTGGCAGCATTAACTCAACCAAAACACTAGTGGGCTAACTGTCAATTAGAGCATTAGGGGGCTGCCACAGAACTGCGAAAGCGACCGACGGCTGCCACCGAGTGAACGGATTGACCGCCAGTATGCTAAGAACCATGAGTCGGGTTCCCCTTCTGATAACAGTTTGAGATCGTCAAATCTCAAAAACCGGACATCACAGCGGGCCCAGGCGTACAGAGGGATATCGTATCACTATAGAAAGTAGGAAATAAACAACAAAAACAATGAAGACAATGTGGTGGAAAATGCCCCAGCAAAAACTTTTTTCTTTGGTTATACTAAACTATCGCCTCCCAAACAACTTTCTCCTGCTGGTTTGCCTCACCGTGCTTCGACGCAGACTGGAACTGCAGCTGCACAGGCTCCGGCACCGGAGACGGTACCCTCTTCATCTTCGTCGCCTTCGTTGCCATCGGATGCTACTTCGTCTTGGCTGCCTTCTTGGGCTTCTTCATCGGTTGTGCCATCGCTTCCAGTGTTTCCTTGGTCAAAAGACGACCGGTGACCGTTGCTGTCTTGCGCACCCGCTTCTTGGACAGCGGTAGCACGAGCACCTCCTTCTGCACGACCTCCTTGATCCGGAGCCACGCTGCCAGCTTCGTAGATGCGGGGGTCCCGTTGCGCCGGAAATTGTCGATGCACATGTCCATACGAGGCTTGGATGGAGGGAAAAGGCCTCACCCAGCAAACCCCGCTTTAACGTTCTCACCCATCTTGCATCCTACCCATGCTGCGCTTGCCATCCGGATGGCTTCCTCTTTGTCGACCGAATTGCGTCCAGTCTCGCCAACGTAGATCTCGGTTAGGCGGCGTAGCTTCGCCTTGAACGACGAAAACACAGCGACATCCAGTGGTTGAAGCAGGTGGGTCGCGTTCGAAGGCAGCAACAACAGAAGCACGCCAAGCCGAGCTGCCTCTAAGATGATCTCCACGGAGTAATGAGACGAACCCCATCCAGAATCAGGAGAAGAGGTCGCTGCACGTCCTTGGGCACGCTAGCCGAAAAAAAGTGCAGCCACTCAAGAAAGAGAAATCCATTCATGAACCCGGAGCTCGAGGTGGTGACGGCAGCTCCGGGTATGGGGCAGCCATCTAGAACTTCGAGCTTGACTGTCAACCCCGGCAGCACGAAAAGCGGCGACACCATGCACCCCGACGCGCTGCCACACGCGACCAGCGTGAGGTGAAAATTGAGCGCAACGTCTTGGTGCCAAACGTTCTTGGAGCCTCGAACCGCCACGATACGCTTAGAGCCCTTGTTGGTCTGAAACGCTGTTTCGTCCATGTTGAACACGCGAGACGCGCCCAAACGATTCTCGACCACAGCCTTGATCAACGAAAAAACCGCTCGAGATCGCTCTTGGTCACAGCGTTGCGGGCCTTGCATACCGCCTGAGACGTTCGGGTTGCCAGCATCGGGTGTCGCCCCATGAAGCGGCGGTACCACCCGCCACCAACCGTTTGACCAGTGGCCATGGAGCTCATGGTGCCGGCTTTGAAGATGATCTCCTTGCGACTTGCGGGGTGACCGACCAGTTGGCGCCCGACAATCCACTCGACCAACCATGCCTCCGCTGGTTGCGAGAGCAGCGGAGCCGGGCCATGACGAACTGGTGCGCGGAAGACGCCCATTTTCCCCTTCGCGACCCATTTCGTAAGGGTCCGATACGGAATTGGGGTGCTGTCGCTGACACTGTGGGCGCTGTCGCCGGCGAGGACGCGCTTCACTTCAGAATTGAGGTCTTCGATCTCGTACGCGGGCATTGTCGAGGTGGTCGCTGCGGGGTTGGTGGGTGGTTTGTAGGCTTCATGAAATAGGAGACTGAGCTCAAACTGGCGGGAAATGTGTCTTGTTCGTATACAGTTTGGCGGGTTTTACTGGCTGATAGCGCTTACAGACTTTTTACCAATAGGGTTCTTTAAAAATACTTACGGCATTCTAATTGGTTGAAGCTAAAGTGGCACGGAACTGGCAGATTGCACGCGACTGGCACCGTACCTTAGTACTGGTTAGCGGGTAGAGCGACGGTGAGGTCCAATCTTCGGTCACTAGCCCACCTGGTTCAGTGGATGAGTATCATGAGAAGATACGAGCGGATTCGTCCTGCTGTAGGTTGCTATATGTATTTTACCTTGGCCCCGTCATCAGGTAAGCCCAGATCGCCTCATCTCGAGTGGAAGATCACGATGTACTTCGTAGTATACCGTGCTACCGAAACGTGGCGCTAGAAGCTGGAGACGCCGACGAGATATTTGGTTTACGGTAAAAAACGCCTTGCAACGAGCATCAAGTGCTCTCACATTACAACACGCTGGTGCAGTTGCGGTAGAATTTTCAAAGCCAGTTTAGGTTCGTTCTCGGTTTCGATAGTACCCAGGCGAATACGTATCACGCACATTTGAGAGTACTCCAGCTGGGCTTAGGCGCTATCCGATAGACTCATTGAGTTTGAAGGCAAAACGTGCGCGGTGAGTTATAGCCATCGGATGGCGATTTTAACCCCTTGGTTCCCGGGATTTAGGCACCGAAACACGTAATCTACGGTACTGTATGTCGTAACTTACGACGAAAAAAGTAACTAAGAGTTTGTATTGGCGCGCCCTGTCCGTAACAAGAGAAGCCCCATCAGACATATAAGATTGTAGAGATCTATGGGGGGAAGTTCCCCCCATAGATCCCCCGGGGAACTTACGACATAAGAGTCGAAAACGACGTGAAGTACGCCGGAACTTACGACATTGAACGTAGACCGAGTGCATACTAATCCCAGATGGTGGATCAATCGGATTGGTGAACTACACAAAACATCCATCTTTCGCGGTGTTGATAGATGACTGCGAGGTTGTAATCACCAAATCATCAATATATAGCCAATCAAAACATTTTCCCTCTCACTTATGCACAGGTCAGGTAATGGGGAACCATATCCCATTCAAGAAAAATGGGTAATCGCTACAACCAACAAAGGGGTACTTGGAGTGCTGACTTACTTTGTATGTCAGTGCTAAAGCAGCTCTATAACCGTAGCAGCAGCTTCACTTTTTCGCTTTGTTTGTCAGCTTTACGATATCTGCCCAACAGCTCGCCCATTTCTATAGAGTGTTGTTGCCGAGGCAACGGCCTACACCGCCGGCTTTTCTCAATCCGGAACACTGAAGCAATACCGAAATTGCTTCGTTTTACCGTTCCTAGAAAAAGCTTAAGCCTACCACGGTTATTCTAGTTCGCAGCAGGTATATTGATGCTGCTCTCGAGGGTGACCGCACCGGTAGCGGCACTCGGGCTTCGCGTACTATAGAAATCGCCTCGTACACGGAGACTGTCAAAGCAGCCGAAGAGGATCTCTATACGCACAAATAAGGCGTTATGGTCGGATTGACCAGTTGATGACACGCGTACGAGCCAGACCTCCGTCGTTCTCGGCGATACCGAAGTATACGTCGTGCTTAAGTTGGTTAGTAGTAGGATACTCTCGTCATCTTAGTTTAGTTATTGGGAGAGGTCCTTGTGGGATATACGCACGATCAAGGTTATTTACGCACTACTCCATGCCCTTGTTTCAATCCGGCATTTACGTGGCGCGAAATACGCTGCAACATTGTCGCTGCCAAAACCAGCTACACCGTACAGTTGTTATAAGGCTGCAAATAAATATTTCTTCGTGTTAGAAGTCTCGGCAGACATAGTCTACTTCCGGTTATACTTACTTTGTATATTCGGCACCTAAACTCGAGGAAATAGCAGCAACAGCCCTTGGAGAGTTATTTAGACGCCATTCCATTTATGGTTTTTATCATTTACTTGTTTATTGTGTGTACGGGCGTTTAGAAGCTATTCTACGAGCTCGTGGGAGCTCTTGACAGCCGCATACGCCGTACTCTCCCCTTCAAGGTCGCTGTTGTGTTTGCTTGAAAGTGGGTACACGCGCAAACCTTAAAAGGGGATGCTCGTCTTTCTCTATACAAAATGCCCCATTAGCCAGCCCCGGCTTATGCAGCTCTGTATCCGTGTTTTTGTGCAATTCTGATTTTTACCTCTCTGGCTTATACTTTTGCCGACGAAAATAGACTTGACTAAAGTATTGCAATCTCGTTTCGAGCCAAATGCTATTGTTAATCGAGCTATGTCGTATTATACGACATTGAGATTCGGCAAAGTCGTAACTTACGGCGTCGGGAACCAAGGGGTTAATGAATCTCTGACGACAGTTTTTAAAGCCGAGGCGAAGTTTTATCAATAGAAACGACTCATTACCGCCCAATTGCAGACGCTTGGTGGCAGTCCTCATGGCTGCATCAACGACTGAAGTCATGCCAAAGACCCTCACAACTAAATGGCTTAAATTATCCGCCACGCATACAAGAAAAACATGTCGTAGAAAACTTAAAATTCACCACACCAGATGATCTATTGAACGTTTTCTCTCTAAACAAGCTGCTTATTCATTCCGAGCTGGAAGTTGAGGAGCACTCGGAGGAATTTTCCACCGCGCTCAGCGCCAATTCCCAGACCGACTTCTCCTTCGCCTCAATTATACACTCCAAGCAAAACCGAAGAGCGCACTGCTTCACAGATCCAGTGCTGGACACGTCCACAGTCATCTTCTTGACCACACTGCACTTGCCACAAACCACGCGACGGCAAATGTGGCATGGGATACCGGACCCCACCCCAGCGAGCGCAAACTTAGAGAAGCTCTTGTCACAGGTCTCACAGCGACTGGGCCGAGGAAATCCCCCAGACTCGGACTGTGTCGAGGCGCCCTTGTGCTTGATGAGCCACGTGAGCTTCTTGATGTACGCGTAGTCGATGACCCCCGCGGCGGAGATGAGCGAGTCTGCAGTGATGGCAACATTCACTTGGTCGATCATCTCGCCGGCGGGGTCACTGAAGCCGCGGCAGTAAATCTCGACTTTGCCTGGGTCATTCTGTCGGTCGATGAAACACAGACTCATCTGTCCGCGGACGATACCCAACTCTGAGAGCTCCGGGACTTCCGGCAGTGAGACCGAGTGCAATATATAGTAGCCGACTGTGTCGCCCCTCGAGTCGCGCGTGAGTCCGGTGGCCTCCAGCATGAGGTAGTCTCGCTGCTGGACGATACCTGACAGCACGGCCGGGATCTCCTTAGCGAACCACTTGATGCCGAGAAACCGGAAGGGGTCCTTTCGTGTGGGTCCTCGGATAGTTGATAGTACTCGGGCGTCGTCGAGACGGTCGTTCAGATGGGAGCTGCGCCACATCCAGGCTTGGTTGGTAGGTGCGAAGGTGCCGTACATGCAGTCGGCCAGGTTTCCCTCTACCGAGCCGTGCAGGACCATTAACGACACGTTTGGAGTCTTCATCTGGTCCTGAATACTCATCGGTAGTAGCCATCCCCCAGTGCATGTCACTTGCTGCACGACCACGGCCACGACGCTTGAAGGACAAAGACAAACTCTGGCTCTGAGGCGTTGACGGACGTTGAAGTTTCGACGACACTCTGGTGGTCCGAGTCGCCGATCGTCGTTGACGGTACACACTTAGTCCTTCCTTCGAGCGCACGAGCTTTCAGCGCTTATCTCGAAAAGTAGCTCCACCCGCTAGAAACTCTTCATTCGCAGCGATTGTCTGGCGTACGACGGTCTCCGCTTCCTCGATCAGCGCAGCCTGCTTCTCTCTGGACAAATTCACTGCCGGGAAGGTATCTTCAGGCAGCGTGAACTTCATCGCCTCCTTCTGGTTCGGCCCTCGAAGTTACAGCTCGAGCGTCAAAAGGAGAGTGGCTGGCCATCTAGTTGAGAGCCACCCATGGGGCTAGCTGCCATCTATCCAGAGCGCTTCAAAGCTTGCATTTATCTCACTTGTGCGTTTTCCAGAACCATTCGAACCGTAATACAGGAGAGGGGTCGTACAGTCCCCAGAAATGCACGTGGCATTCTCCAGAGAGCCACTCGAGCCTTCGGGGAAACCACTTGCTAAGGGTTTTAAAGGGATCAAGGGTTAAGAAGCAAGTGGTTTGGCAGAAGTCCCGACTTGCAGCGTTAGGGTAAACTGACAGTTGGGGCGCAATTTCTCACGTGACACTTGTGGATTGCCGCTAAAGCGAGATCTCCAGGCTTTGATGCGCGTGACAAAAGCGCGCTTTACAGTAACCCTTCGCGACTTGACGCCGTCAAACTGACGGTGAGGGCGGAATGCACTTGCAGTAAGCCGACTGCAATCGAGTTGCAGACCTCCATGACTCCACTGCTGCCGGTTTAACGGGTTTTACTCCAAAAGTGATTTGGTGCACTTCAACGTGAAAACCCTTGAACACGCTCGGGACTTGGATACAGCGCGTTCTTTTATTACAGGAATTCACAGTACCAATCCAATTGGTAGTTGCTGCTTGCAGTACTTTGTGTCAGCCAGAACTGGAGTATGTGTGGTAATTCCTGGCCGTTATTTGATACTTCTAGTTGCCATTGCACACATTGCCTCGAACAGTTCAAAAACTGCATCGCCGACTGCATTAAATAGAAGGTTGGCAGTCGACGGAAGAGAGATGACGATCAGAGCTCCAACTCTGAACGGTTCATGTAAAATGCAGCTTCTACAAGAGAAGCAAGGTCTCTTTATTGCATCTAAGTAGCTCACGCCTCTAGCAATCTATCGTCGTCGGGCGCGATGGCGGCTCTAAAGTTGCTTCCTATCCTAGTAAACCCCTATTGGGGTGTATGTAGGTACGTCGTAATCGAGGCACAGCAGTGCCACGATTAATACCAAGCGACCGCGATAACGGTTGCCACTGGTTGGCCTACCCGAGTGTCGCTCGCCCCGAGTCGGAGACTGACGAGCACTCGGACGCGGAGTCCACTCCACTTGTGATCACTTCCCACACGGACTGCTCCTTGGCCTTGAGCAGACAGTTGAGGCAGAAGCGGAGAGCGCAGCGCTTCACCGAGCCAGTCTCGGACACGTCCACGGTCATCTTCTTAACCACGCTGCACTTGCCGCACATCATGCGGCTGCAGAGGTGGCACGGGTTACCGGGGCCCGCGCCACCACCCAACGCAAACTTGGTGAAGTTCTTGGTGCAGGCCTCACAGCATGGAGAACGCGCGGAGTTGTCGCCGCGCCCAGCCGTTCCTTGCTGCAAGACGCCCTTCTCCTTCATGAGCCACGTGAGCTTCCTGACGTACCCGTAGTCGATCACATTGGCAGCCGAGAGGATGGAGTCTGCGAAGATGGAGGTGTTCACGCGGTCAATCATATCGCCCGCAGGGTCGCTGAAGGACCGGCAGTACAGCTCGACCTTGCCAGGCCCGCCTTGTCGGTCGATGAAGCACAAGCTCAGCTGGCCACGGATGATGCCGTGGTCCTTGAACTCCGGGAAGCCCGGCAGCGGGACCGAGTGTAGCATGTAGTAGCCGACTGTTTCGCCCCTCGAGTCCTTTGTGAGTCCACTGGACTCCATAAGGATGTAGTCGCGCTGCTGGACGATGCCGGAGAGCACGGCCGGGATCTCCTTGGCGAACCACTTGATGTTGAGAGCCCGGAAAGGGTCCTTCTTGGTCGGCCGCCGGATGCTGGCCAAAATGCGCGCGTCGTTGAAATGGTCCTTAATGTGCGAGCTGCGCCAGATCCAGGCCTGGTTCGTGGGCACGAAAGTGCCCAGCATACAGTCGCCCAGACTGCCGTCGACGGTGCCGAAGAGGACCAGCATGGACACTCCGGGACGCTTCATCTTCTCCTGAATCGTGTCTCCAGTGGCGCTGGACAGCGACGTCTCGCCGTCGCTGCTGGACCACGGGGTGTCGCTACCTCGACGCTTGAACGACCAAGAGGAGTTGCTGCTGTGGTTCTGTGCTGTTCTCTGGGCTTTCGACTCCTTGGACCGAGATCGACGCTCGCAGTAGACGCTCAGCCCCTCCTTCACGCGCACCATCTTCCATTTCGGGTCTCGGAAAGTCGCGCCACCTGCCAGGAACTCCTCGTTGGCTGCCAGCGTCTCGCGCACGACGGTATCCGATTCTTCGATGAACGCGGCCTGCTGCTCCTTGGTCAGAGTCACAGCCGGAAGCGCGTCCCTAGGCAATGTGAACTTCATGGCCTTCCTTCTTCCTCCCTGTGTCACGGACTTCCGGCTTGAGCGCTAAAGCGATTGTGTCCCTCCACGGCACGCGGTTGCCCGCACCGGTTGGCGCCAGTTTGTTAGTGCTCGGGCTGGGGATCCATAACAAGGACGCACAACTGTCTGTGATTTGGCTCAAAAAGAGCTTTGTGCGTCGTTGCCCGCCATCCAACGCAGGATCTCTACCCCCATTTCGACAATGCGGCACTTTGCAATGCCCGAACGATGTTCACCTGGATGGGGTTACGAATCCGTCGCGAGGAATCCCCTCTCAGCAGGACGAGAAGCACCTCCACATACATGTACATGTAGAACATGCAGCTTGCTGATAGCATTGTAGACTATTTAATAAATGCTACTGTTCACGTAAGTTACATATTACGTTTCAGATGCAACAAGTCGGCTGCTGCCTGGGATGGTGGCGGTACCCTCCGCTTTTACAGGAGCACGCCATAACAGTTCCTTTACCTTTTCTAAGCGTTGGGATACGGTATAGAGCGATTCACTCGAAGCGGTAAAACGGATAACCTGAGAAAAACTATGGGATGCAATGTCCATTTTAGGTTGTACGTTTGTCACGGAGGAACTGTAACAATGCATTCACTGTGGTCCCGCATACTCTTTATTGTCGCGCAAACGTTTCGTCTATCCAACCTTCAGCACAACCACATGATTCACATGTCAAGAAGCAGACGGTTTAGCAGAGCGGCAGACCTTGCCCCAAAAACTTTTACTTCAGAAGTGTAAGTACGGTGTGATCTGCGCTGAGCACTTTTACAACTAGCCGAGCGCCGCCGCTACGCGGCGGGGATTTTTAGTTAGTTGGCGCTTCACTCGCTATGCTCGCTCCGCTATTGGAGCAGACTGCCTACGCTTCGCTACGGCAGGGCGGACCCGTTCCGCTCGCCTCGTCGGCTCGCTGCACTACTCTCAATGTTAGGTTAGTACTACAGAGGCCGGGGCGGGTCCTGCGGCCCCGCAATATCGTATGAGGGGGTCGCCTTCGGCGACGGAGCCACCTTCGCTTCGCTCGGCAGCTAATCGGAATTAGTAGGAATCGTACTTAGTGAATAAGCGTGACGATTTTGTGACGGACGGACAGCGCGTCTTTCTGATTGATTCTTAGGATTAGCTTCTAGCATGGACAGCGAATACGTTATCTTAAACTATGCCTTGCGAGTTTTACATCATACGGGGTTGAACCCCCAGTTGCGACAGCGGGTCCGTTCGCCGGAATGCTCGTCGCTGGGCCCGCCTACGCAAATACCGCGCGGCCCTGCTTCGCGGGCACCCCGCGCGGGTTTGCTGCGGCTACGCTCCTTGCAATCGCTCACTACCGCATTTAGTGCTGACTTTTAGGCTTGATTCGCTGGTCGTTACCTTAGATAATAGTAGGTTAAATGTACTCAATCTTATCTCAAGACAGCAGTGCGCGTCTCCGGGAGCAGGCAGCCGACCAAACCACAACAAAGTCAATCTCACCTCAACCTTGAAACGAAAAAAAAAAGCTGACTATTCGGCATGGTTGGGGCGAGAGTCTGCAAATTCTTATTGGGGCAAAGCCGCTATCACACTCGCAAATTTATCCGTAGAACCCCCCCTATAATGAAATACACACTAGACTTCTTACGCTTATTTACTATTGTGCCTTGCATGCTTTCTGTCTAAACAACGACGTAATTCGTTGTTTTCGCAAATCACGGTGATTATAATAGCCCATCATTGAGTTAGGAGGCTAACTCGTCGATTTAAGATAGAATAGCTGCTAAGACAACGAGTTAACGTTGAGTTATGCTCACTTTCGTTGAATGGCTGGAGTAAATCCGACAATACTACGGCCCTGACATTCTAATTCTAACTCGCTCGCTTTGTCTGATTGCTTTCTAGTCGATGATTGACATGCGTTGGCGATCTATCGTACTAAACTACGTCTACAATATTGAAGAACATCCCTGTTTTTATATCGAGGAGCTGCAAGCAGCTTTAAAGCCAGCGTTTCCTGCACCACCAAACATTTCTAGTAGAAATTTTCTACTGCTACTATATGCCGTGCTCTGAAATTCGAGCTTGGTTTAACGCCACGACGAAGAGAGCGAAAGAAAACGTCCCCGCCGAAATCGGTGCTTACTATTATGGCGCCATTCTATCGGGGACCTTATCAGTTTGTTTTCTTGGCAACCGCTCGGTTGATTTGCTTAACTTTAACTTAGAGTTAGGCTGCGAGTTGACTTGCTTAACCCTTTCGCTGTAAAAGGATACAGTAGTGTATTTGGTTAACGTCGTCGCCGAAGATAAGTGTAAAGTTCGAGCAACATTAGAGCACCATTCTAGTAACATATGAAAGGGCGTTTGATAAAACTGCTCGCAGCACCACGCCGACAATGGAGATGTCGAAGCCATCGTGGACTTGATGGAGAGTGAGTTGGGGCCTTCTTCTAGAAAACAAGATTCTTCAGCCCGTGCGAAATTCAACACCTTCTTGAAAAAATGCATAGACACCAACCTAACTATGGAGACGCTGAGGGCAGCACAGGTCACTAAGGAAATGCTTGGTGAGCTCCTTACCTTTCTGTTCAATGATCCTGACATCCACTGGCAAACATCGATGAACTATCAAGAGACAACTGGAGGAGAAAATGGGAACGGACCTGTTCCGCAGTGACCCCGAGTGGTATCGGCGTTGCCGACGCCATTTGCAAAAGCAATATCTCATGCTTGCCATCTCGGAAGGCAAAAAGCTGAAGAACCAAGCTCCACCCATGACAATTGATGATCTTCGCTCAATATCAACCATACTATTTCTCAAAGACGATAAGAAGGCGCTACTTGACCGCACTCTTCTTAACAACCAGTGGCTTGCAGTTGGTCGTAGCCCCGACGTAGGAATGCTACACTTTACGGACTTGCACTGGCATGGTAGTTTTCATCTCATTGATCTGACACGGTACGTGCATATACTTTGGCTTTAGCATTGTAATAAGTAATTGACCTGTGTGCTGCTTCAATAGCATCAAGGTGCAGTAGCAACAGACTATCTCAATTTTTTGCTCTCCGATTTGCTGGAGCTCGATACCTTTCACACGTTGGCTTCTCAGCTGGTTGCTGACCCATACAATGCCTCGCCGCGTGTGTTCTCTCGCAAGTGACTGAAGCTACAACAGACGAGCGTGTGGCTGCATACATTAATCGAGTGTTAGAATCGGTGTATCAGTACGACACAAAGCGAGAGCTGACGCAAAGCCTACAGTCACACTCAGCGCGTCGAGGTGGCGCAGCGCATGCAAGCTCCAACGCTAGCGTCAACCTGGCTGATTTGGCCCACCGGGGGCTCTGGTCCATGGATGGATTTGCTACCTTACTCGAATACATATCGCCGACGGCGGCTAGCGACCAGAACGTTGCAAAGGTGCTCGGAGGGTGGGTGGACACAAAGCAGGCTGGTCACCCGCCTACGCTTGCCTGTTTCGAAAAAGAATCACATCAGACATTCACAAGGGTCAGTACATTTGCTCAAGCACTACGGTTGCTTCACTTCTCCAAGATCGCACCGAAAGGTTTCGCGGACTGTCTTACCGCGACTCTGCTGATGTACTACCGCGACACGCTTGCTGTCGCACCGCAACACATCGTCCACCAAGAACTGGAGCGGGTACATTCCACTCTACACTCGCAGCTTGAATGTCAGGATGAGCTGCTTGACTGGGGAAGCAAGATTCGCAAACGCTTTGTCACCGACAACATCCTTTCACTTCCGATACAACATGTTAGAGACAGCCTTACAATCCAGGAGCAAGCAGAGCAGTTTGTTGGATTCCATACCTTTGCCGAAACGCTGGAACGGCTACTCATAGGACACCAGCAGCTGGTGACCTCCAATGAGGAGCTCAGGAGCATGCTACATCTTGTGCTTCGACGGCTTGATCGTCAACCAGAAGGCAACGCTTCCTCCACCAATGCGACGGAAGGTAGTCCAGATGCTGAAGTTTCTGGCGGATTCTCGTTGCGATCCCCTCAGCTTGGTAAGGCGTGGCCCACTAGCTTGACGAAGCTGAAGGGTAGGCATCTCTCCGATGTTCTCGTCCAGTTCTACACAGAAGGCCTGGGTTCTATTCCAAAGGAACGAGGAAATCGCGGGCAGAAGGATTGCCTTCGAGCTGTTAAAATCGTTGCCTACGTTGCCGACTTAGCCAGCATCCCACCAGTTCCTGCATTATCGCGAGAGGTGGACAGGGTTCAATGGGTATCTGCAATGAAAAACATGGCAAGTCAGTGCAAAACAGTGTTAGTCAATGGCTTTACCAAAGCTGCTGATGCAAAAGAAGGACACAGCGCAAGCGCCGTCGCTCTGGAAAACTTACCGGTATAGTCAAAGCCTGGGGTGAGCTAACTGATCAGCAGCGGGCGGCGTTTCGCTCACTACCGCGTATCAGGTTCTTAGCAGCATGAGTGAGATAGTTGGAGGCCTCTTGGTCAAGTTGGGATTACACAATGCATATGTAACTTGAATACACGTCATGCCACCTTCGATACACCAGAACACCACCAGCTTCAACGACATGAGCACCGCCAGATCGGAGTGCACCACGAGCTCCGAAAACAACGCTGCATCCGCGAGCACCACAGACTAATTCCGAGAGCAGCACGAGCTCGGAGTGCCCCACGAGGTCTGACATCAGCAAGATCTCCAGGAGCAGTACGAGCTCCAAGTGCGCCATGAGCTGGGAGAGCAGCACGAGCTCCGAGTGCGACATGAGCTACACGAGCACCACTGAGGCCACGAGCACCACAAGCTCCAAGAACATCGCACGCCCCGTGAGCGCCAACAAGTCCGCGAGCACGACCGAGCCCACGGCCACCACCAGCTACATGAGCCCACCAGCTCCGAGTGTACCTCGATCTCCGAGAGTCCGAGAGCACCGACGAGTTCGCGAGCACCACAGAGTCCACGAGCGAGCTTCGAGATCACCACGAGCACCACTGAGTAACGTCCGCGAGCGCCACCGAGTCCAAGAGCGTCACTAACTGCACGAGCACCACCACGTCCGCGAGCCCCGCAAAACCTCCAGCTCCGAACGCATCACCAGCTATATGAGCACCACCAGCGAGTCTGCGAGCATCAACAACAACATGAGCGCCACGAGTCCACGAGCACACCAACTATAAAGCCACCCACCATCTCCTCAAGCGCCACCGAGTCTGCGAACACCACCGAGCCCGCGAGTGTCCCCACTGTGTGAGCCGCCTCCTCTTCCTTGTTGTGGTCAGTCCCTTCCTATTTTCTTTTTCAGTCAATCCCAGCTTCGGGACGAAGTTACTGGGGGTACGAATATCCAACTATAGTTTATCCAAGTGTACACAAGCCGCCAAATGTAACCACTATCTTCGGCCGAGTTTTGATGTTGTGCAGGGGCCGAAGTTAAGGCAAGGCGAAGATAGGCGATACAGAAAGCGCCCTTTAGATGATTTTCCAAAACACGGTAGAGTGTACCCCCTCTTAAAGGGCGCATCCTGTGCCCTTTTGCACAAGTTCAAGCTAGTAATCAACCTTCTTTTAAAACAAATCATAATCGGTATGCAGAGTAATCATCATGTAATCATTGTCTATACAAATGCTAAGTCATACGCATACACTCTTATGTATCCTGCAAATCACCGTAGATGGCATGTCCCATGAGACACACCGAAAAGGCTCCGTAACTTTGTAAAAGGACGCCTAGAGCGCCCTTTTAGAAGGAAGTATCAATGAGTTGTATACTATAATTTATTGAGGATGCTCGCGAAAGGGTTAACTTTACAGTCCACGACACGATCGAGATGTTTTTTCTAACCCCTACATGTTTTGGTATCACAAAAACCGCCTCGCTTCCCTGATTGCGAAAATGTGCGTCTCACTGTTTAGCACGGCGTCGTTTCCACAGAAACAGCAGTCCAATTTTCCCTGATTTATATAATAACCACCCCTTAATATGTGCGCTGATTATAAATCTGCCTTGCATTTGGGCCAATCATTACCACCCCTATGATTTTTCTCGGCCAATGATAAGGCAGCGGATTAGTCGCAGAGTCATGATCGTAGAGAAATGATACTCTGGACGGATGCTCGCTATCCTCATTCTTCCACCGATAGATCGAAAGGTGACGTACAGGGCTACAAATGTATCGGATCATATTTCTTAGAATCAGTGTCTAGACTTACTTATGGCTATCTAAAATATTAGCTAGTGTAGTACTGCTTTCGTCGCTCTCGGAGCTGTCCGAATCCTCGTTTTCACTGCGGCTATCATAACTTTTGATCTGAGCATTCAGATCCAACAAGTGGGCTCTTGCTTTGTCAATGCAGCCTTGAACAGTTTTCGACGACAAAGTTTTGAAAGCTGTATCAAGCCGACTTCTGACCTGTTGGAATGTAGTATCCTTGGTGTATTGGCGCCCAACTTCTCCCTTTACATTTGCCCACACATACTTGATCGGCTGTAAATCAGAGTAGTGTGGAGGCGTGAACACTACTTCGTGGCCCTTCTTCTTCGCCATAGTCACAATCTCTGGCTCCACGTGCTCAGCAATGTGCCGTGACAACTTTTCCCACATGATCGCCCTTGTATCAGATTCAGCGTAAGGCAAGCCATACAACTTACAAGCAGCCTGCATGTCGGATCTCCGACTCCCTTTTCGGGGGGTGTTGGGCGGCATCTTCTTGTGATATTTTGCGTTATCCATCACGATGCGGCAGTGGTGCAGTTGGCGGTCTTCCAGACAAACGAGCAGCGTTTCAATCCAATTTTTGAAGTAGTCATGATTGAACATCCCGTGATAATCCTTAGTTTGCTTGCCTCCCTCAAAAATGTCAAGCGTCTCCGGCAAAAACTGTGCTTTGTTAGCCTCAGTATGATCGGCATCCGGGAGGTTACGGTCTTTGTCGATAATGGCAGCGATGAAGCAAAATCGGCGACCCTTTTGTTTCTCCTTTATCACGTTGGGGTCCGTCGGGTCATAAAGGGAGTCATTATGACTGGAGTAGTTGTGATGTATGTAACTTTCGTCGAGATAAACCGTTCGAACGCGATCGGCACTTTCACATGCCATCATCTGCACGTAGCTATCGCGCTTAGCTTCGTTTTCAGCTGACAACCGATATGTCGACCCTTTCCGCTTTCCCCGCTTGCAACCACATCGTTTTACGAAGCGTTGGACGGTGCGGAGCGCTGAGGCCGTAGCGGCACTGTCGGTGACGTCGACGACTAACAACTCTTGCTGTATGAGGTGGTGCATGACGTCCTTGGCTACCGCGCGCTCACGAATCGCGCTGCGCTCACGAATAAACTCGCGCACAGACCTCTCCATATCAACAGTCGCCAATATACGGGACGGCTTCTGCTCACGGTTAGATGACGCCGATGCCACGGGTAGAGACCGATACTTGGCAAAGTCATTCCAAATCGGACGGACTGTGTTGGCTGAGCGCGATAACAGACGGCCAACTTTGACTGCGAGTGGCTCTTTCTGACGTAATGACAGCGCCAGACTTCAAGTTGGCTGTGACGATGAGGGCGTCAATACGGTCCAGGAGCGTGAGAGCTCTACCGCGGTTATCTGTTGTGTAAGTTTGAGCTTCTGCGATGATTTCCGCCTCGGCGTCAGGAGTCTCAGTTCGCGCTCTTTTGGAAGGAGGCATCTCGATACCAGCGTGCTTGCTTCGGAGCGGTAAAGTGGCTCAGTTGTCACCGAACTACACAACCCATTTTTTGGTTACGGTAACCCCGATTTATCTGACAAACTGATACTGTAGGCAATATCTAATTTGGCGGGGTACAAGTTTATCCAGTCAAAATAGCCGGATATCATTGGATAATATACAGGTGTGGGTAGGTGACGATAAATGTGCCCTTGCTTCTCTGTCGCAAGACGCGGTCTATCCATAGCTCTTCCAGTATATTATACACAGCACAATCCAAAGCAGCTCTGAAAATTTGGGTCAAATTGCATGTAATCCGGAAAAGTTATAGCAAAAACACCTCTCGATGCTGTCGCGGTCTGTTAACTTAGAGTTAGGCTGCGAGATATGATCACCAGGAAGGATTTGCTCGTTGGTTTAGAGCCCTTAATCGCATGCCAAAGTTCGTGCAAAGCACAATACACCTTACACCCTTTTCCTGGTAGTGCTTCGGTTACGAAGTATGGACAGCCCAACCAGGATTAATTCGATGCACCTGATATGTGGCGCACATGAAGTAAAAGTATACTGAAATCAAGTAAAGTCATTTAATAATCTCAGAAATCGCATGGTTTCTTGAAATTCACGTAAAAGCAGAGGCTTTTTCGGTGGAGTGGCAAACTAGTTCAGTAGGATATTCGTTTCTAGAGCTTAAGAGTAAACGTTAAGTACGAAGGTGCCAGCTCTGAAATGTTTGAATGAAGGAGGAGAGGGTATTTGCCGATAGCGGGCAACCCGGTTTTCTAGTTGCTATGCAAGTAGTTTGTGCAGCAATATTTGATCTATCTACAAAAGCGCGGAGGCTGTTTGGCGCGCTGCGACCAAGATAGAATAATGCTAAAGTCTAATACACATTCAGCAGTATGCGGCTAAGATAGCATGCGCAAAGGCGAGATGATGATGAAGCGAGGCACGGTAGGTAGCGCGGCGACATACCGGTGGTCGCAGGAGGGGAGGGGGGGGGGTGTCTGAGTGTCGGTCCGTTCGGTGGTTCTGCGGCGAGGTGAGTCCAGCTAGTTCGGCACCACAGCAGCGGAATTTTTTACCGTGAGCACGGGGGGGGGGGGGGGTTGGCTGCTGCAGCGACCGAAAAAGCTGAACTGAGGACCGGGACACCGCTCGTAGGTGGTGGTCGTAGGAGCGCTCTGTAGTCCAGATCACTCATCATTTCACCGCGTTTTCATACAACTTTTCTTAGGATTACTCGGAGAAATTAATTTTGTGGCAACGTTGGGTGCCGATGGCCAATCAATATCTAGTATACATCATTCAATGCAAAAATATATTGAAAATACGCGAAGAAATAGCATGAATCTGTAAACCGTCATGCATTTTTACTATTGATCGTACGTGCGCAGCTCAACGCTCATGGATGCGGCCAACCGCCAGGTGTCGGCTTCCAGTCTCGTAGGGCCGTATGGCGCACCTGCACGTGGCGCTCGAGTTCGGCGAGGAGATCACGGAGGATCAGCTCCACGCGCTGTTTAAGAACAACCCGCTGCACTACATCGCTGTGCACATCTGCATCACTTCCGGGGCGCGCCGTGAATAGCACTGGCGCCGCAGATGCTGCGGCTGCGAAGCAGGCGCAGCAGATGCGTATCAAATGTTGGCAAGTTTCTGTTCATTTAACCGAACAATTTTGGTTTGCTTCGACGAAATTGCATATTCAGGCGCACTACCAGCCCAATCCTCTTGTTACAGCCATAAATAGACACATACAGAAAACAGGTTAAGGGATACCATTTTCATTCCCCGTCGGAGGCGATTTCGAGCGAAAATTACCTCGTTTTACGAACACAAATGTTCAACTGACGGCTCTTTACAACAGTAAACCGTGAAAGCTACCTTTTATCAGCGATCTAACAGTAGGGCAAAGTTTTATGTTTTCGTTTTTTGAATTAAGGATCGTTAATGTCACTTAGCTAATACGATCGCTAACGACTACTAAAGACCGGGGGCCCCACCTGTGCAAAGCGTCACTAGGGAGGGGGCTCTCTTGACCAGAGTCTGGTGGGAGAGTCTGAAAATTAGTGCAAAGCGCGACCTCAAGCGAGGTCAGGTGGTTCGTACTCGCCACCCACGAGGTCGGCAGATACAGGACAGGGGCCCTGCACCTCCTGTTGTGCGGCCGTCGGCCGCTGTCCCATGGAGACTTGACTTGAGCGTTGATCGCGTTCGTCCGGCGCGTGCTGAAGGGTGCGTGAGCCTAGGCTCTAACAACATCGGATGACGGCAGCATCCCGAAGGACATCGCCCAAATGCCTCCGTGGAGGCGTGGCTTGAGTGCCTGAACCGCGGTCGCCTGCCGCAAGCTTGAAAGAGTGGGCCTCCCACCACCGTGGCAACGACCCATAGAGTCGCCGCCCTCTTGAAGCGCAATCGCCGTCGTCGCGCGCGAGCTGCTCCTGTGCCGACTCCCGTCGTCGGCCATAGTCACGCGCAAGCCGTCGCTGCAGCCACCATGCTCCTTCCTGGGCTCCCTAGGGAGGATTCCCCTCAGGAAGGCCAAGGGCCCGGAGATCCTTGGAGGGGACCCTTGGCAGACACTTGCTCGCGACCCGTCAAATTCTGGAATAAAGTTTTATGTAACCCAGGTGGCGACCCTTCGTATGACGCACCATGTGATTGCATGCATTAGTGGGCTTTTAGGTAGGCTTTGTGGTCGATGATCGAATGCATTGAAATAGGTCCTTGACGAGGTAGTAATAACTAAACTCAAATGGCTGCATCAGTACGTCTGAATAGTGTTGTCAAAGAGTTTTTACAGACTTCTTACGGCATGCACCCATCCTGGTTGGTCTGATTTGACGGCGTAGTTCATTAAATCAGACTTGCTGTCCCAGCAAATCAGGGTAGGCGTATGCGGAGCGGCGGGTGCCTATCGGCGACTACACCGCAGATGAACAGGGTAAAAGTGTTACTGCCGCGGTAGCGGCCTACCAACGGAGGCGAGCGGTTGCGAGGTCGCGTAGCCACAGCAAACCCGCGCGGGGTGCCAGCGAAGCAGGGCCGCGCGGTATTTGCGGAGGCGGGCCCAGCGCCGAGCATTCCTGCGAACCGAGGACTGTACTAACCAGAATGTTCTATCTCCATGTCGTGAGCGAAGCGAACAGCGGGGGCGCTGAAGGGGCGCCCAGCCAAGCGCAGCGCGGCTGGTAATTGTGAATAGTAGTGCTAAACCTGGCTGTAGATGGTCTGAACTTTTAGTATCTAGAAGTTGCGTTTCCAACTATACAGTGTAACCTCAATTCACCAGTGAGATACTCTTGAATTTGAATTTGTTGCGGTTTAATCGGCAACCTACTCCCGGAGACGCGCACAGCTGCATCTCCACCTACAATGTTCGTACCCCTAGGATACCAAACCGCGGCAGGCGCCGAAAAGAAAAGAAAATATGCAACCTATGCAACACAACTATCCTACCAGTAAGTCAATGACCTAGCCGAAGAGTTTCATCATCGCCAAAGCTCACGGGGGGTTATTGTCGCCATTCTTGGCCTTGCCAGCGCGTTCCTTGTCATGATTGTAGTCCAACCCACTTAGTCGGACACACGGGTTCACCATCGTAGTCGCCGGAGTAGTGTTCCTGCTGCAGTTCGGTTTCGAGCACCTTGCTTCTCAGCGGAGGTCTTGTAGTCGTAGGACCACGATCCCCTGCTGCCCAGTAGCTGCGATAGAATTGTACTCGCACCTTGCCATTCACGCACTGAACGTTGCGCACCTTGATGTTCTTGTGCTTCAGAATTTCACGCCACGCGAGGAGTCCTTGTTTCTTCTTGAGCCCGTCTGCATCAGCTTGCTTCTCTCGTGGTTCATCCGAGCAGAGCTCTGCCGTATTTCCTTGCGAGTCCAACAGTGCTTTCGCGCGCAAATCAACAAAATGTCGTGCTACAGCTCGTTTCGCAGCTTCCTCCGCCATAGCTGTCAGTCGCATCCCCAGCAATGCATTCGTGCGCAGCTCAACTATTATCTGTGCTACGGCTCGTGTTGCAGCCTCCTCCACGATCGCCTTCACAGGCTTGTCCAGTTTCTGCGGCTCCTCCTCCTCATGTTTCCACCTGCGCCTCGTTGTTTGCTCGTGGCTTCGTTCTTGTCCCTGGCAGCTACTCCTACCAGCTATCACATCTCCATCATACGCTTCGCTTGGGAACCAGCACCCACCCTGGAACCACCATGCATGCTCCGATGCATGGTTTACGATTCTTGCGGGACTACGAGCGTCGTAGTGTTGCGGTTCTTCAGCCTCTTCGCCCACCTCCTCACGTCGATTGTGTTTGTAGTACTTGGCCGTGTTCCTACTTGCACTCGTGCTGCCGCTCCAGTCGCGCGCACGCTGATCTTCATTTGCCATGATCCTGGGTCCGTTTCCTCCCCGGTATACTTTAATCAAGATAAAATATCTTTCCAGCCTCCCTAGAGAGTCGCCTGCCCGACCCCCGAGAGTGGCTTTAATCAAGATAAAATATCTTTCCAGCCTCCCTAGAGAGTCGCCTGCCCGACCCCCGAGAGTGGCCCACTTGCGCTCTCCGACGCCAAATCCACTCTCCACCAGTGAGATACTATGCTATCTTAGACAGTCCAACTAGTACTATAACGCTTCTAACAATTATTTAAGTCATGGAAATCTTGCTGACTGTGCATTTGCCTTTCCTTCGTTGCGATATATCGTACCACAGCTATAGATTCTAGATGAGGTTTCTAGATGAGGACATCTTAACTAAAGGGTTAACCCCCCCAAAATCATATGCATCGAAATGAAACCACAATAACATTTATATGGAGCCTGATCGTCCGGCGTATAGAGTTCCCTGGTAAGCACCATATATCACTACGTATCCTAAATTTCACACCCAGAATACGTAGTGTCACGACCGACTGCTCACTCAGGTACCTAGCATGTTATAAGTGCTGTCCAAACGACAGATATGTTGGGATCGAAGCATAACTAACTCATCTACATAATACTTAATTTTCCCCCCATCATCACAATTTAAAAAACAACGCTAAAAATGTATGTTTCTATTTTCCAAGTACCGTACCTCAACACACAAAAAATACTTTCGGTCTTTCTCATTTGACGCTCAAATTACCGTTAAAAAAGCTATCAATTTCTTCAAAAATGCTTACTTCTTGGTAATATTTTGCAATTATATGCGTCTTGATTGGCTAAAACTACGTTTCAATTTCAAAAGAAGTGCCCCTTGAAATGATTAACCATTCTTTCTGCGAGGTTCAGCAGTATACTTGGGTTAAATGTATACTTATTATTGGTAAAAAAACTGAATGGGGGTGGTGCTGCAAATATTCCATATAATATTTTGTAGCATTGCCCCCTTAGCAACCCAAGCGACCAATCGCCGTGAGGATGCGGCAATACTAGTTTTTTAAAGACTGTAAAACCTCTAATTGTGCCCCTGGGGTACTAACATGTAAGTTAGTACACCCACCCACGCAACGGGGGTGGGGCACTATTAGAGGGTGGGGTACTAGCAAAGCGAGCAGTGTCTCATGTAAATCCCGATTAAATACCCCCACCTAAAATTCCTCGATTAAAAACTTGCAGCTAAGAGATCTCTATATATTAACAAGGGGTTCGCGACCGAGGTGTAGGTCGCCTGGTAGGACCCTTCTAAGTAGCTCCTCGCGAAGCGCGCTGTTCTCGCTTTGCAACGGCCCAAGCGTAGCCACCCGCGCATGAGCTTGCGTCAATCGTTTCTGCGACCGGCGGGAATCAGATGAGAGCACCTGATACTCTCGCGCGTGCTGGGCCCGGGCTTGGCGAAGTTGGCCCAACTGATCCTCAAGATCCCGGGCGTGGCGCTGCGTGTCGCGGACAACATCATGGTGTCTACTCGCAGCCTCGTTAGCTCGCTCCACCGCCGCGGCGGTCAGGTCGGCCCGGCGGTTGGCAGCTTGAAGATCCTCCTGGAGTCGGTCCAGGTGCGCGGCGACGCGATCGAGAAGCCCGTCCAACTCGTGGATCCGCTCACCCCGCACATGGATCTCCAACCGGAGCGAGTGGTCGACGGAGTCCCCACCAGTCATGGCACGCAGATCCTCCCGAAGCTGCTGGTTGGACGCCTCCACTTTCTGCGCGTGCGTCAACCGGTCCTTGAGCCGCGCTTGAAGCTGGTCACACTGTCAGCGGGACTAATCGAGTTCAGCGGCGGTTGCAGCGCGGGAGGCCTGGGCGGAGCGAATTTGGTTGTGGTGATCGGCAGCATGGCGTGCGAGATCTGCGTTCTCACGACGCACTTCACTCAAGTCTTGAGCGATCCGGAGGACGGATCCGTCCAGCTCGCCATCAATCACGCGGCCCTCGATCCGTCGCTCCAGCCGAGCGGCGTAATCTTGAAGGCGGTCGTAAGCTTCGGTCGACGTCTCTCGGAGCAGCTCATGCTCGATCCTGAGAACCTCAAACTGGCGCAGCTGGTCCTTCATGCGATCCATTGATGCCATGGCGTCGGCATCCGGAAGTTCGCATCTTCTAGCTTGTCTTAACTGGCGTTGTACTTGCGCTGGACGAAGGTCACGAAGCGATCTGCGATCTCTCGCGTGGCGGCGGGTGCGGCGTGAAGCTGTTTGTTGTGCTGGCGGGTAAGGGTGTACGCATGGCGCAGCTCGTCAAAAGCACCCAGCACCGTGTAATAGTGGTTGGTTACGGCTAACAACGCAGCCGACGTGACCTCAGCCGGGTCGAGCGACAGCGCGAGAGGCATGACGGACAACGTGGTGAGGCGAGGCGGGTGAACGCCTTTATCGTCCAGGGTGTATAGCGTACGTCCGGTAGGCTTAGACCCGGGAGGGTTTAGCTTACGGAAACCCGAAACTCACAATGAATATAAGCTCCGGTTGACGTGTGACCTTGTGCAATCCCTATAGGTGTCGTTTATCTTCGGTGGACCGAGTTTCAACCTTGGGAATCGCAATTGATCAAAGATACAGGAATGCAGAGAACTTCCGGACGCTACTCGTTCCGGGAGTCCTGAATGGGAGTGAGATCACGAGCAAAGACCTTCTCCAAAATAACCAATATCAATACAGAGTCTGTACACACAATATGCAGCCTGTCAATTTTAGGTTGCACCCCGAATACAGGTAAATTCGGGATGCCCCACGCGCACCACTCCTGAATGTCAGGAGAACAATACAGGTACCTTCCTACCACACGCAATCTACAATCGGGTCCTAGGGGGCGATTGCCACAACCTCTAAAACACAGGGAATATGAAATGCAAGCGCACACTGAGAGTGCACGCCACAACTGGGAAATGAAACAGGTGTATCGACCTGAGAGGGCAATACTTTTGGGTACCTGACTTGGCTTGATGATGCAGTGAGAAGTTTTCGAGGGCCTTGGACCAGGCGTTACTCAACGCTCGCAGCGGGGCTCCGAATGGTGCACCCTCTCGTGGTCTCCTAGGCGGTACACTCTCCCGTGGGCGGCGGCTTTCCTTAGGCGAATCACGAACCAGGCACTTGTGCACTTGAACGCAAAACAAACTCTGTTGATCTTTATCCTCTTCTCTCTCTCTCTTTGGCTATCTCTCTTCTCTTTTGTATCTCTCTCTTCTTCGTTGTATACTTCTCTTCTTCTTCGTATGATCTTGTTACCTTGAGGGCCGCTGGATTCTTCACGCGGTCTCCTCTGCTCATATCTTCATACACTTGTTCGGGTTCTCTTGGCTTCAGTATACCCGGGCGTCGCGTCGGGCACACACTCATCACTTGATGTCGGAGGGACTCGGGTGCCTGACCTGGGGATCTGCTGCACTGCTGACACATCGAACTCAGACTGGCTCACTCTCCATAGTGAAACCAAGTCACGCTCGGAACTGGCACCTTGGTTGCTGACTTCGCTGACTTGGCACGTTCCTGGGCGTTGGTCCATTGGCAGATATCTGCAGTGTCTTGGGCTTCTCTATTCAGGGCAGTCATGGTCCATTCAGGATGATCGGCACTTGGGCACTCCGGGCGTTGTCCATTCAGGATGATCATCCGTCATTCGGGGTAGTTGCATTCCATTCGAGCTGTCGGTTGTGCCGTCGTCTCCACGAGCTTCAGTGTCCACTTGGTCTCGCTGCTTGAGGTCCTCAACTCATTGTCGGGCCACACTCGGGGTCTTCGTAGTCGCAGTATCCTGGATGTTCATCTTCAACATGGTGGTGGCACAATTCAGGGTGTCGATGGCTTGGTACACTTGAGTAGCTTCACACTCGAGCTGCTGGGGATTCGAAGTACCTTGGGATGCCTTGGCCTCGCCAAGAAGGGTAGCTCTCCGGGATACGTTCACCGGGGCACTTCATGGTCTCCCTTCGTCAGACTAGGTCGGGGCCGGACTGGGTGCTGCGCACCTCCGGCCAGTTGAGGTCAAACTCGACCAGGTATCCATACTCCACATCTCCTCCATCATGCTCGGGCGTTCCACAGATACACCATCGTGAATCAACCCTTCTTTCCCACACGAACCATTCGAGTGCTCTTGTCAGAGCCACCGGGCAGCGGTAAGCAGGAAAATGTCAAGTTGCTTCGCCACAACCGCCCCTCTGGTTATGGGCTTCCACAGAGAATGCGATCCCCGAGGTGGAAGGCCATGAGCAGACCACCAGGCGAGCCTGGGGACGTTGCTTCCGGAACTTCAATGTCCTCCCGAATCACTGAGCATCGACCCGTCTCCGCTCCTTTTTTCACCGTTGCTGCGGATCGTAGTCCACCGCACAAACATGCGCGCATGTCGCTTCAAGTCCACTGTTCACGTCCAAGACATGCTACGCGGGCTGAAATCCCAACGGTGACAGCGAATCGGAACCGACGCCCCTGGAGGCGATCGGCTGACAACTGCACCAGTCTTCATTCGGCCCCCCGCAGACGCTTGGCATCCGAAGCATCTTCTCCCATTTCTAGCCATTGCGGGCCGCAGCTTCAAACAGGCACTACATCCGGGGCGTACGTGCTCGTCCTCTCCCGGGCGTACTCGCCGCAGCCTCGCTCTCAATAATCCAATCGCAATCAAAAATGTTTCCGTCGAAATCACACTTCCGTTCCGCTCGTGTTGTCCATTCGGGGTGGCTATAGCCTACGAGTCGCGCTCCCAGGCTGTATAGCCTGAATTCACCCCTTAGCACTCGCCCCTGGGGTGGACGCATACCGCGACGCACTGCAGTCGAGTTCACGTTTCGAGATCCGCCCCTGACCATTTTCGCCGTTGTAGGACACGTGTCCTCCACCACAAAGCGGGTAGCACACCTCGGTACGGGACGCCACATTACTTCGATCTGGATGTCCAAACGGATGGCGACAGCGGTAATTCGGGTTCTCCCGGAGCATTTCAGGCTGTCTACCACATCCATCGTAGAACGAGTCGTAGTCCTCTTGGTTCCATGGCGGGTAGGCCGGACGCGGTTGAAGTCGATGGTGTTGCTGGATAGGAACGTTTGAAGGGCAATATGGCCATCCCGAATATTCCACCTCGAAGGGGATTTCCTGAACAAGCCGTGCCTTCGGAAGCAGTCGCACATTCAGGGAGTTCTCAGCTCGGACATCCTGGACTTGGTCTGTTCGACCATCCGTGGCGGCGTTCACCAGCTTAGCGGCATTCTGGACTCCGTTTTCTCCGTCCCTAGCGGCATACTCTCCGCCTCGGCGCTTCGCCACCAAATGATCTCGAGCGGCTTCGCCCGCCTTGAAGAATTGCGAATGCGGCAGTCCAACGTCGTCATGCTCAACATCTAGGCGCAGGTCCTCGCATCGTTTCAGGATGTATTCCAGGTCTGTTGTCGTTTCAAACCGATGACCTTCCAGGCTAGTCTTGAGTTGGCCATAACGAAGCTTCCGGATGTACTGCCGAATGTGCAGCTCACACTGCTTGCCGGACTTCCGAAAGTGTACACCGGCTCGATCGGCGGCAATATTCAGGCGGTACAAGAATGCCAAGGTGCTCTCGTCGCTGCGTTAACTCATGGTATAGTACCGTTCGGGTTTCGGCGACGTCGATTGGCAGTACTCACGCTTAAACGTCCTGGATAGTCGCGCCCAGTCGTGACGAACATGCTTGGGTAGCTGACCGCGCCAGTCGCGCACCTCGGGTGGCATCTTCAGCTTGAGTTCCCGCAGCTTCGTCCGGTTGGACCAGCCACCTTGAGAAGCGAGATTCAGGAAGCGCTCCCACCAATGACGCCGAATAGACAGCGGTTCACCTTGGCCGAAGTCATGCAACACACTTGCATCCACGTGCGGCCAGTAAGTAACGACGGTAGTGCCATCCAGCGCAACAACGCTTGCCACGGAGTCCTCACGCGGGCTGTCAGAACCATAGTCGCTTGAATCCTCAGAACTACATTCCGAGCACGAGCTGTCGTCCTAGGAGCTTTCCGAGTCGTCTGAAGTCTCCGAATGCGAGCTCTTCCTGGAGGGCTGTGCCGTAGGTTCGGACCTCCAATCACGATGGGACTCCGGATCAGGCACGGCTGTTGTTCCTCGGGATGCGCTTGGCGGGGTAGTCCTGCATGTCACTTCTTCCTTCGCATAGTCATCTCCAGTCATAGAGGTCCAGGTTGCATGAAGCTCGGCTGCGGCAGATCGGCCATCTGGTTTGACCCGTCTCTCTGTTGCGTGTCCTTGATTACGCCACTGGATTCTTGGTGCATAGTCAGGCACCTCGTCTCTTGTTTGACTTGAACAATCGGATCAGGCATGGGTGTTGCTTCAGCACCTTGAACCTGGGATGATGTTGTCCGAGTGTCGCGAGAGTGCGTTCTCCGAACGTTCCCAGGATCAGAATCAGCCACCTTGCCTCGCGACTGGGCTGTTTCCAGCAGTGCCAACCTCCGCTCGAAAAGCTTCTGCTGTTCTTTCAAGAGTCTCCGCTGTTCTTCCAGGACCCTCTGCGCCATGTCTTCCTGAGCCTGTAGCCTCGCATCATCCTGGACTCGTCTTGCCGCCTCTGTCAACCCGGAGGTGTTCTTCCTGCGCGTGCTCCGCATTCACGGCCTCTCGCGCGTGCTGTAGTGCGTCCTCCTGGGTGGCTTCCACGCCTTCGCGGGTCTTCGCTGCAGACGTCTATTCCACGGCTACCTGGATTGGAGTCCGGGTGTCCAAAACACACTGGGTCTCCGAGGCTTCTTCCCGACCGGCCAGCAACTGCGTGGCTTGGTAAGCCTGGAAGGTTCGCATCATCTTCTCGTTGGCAGCCTCAATCTTCCGGTCCGTGACGCTGTCCGTATCCTGAAGTTGTTGCTTCAACTCCCGCACACTCGCCTCCATTCGGACCACAGTGTCCTGAACCGTTCTGGCAAAGTCCAGTACAACTTGGTCGTCCAGAATTGGGGTTTGCTCATCCCATTTGGGCTTCGCTGACCGACGTGACGGCTTTACCGATTTCGGCGAGCGAATTGGCTTCCCGGTGTATCTGGAACTTCGGCGGCTTCGACGGTCTGCATCTTCAGAACCGGATGCGCTAGAGGAGCTGCTTGGGCTTGACCTTCTGGAGCGGGCTTGCCTCCGGGACATCTTCGACCTGCGCCCCGGTGCGGCCAGACTCCGACATAACGACATCGTCCGGGGCTACTGGCACTGGTGATGCAGGGAATAATGTATCGACGGCTGGAACGCTCCGCACTTCGGGAATCCGAGAAGCATCAGCTTGGGCGGTCATCGGGATTCTGGATTCGTCACCCGGATCAGTAAAGTCAAAAACCATCCGGGAGCCGCTCGTCAGCGCCACCCTGGGCAGCCCTTCTGGAGGCACGATCGATACGGATGATCTCAACCGCGAAGTCGCGTTCAGCAAGCTGGGTACCGGACCTTCCTGGACGGCCAGCAGCGGACTCTCCTCCTTGATCATGCGCGCCTGAGTGAGGGACTCATCCGAGTCGTCGTCCGGCACGATCACATCTTGGGCCGGCCGGGACGTTCCCGAAGGTTTATCCACGGCCGACGACTCAACCTTCACGGTGCCTCCCACAGACGCCTGGGCGGGCACATCCGGAATGGACACGCCCACAACTTCCACCTCCGAGTCCGGGGTGGAGTTCACTTCCGAGCCACTCGGGGGGACCTTCTCTTCGTCATCCGGGGTGGCAGCACCCAGGGACACGTGGTGCGCATCCTGGGCCGCCGGCTCCGAATCCGGCTGATCTTGGGCCTCCGTCGACTCCTTCTCCTCGCGACCAGCCTTGCGCCTCGCGGCGTTTGTCCGGCGAGCATTCCGCTCGACTTCCTCGAGCGAGAGCTGCTCTTCCGGCGGCATCCCTTGAGTCCGACGCGAGCGTCGCACGCCATCCGTGCGTCCACCGCGTCCCCATTCGCGTATGCTTCCACTTCCAGCCAGAACCTCAAGAGTTAGTAGGTTATTACCCTCAGCACCCCTTAAAGATCCTCAAGCAATATACAATACTCGGTCAAAACCCTAGGCAACCAAATCCGGGCACGCGCACCAACTGAGGCGAGGCGGGTGAACGCCTTTATCGTCCAGGGTGTATAGCGTACGTCCGGTAGGCTTAGACCCGGGAGGTTTTAGCTTACGGAAACCCGAAACTCACAATGAATATAAGCTCCGGTTGACGTGTGACCTTGTGCAATCCCTATAGGTGTCGTTTATCTTCGGTGGACCGAGTTTCAACCTTGGGAATCGCAATTGATCAAAGATACAGGAATGCAGAGAACTTCCGGACGCTACTCGTTCCGGGAGTCCTGAATGGGAGTGAGATCACGAGCAAAGACCTTCTCCAAAATAACCAATATCAATACAGAGTCTGTACACACAATATGCAGCCTGTCAATTTTAGGTTGCACCCCGAATACAGGTAAATTCGGGATGCCCCACGCGCACCACTCCTGAATGTCAGGAGAACAATACAGGTACCTTCCTACCACACGCAATCTACAATCGGGTCCTAGGGGGCGATTGCCACAACCTCTAAAACACAGGGAATATGAAATGCAAGCGCACACTGAGAGTGCACGCCACAACTGGGAAATGAAACAGGTGTATCGACCTGAGAGGGCAATACTTTTGGGTACCTGACTTGGCTTGATGATGCAGTGAGAAGTTTTCGAGGGCCTTGGACCAGGCGTTACTCAACGCTCGCAGCGGGGCTCCGAATGGTGCACCCTCTCGTGGTCTCCTAGGCGGTACACTCTCCCGTGGGCGGCGGCTTTCCTTAGGCGAATCACGAACCAGGCACTTGTGCACTTGAACGCAAAACAAACTCTGTTGATCTTTATCCTCTTCTCTCTCTCTCTTTGGCTATCTCTCTTCTCTTTTGTATCTCTCTCTTCTTCGTTGTATACTTCTCTTCTTCTTCGTATGATCTTGTTACCTTGAGGGCCGCTGGATTCTTCACGCGGTCTCCTCTGCTCATATCTTCATACACTTGTTTGGGTTCTCTTGGCTTCAGTATACCCGGGCGTCGCGTCGGGCACACACTCATCACTTGATGTCGGAGGGACTCGGGTGCCTGACCTGGGGATCTGCTGCACTGCTGACACATCGAACTCAGACTGGCTCACTCTCCATAGTGAAACCAAGTCACGCTCGGAACTGGCACCTTGGTTGCTGACTTCGCTGACTTGGCACGTTCCTGGGCGTTGGTCCATTGGCAGATATCTGCAGTGTCTTGGGCTTCTCTATTCAGGGCAGTCATGGTCCATTCAGGATGATCGGCACTTGGGCACTCCGGGCGTTGTCCATTCAGGATGATCATCCGTCATTCGGGGTAGTTGCATTCCATTCGAGCTGTCGGTTGTGCCGTCGTCTCCACGAGCTTCAGTGTCCACTTGGTCTCGCTGCTTGAGGTCCTCAACTCATTGTCGGGCCACACTCGGGGTCTTCGTAGTCGCAGTATCCTGGATGTTCATCTTCAACATGGTGGTGGCACAATTCAGGGTGTCGATGGCTTGGTACACTTGAGTAGCTTCACACTCGAGCTGCTGGGGATTCGAAGTACCTTGGGATGCCTTGGCCTCGCCAAGAAGGGTAGCTCTCCGGGATACGTTCACCGGGGCACTTCATGGTCTCCCTTCGTCAGACTAGGTCGGGGCCGGACTGGGTGCTGCGCACCTCCGGCCAGTTGAGGTCAAACTCGACCAGGTATCCATACTCCACATCTCCTCCATCATGCTCGGGCGTTCCACAGATACACCATCGTGAATCAACCCTTCTTTCCCACACGAACCATTCGAGTGCTCTTGTCAGAGCCACCGGGCAGCGGTAAGCAGGAAAATGTCAAGTTGCTTCGCCACAATGGGGTCGGAAGGCGCGGAGTCGCAGATAACACACGGGGGCGGGGGGAGGGGGGTGGGGGGGTGAGTGGGGGGTCCGAAGAGCGACCGTATCCGACGGTGTCGGCCACGCGCGTCCTCGGCGCAGTAGCATCGGCCTCATACGGGGCCTCCGGCGCGTCAGGACGTCCAGGCGCAGGACGGCGGTGGCGGGTCCGAGCCATGATCAAGAAGAGTGGCGGCGAAAAGAGGTTGCGCCGGTTCTGCGGGAAATCTTCAAATGATGCGGATCAAAGGTGGCACGAGGTGATGCCGTTGTGCAGCAGCGACCTCGTCCCAGGGGCGGATGTGGTAAGAAGATCCGCTCAAGAATGGTCTTGATGGAACTGGATCCGCCATTTGACCAGGTAATGGGATCCGACAGTTGGTGACGGTGTCCAGTCCCTCAGATGACGCCATGGTTGCTGGATGGGGGGGTACGGTTGCTGGATCAGGACGGTTGATGTTGGATCAGGTGCGAGTGGTGTGGTGCACACGGATCCGGTCATCTACATTAGGACCCCCTAGATTCGGTGCGGATCCGTACCAGTTTATGGGTACAGTGGCTATGTTGGGATAATTAGGCAGGAAGGAGAGCCAGTCATGGATAGGATCCAAGTCGGATGGGAAGGCAGGGCATAGGCTAACATAAATCAGAGTCGAATTTGCTTGGGAACCACATACTTGGTCCTTAGTATCGGGATTAGTATTGGTCCATACTTTAATCAAGTGATTTGCCCCCCGCACACGTGGCAGACTGATGGGTAGCTTGGCCAGCAGCTCGCGCCCTTCGGCCCTCGCCCCCCAACTTCCTCGCTAACAGTAGGCGGCAAGCGACGTAAAGGAAAATGATACAACACCCCCACCAAGGCAACAACTCCGGATCTAGTATAATACTTATCGGATCCACAAGATCTACGGCCAAGACCAAGGATCAACCTACCCAGACCCGCGTGAAGAAACCCCCACAGCGGATCTACCCCAACATCTCCCTAAGTCCCCGCCAAGGGCATTCAAGTTCACCCGCTGCGATCTCGTGTCAACGACAGACAGATCCAGCCCGCCGACGGGTACACAAGGTGAGCCACTCACCAACCTACGGTTATTCGAGTACCCCCCCTCCGTTAGTCGGTGTCTGGGCGCAGTGTGTGAGTGTGGGATCCCTGCTAATTCCAGCGGATCCACTCCACCACACGTCTCGCCTTAAATTCTACGCTGACGCAGAGCTGAACCAGACGGCTGAATTGATGGAGTTGGTCTCGAGCCAAGGAATGCTGCTAGGCATGGATGCGATCTGTGACCACCGCTTCAACCAGGCTCTGCAACGCTGGGAGCTTCAGGGCTCATGGATGGGGCTACAAGCTATCGAGAACTCGTGGGAGCCTCTCACCACTCTCCTCCAGGACGTCCCCAAAAAGGTCCGTGACTACGCCATCGCCAGCGCGGACGATGACCTGCTCCAGCAAGTCGAATAACGCCTAGGCCACCTGCGAGCTTTGGGGGCAGTGTCGGCCGATCACGCTCAAGCTCTGGGTGTCGACGAGCGTCACTCGGGCTTTGGTTGACAGCTCGGACCAATGGCGACAGCAGCGGCTTGGCTCGGACCAATTAATAGTCCGAGAGCACGCGCCACGAGGATCGCTTACCCCGAGGCACGCAGCTCGGGCTAGCAGTGGACGCCAGCACGCGCCTACAATCGCATGAAAGACACTACAATAGGAGCAAGAGCAGCCGAGGGCTCCAGGAGTAGTTTGCATGTCGTTTAACTTTTATCACTAATCAACTTACCTCTTCGAGTACATCCCGGGTTTCGCGACAGACGCATATGCTTTCCTAACGGAGAGGCGTCTTTCCACTTCCAGCCGCTCACGAGAGACGAAGTGGATGCGATCATCAAGGACTGGGAGACCATTTTGGCAGTCAATTTGGCGTACGGGGACTCTGTTTGGGTGGACAGTTTATCGGACTCCGATTGTTCGAAGTGGGCTCGACGATGCGCTCATTGTCCACAGAAAATACTCAAGTCGCCTCAGCTGCTCCTCAGCTGAAGCAGGTGAGAGTTTGGCCACGTCGTGTGTTCGGGGTCGGACGCTGCTAGTCATACCAAGAGGTTGGACCAGTGACCAGTGTCGAAATGTGTCAACGAAAGTGCTGCAGGAATTTGATACGGGCGCCTTCGTGGTGGTTACGAACATCCCAGGCCCAGTGCACCCCCGTTATCTGCATCTCGACCAGCACCAGTCTTACATTGATGAAGAAGGGAGGCATGTTGTCCGCTTCGGAGCTATTGCAGCTGGCTCGGACGCTAATGCTCGGTACCACGAAGTTGTGAAATCTCTCAACAACGTCGAGTGGGTCCGCGAAGGGGGAGTCTGCATCACGCTGACTGAGATCGACGAGGCTACCGTTGATGTTTCGTTCAACCGATGGGCCAAGTGCGAGAGTGAGCTGCATGCGGGCAAGCTCTCCATCCATTGGGCCCAGTTTGCGTGCCAATGGGCACAAGCTATAACCTCATCCAAACTATTCACATCTTAGGCCATCTCATACTTTATTTTATAGATCGTGTAAGGATCAGCCCGCGCCTAAAAAAAAACTACCTGCTAATAAATATCGGTACTGCAACTGTTAAATTGCCTGAAGAATTCACAGCGCGTCTACTAAAGATACAGGGTACCAATTTGCTGAGGGAACCAATTCGCCACGTGTATCAGCTGGATTAAATATCAACGCTTCAACGAACTCTTCAGCATGCTAGATCTTCGCGTCCTCACGTCCTCACGTCCTATCAGCGCTCTTTCCGCAGTCATCATCTACCCACTCGTTATCTGGTTCGCTGAGCTCGCTAAGTAGTCCTTCAGTTCTTATCCGACCTTGGGGGCCGCAAGACCTTCCGGCATCTTCATTTGGGGTCCATACCGGCATCTCCCGCGAGATCTTTAGGGCAGGCGGCGGATGCACGATGCTTCTCCACTACAAATGAAACAGGCCTACCACTCTAACTCACACGTCTGCGCTTGCGTGTCTAGGCCTAGCGTCGACATCGACAAGAACACTGCTAATGGCACGCTCAACATGAAGGAGATGCTCGCACCGATCGCAAGCTGCGTTCACCTTCGGCACCCCAACCTGCGTTCAGGGTGCAACAGTCATCCTGTGCGCAGGCCGTTGGGCGTATACATTGGCACCAATTTCGTATCGTCCGGTGACGTCAGGCTCGTGACTTGCTTCGACGGGTACAGACTACAAAGTTTGTAGTCCAAACACTCCCCCGCCATGGTGTTAACGGCATAGTATGGGTGTGTTCCGCAAACGCGTACTGTAGCTGAAACCCGTTAGGGCGGCAAATGGGTTCGGTTGTCGGGAGCTCCGCGTGAAAATATGTGGATTTTTTTAGTAGCCATAAGACCGTTCTCGCTCGACTCAAGTGCAACAGATAGCCAAAGCGCCTACACGTGGCTTTCCGATGGTTTGAGCATGACTTCATAATTCCCATTGTTCGTAGCACAACAACAAAATTTGTGGATTTGGGTGGCATATTGGTGCCCTGTACCCTTACATTGTCCTGGGTTTCTTGCAAAAGCGTTCAAACTAGGTAACGTGACTTACAGTAGTGTACGTGGCGTACAGAACTACGTCGAGCACTATTGTGAAAACCGGCAAAGATGTCCAGACCAGATTAGCTTGATTAGGAGGGATAAAAAATATATAAAAAGGGGTACGCCAAATCCTAAATCGTAGCGTTGGTCGTAAACCGTCCATGTGCAAATCCCTATCAAATGCTAATGAGAGCCTAGCTTCCTGAGCTATATAAATGGCCGCAGAGGTCCACTGTATCGTGCAGCGGGCTAGCGCAAGCGTATAAGCAGCCACTCGTGCCAAATTTCAGCCCCGTGAATAGTTCAGACGCAGACACATATTGCATGTACCCATCGGGTGTTTCATGTATACGGCAGCGTCGAGTTTGCCGTCCATGTTGACATGGGGCACCGTTCATATAAACGAGCTACCCTCATAATGCCCAGGGTCACATGGGCATTCGACGTGATTTGATTATAAATCGACGGCAGTCCGCGGTATATGAACAGGGCTGGGGAACGCCAAATCGGAGTAGCATCCTATTTATATATAACAAAACAAAGTCTCAGCAGCTTATTGAGCACCCAAATCTATCGATTTGCAAAAACTAGGACATAGTGTTCGGTTTTCACAATACATGTATTATTAGTACATGTTTGGTGACAGAACTATACGTCTATTCCTCAACGTACCACGTCATTGCTACTCACACTCGATAAGAATCCACTTAGGTGAGTGGCAGACTGCCACTGAGTCTCCCAATGGTACGACTTGGCGCTCTGGGCATAAATTATGCCTGAAATATGCCGCACAATTCATTTGGCCTTAGCTCAGCCACGTCACTGCTCGCCATGGCCTCGCTGACTTCATGCTCGCTAATCGTCAGCAGCATCTACACTAAACTCGCTGTGGACAACGTCGACTATGACTTCGAAGACACGGAGGAGGCTCTGAGGGGGGGGGGGGGGGGCAGTTCGGCTGGAGCAGGCGCGACGAGAGCGCCAGCGCCTACGGATGGTGCATTACCGGCGCAAGAAGAAAGCAAGTGTCGCGGGCATGGCCCAGAAGCGGCAACGTCAGAAGGAAGAGCTGCAGACTCGAATCGCAGCAGCGAACAACGCGGTTGCTGAACCATTGGAGGTGACCTGCCAAGGACCAGTAGACGCTGCACTTCAACGGCTTAGCACGCAGCGAGTGCAACTGGCGAGAGAGAACATGGCTCAGCATCAAGAGCTCGAGCGGTAACGCAGTCTCGGCCGAGTCATCCAGCGCGAGTTTCTCCGCGGAATCGACTCCTAAGAGCAGGTTCCTTCGCCCAGATTGACCGACCAGGACGATATGTCGGGTTGGCGCGTATATTTTCTGAGCAAGGAGCCGTCGTTCCACTTCCATCCATTGTCAAAGGATGAGAATAAAGACGCAGTGAAGAGGAATGGGCTCGCGGCGATCGAGCGGTATCCCTGCGTTGCAACTGTGGGGGTCTATTTGGGTGGACGGTCGATTACGCGCCTGTGACTCGTAACGAAGCGGGAACATCCTTCATCGCCCACACCCAGTTCTCGCGTCGTGTCCGTTGCACTCTCTCTCACTCTTGAAGGCGAGTGCTTCGCTACGTTCACGGAGGTCGACGATAAGTGGATCGACGTTGTAATGGGCCTACTTTGGCTCACTACTTTAGCTTACACGTGTGCGCACGTGTGTGAGGAAGCGTAGCTAAGTTTAAACTAGAGTTAATTATACTCGGGCCTCCGAGTTTAGATTAATCTAAATAAACGATCCAAATAATGTTTTTGGGTTAAAATGAGAACTGCTAGTTTTGTTTTATGCTTTCTGACTTCCTCTAAATGTAATATTCTAAGATTAGAATCTGCCAACGGCTGGTTGGCAGAATTCCAATGCTTTGCATGTCGCTCATGGGCTAAAAGATGCTGCTTGCAGCCAATAGGAATCCTAAGTCTCTATGGACCACCCGTCATGGCGATCGTAAATGTATGTAGCCTTTGATGTGTCTACACCAAGGTCGAGAAAGTCTTTCGAACCTCTAACAGACATCGTGTCTGTTAGAGTTACAAGTGACTGTAGCCACTTGTGCGTGTAACCCTGTTACACCATCCCCCCCTGAAGGTTAGACGCGCCGAGTCACGGCACGTCAATCAGGAAATTGACCATTCGTCAATTCTTCACGTTGGGAGAAAGAAAACTCGAGCTCATTCCGCAATAAGCTCGCCGAAGAAGACCGCCGCTACTGCAGAGGGGAAGACTGCTGGGATAGAGACTCTCTCAACCGCGAGCGTCACAAAGCAAAGCGTGACGCTCTAGCGGGCAAGGCTGCGGCGGGGACAACCCAGCCGGAAATTGTCCTCGAAGGTTCCTCCGTAGTCAACGACGCCGTTGACTACGGGGACGGCGACGTGGAGATGGAAGAGGGCGAGGCCTCTTCAAGCGAGCGCAAGGAGTCTATCGATAGCGATAGTCTCGACCCGCATGCGGGTCGAGACGCCCTCGTGAAGGAGACGACTCGGACACTTCGAGCTCGAAGCGTTCGCGCGGCGAGAGCGAAACTCCACTCTCTGCTGCTGGGGCTTTAAACTCCCCGCGTGATGTGGCGGCTTCAAGCTCTCCGCGCGCTGCTCAGGCTGCGCGCGATCCGTGGATGCCGTCTGCGTCAGAGATCGCAGACCGTGTGGGTAACACCGTGCCTCCAAATGAAATCCCGCTGTACGTATGCAGTGGCATCCACGACGATGCTGTGGCGGAGGAGCAGCACTTTGATCCGTTAACGAATCAAAGGCGCGATTATTACATCGGGCTCTTCCACGAACTCCGGTACTTCTCCAGCAAGAAGACCTCTTCTCGCAGCAAAGTGCCTGAGTGACAGGCACTTTGTCAAAGTTGGAATGCTTTTGTTGAGAACTTCAACAAGAAAACGACTGCTTACCGCGAGCGGGTTGAGCATGCCCGTGAACGCTTCGAGACATTCTCCACGCGCGGGCGGCTGGAGCAGCTCCACAGATCCTCTGTGGGCGCTGGTATTCCATGCGCTGTGCCCGAAGGCCAACAGTGCACGTTGTGTCTTCCGGGCGCGGTACTCTTGAGTGACCGCGACCTAAACGGGTACACGACGATTCGTGTACCTGCGAGTCTCAGGGATCTCCGTGCCAAGTTCTTGGCACGCGAGAACCGCGGCGATCGCGAAACTTCGGGCGCTGCAGGTAACTACAGCGCTCACACTACCTTCGCGCCGGTAGTGCGTGGTGAGCTTCATACGCCCTCACCTTTTCCGGAACATCGTGCAGCAGGACGTCCCGCGGTTCCCATGTATCTTGGTGGGGCGGAAACCCTCTCCAACGAATACGATAACGAACCGGCTGCCGGTTCGTTTTCGGGATACTATGGTTCACAATACGCTCAACAATCCAGCGTGTTGAGCCGCGGGCGTCGCGGATCGGAGGCGGTGGTGGTGGGAACACGCCCCGGGTATGGTCAACCTGGGGTTGAAACTGGCCCGACGCTCGAGGAGCGGGTCGCTGCTGTGGAGCAGCTTCAGAGCCGGGAGTTCGACGCTCTGAAGCAGGAGATGGCAACCCTGAGAGCTCAAGTTGCTCAGGCCTCGCAGACCGCGTCGAACGTCTCGGTCGACGTGGGAGGTCGCGTCGTGCGCTTGGCCCAGCGCGTTCACGCGCTGGAGCAGAGGTTCGCCCCCGCCGGGGCTTCCGCTTCGGGTCAGCCGAGCTAGGTGGCTCGTGCTGTCGGTATGGTTTCAGCCGCCCGACGTAAAAACTCGGATAGAGGCTCATGCTAGATGGAATATCTAGCGTGTAGGCGTTGCCATGCCGTGCCAACACCGTGAACGGCCCGATGAAGCGCGGAGCGAGCTTGCTCGCCCCGAAGTCGGAAACTGCATGTTTAGGTAGGTTTTGAGTAGCTAACAGAACAAATGAACCCTTCTTGAATTCATT